TAGTAGTTATAAAAGGAATTACACTTCATATATCAATTCTTTTTCTCTGTAGATGTGGAACGTTTGCTTTTCGATCTCTTTCGATGAACTTGAAAATATAAGTTATTATCGCTGAGAATCCTTTCCGAAATAGGAGCTTTACGTTTAGGAGGATTGTCGGATGAATTTTTGTTTTTTATTGTTTGATTTTGTTGTTATGGAAGATTTTTCTTATTTTTTTCAGAATTTTGCTTGCTATTAACTGAAACTTGTTTTGACGGCCCAACAATAGCATTTGTAGTAGGAAGAATTCCCAATAACGAGCGCATTTTCGATAATTGTTTTTCAACATGATCAAGAAGGTCCAGCTTATGTTCTAGATTACTAGACATTTGATTTGTAGAAGGATGGCTTTGATTTTCTGGTTCTAAATCTGTAGAGTCTGCAATATTTGAATTTTCGGAGCGAATTGGAGCATCTGAACCTTGATTTGTATCGGCTTGCTCAAAATTAGTTTAAATTGGAGTGGATGAATTAAAATCTGGATGATTTAATGTTTCATTAAATAATGCCATAATTTTTTCTCTTTTTTCATTAATAAACTTAGTGATCATTGTATCTTTATTTGTTAGATCGATCGATTTGAGTATATCTGCATCATGAACTGGAATATTTTCGAACAATGAACTCGATTCTATGGAACCATATGGAGAAATCTCGTTCTGAGCCAAAGAAAGATCACTTACGTTGTATTGTTTGATAGAAAAAATTGTTTTCTCAAGTTCTTTTTGAAAGCAGTCAAGAATATAATTTTTGTAGCTATCAGTGATAACGGTTTTTATATGGCGCTCGATCTTCTGGTTATTTTGATGGCGTTATATTTATCTAATTGGATTTGAGATATCTTCTTAATAGCTTCATAAATGTTTGGATGTTTTAACGAAGAAAATTCTGAATGCATACTCTCGAGGCAATCATTAGTGAATATTGCAGTTGCATTATTATATTGAGATATTAAATTGTAGTGCGGCAACCAAACTTTGTTGAAATAATCAATATAATCTTTGATCGAATCAACTTTATTTTGATTAATTATATGCATTGTAAGTACAAATTCTTCATGAGACATGAATGGAGTAATAGAATATAGCTTAAATAAAGAATTTTGTAAAGTATGAAATTTTTTGTATAAAGTGCTACAAGTTTCCTGTGTAAAGCTTGTTTGAAATGAAATAGGCATCAATTATACGGACTTTAGGGAAAATTTGTTGAAGTGCCTCTATCATTCCCTTTTCAAAATCACAATGAATTTGAATTAGCTTTGAAAATTGAATAACCCTTGACAGTAAAAATATATTCAAATGCCTCCTTATAAGATTCAAATGTGCGGTTTTTCATGAATATAAATAAAAGTGGTAGATATTGATTTTGAAGGTTCACAAATCATAATTGTTAGCATCTGTCCTTTTTGAAAATGTTTTGGTGTAATTTTAAAAGTTCCATCGCAAAATAAATCTGTGGCTTCTTTTGCAAATTGAATTGCCTTCTCAAAACCAAAAAACATCGTCTCACAATTTGCTTGAAAATCATGGCCAATGAAAAACTGCTCGCCATTTATTAAACAAAAATTAGAAATTTCATCGTCTGTAATTTTTTTCTCCAACAGAAATTTTCTGGACTTATTATTAAACTTCCCTGACCAATGAATCTTTAATTAATGGGTTTTCGTCAGTACCAACAGCAAGTTCTGTCATAAAATTTTTAATCTGCTGAAAAGTGCCGTTGTCTTCAGAAAATTTTGCCATTGCCCTTATTGTATATTTCTGTCAGAGTCATTGATTTATGAAGATCATTTTTTTCATTTTGTAACTTTTTAAATTGTCTGCATTCGGGTATATGTTCCTTTTGTAAATCTTCGGAAACTTGAACTGTTCTCAATTTTAACTAAATAACGTGCTTGACAAGAATGATCGATTGCAACGGTAGTCAACGTTCAATATTATTGAATTAATAATATTTGTATGATCATGCGAATAAAGCATATCTTTGCAAACAATTGTATCAGGATATTTTCCAGTAACTGCGGGAATATTTTTAACTGCAATATAACTAAAATATCTTCTGACAGCTTTAGATTCATTTTCGGCGTATTTAATATTAAAATATTGAAGAACTTGTTTGATTATATTCGTTTTTTCATCTCTCGATGTTGATTTTTGGTATTTATCAGATTGTTCCCTGATAAATATTTTATTTTCGTCTGTAAAGTTTGCTCTTTTTTGATTAAATATAGATGATTTTCCCATTAAAAAATGAAATGATGCAAAATTTACGAAAACCGTTCGAAAATTGAATCAAAAATGAAAAGTAATACTTAAATGAGGAATTCTTTGAGATATTGGTCTTAGATTGAATGTAGCGTCATTCTTATATAGAATATATATTCATATCATCGGAAATATGATAAAAAGCATATAATAAATGTCAAAAAAGTGAACAAATAAGCAAAGATATTTTTTAAAAAACAATGAAAAGTAATACTTAAATGAGGAATTCTTTGAGATATTGGTCTTAGATTGAATGTAGCGTCATTCTTATATAGAATATATATTCATATCATCGGAAATATGATAAAAAGCATATAATAAATGTCAAAAAAGTGAACAAATAAGCAAAGATATTTTTTAAAAAACAATGAAAAGTAATACTTAAATGAGGAATTCTTTGAGATATTGGTCTTAGATTGAATGTAGCGTCACAAATTTCACAAATATAATTTACTATACAATTTTATTCATTTTTTTAAAATGGCTGACGACAGTCTGTATCAACTAACTCAACTAGTCAAGCATAATGATTATTCTTCGGATTCATTAAATCAACTTTATCAATGCATAAGTACAATGACAGAAAGATCAATTGGATGCTTGAATTGGGATAAATTTTTCAAAAAAATCACAGTGACTGATGAAGTTCTTTTACATTTTTTAGCATCCGTTTTAAACATTGAAAAGATATCAGAATGTTTCAAGGATTCTATTTTTTATCACAATATTAATCTTGAAAAATTTAGTAATTTAACTGAAACAGAACAACAAACAATTTTAAATTCCTACAAAGCGGATAAATTTACATATTACATAATGTGCTCACAAATTGTAAAATCAAACTGGAACAAATATATATATTTACTGAAATAACTGGCAATTATTAAAATTTTGAAATTTCAGTTGCAAACTTGTTACTTTTTTATGAAAACAATGAAGAAAAATTAAGCAACTGTTTTAATTTAACATTGTTCCAGCAAATTTATTCCAAAAATGGAATCGAGCAAATGATATTTTTTGCTGCAAATACAATTTGTTGCAATAACACTTCTATCAATTTTTACAATCTCCTTGAAATTGAAGAAATGAATCCATTTGATTTTTTTTATTTCTCAATTCAATATAAAGAGATATTAAATTGCGATGATTTTCCAAAAGTTACAGAAGTAATCACAGGTTTAATCTCAGCTTCAAATATTAATGCTATTATGCGAATTTGCCAAAAAAATTTGGATAAAATTACATTTTATAAATGTAATTATTGCCATATTACCTCAATATGGAATTTTATCACAAATGCAGCAATAATTCTTCCTGATGAAGATTTATTAATCAAATTATTAAAATTCATAGAAAAAACAGAAAAAGCAACAGATGAATTATTCGAACCGGAGAATGATTTGGGTTTCTATGAATATTTAAATTCGATTTTCTCAGATATTACATCTGCGAGAAATAAGCAATTTCTCTTGGAATTTCTAAATACCCATGAAGATGACTTCACTTATGATCAAACATTGTGAGGTCATTTTTGATCAACAAATTAATTGAAATTCCGATCAAAAAAAATCATAAATTGGATCAAAAAAATCGAATCTCAAGTTAAAAATAAAAAATTTCTACATTTTTATCAAATTTAGATTTTTTTTTCAAATCATGCGAATTGATTGAATAATTGCATATTTTATCCCATGCATCTAGAAGTATGTGTAATATTTTTGCTTTCATCAAGAAATTGTCGAATTTGATCTTAATTTTTTTTGAAAAATATACTTTTAGAAAAAGAAATAGTGATTGAATAGCTGCCCATGCTGTAAAAGGGTTATTTTTACAAGTAAAAAAATTGTTATTTTTCGAGCAAGTCGAGGCTTTTTTACCATCTTATTTTTGAAAAATTTACGAAAAATTATATCTGAAAAAACGCTTCATTTTGATATCTTACAATGATAAAATACCAATGTTGCTGGGATATAATAGCTACACCTGGACATCTACTACATTAATGCGTATGACAGGTAAAGTTGATTTCAAAAGTATAGCCTGGAAAGATTACAATAAATCGACGATAATTCAAAAAAATTTCTTATAAGTTAACATAATAAAAATTTAATTTTTTATTGCTTGTATTATACTTAAGTATATAATATATTTAAATCTTAGAATGAAAATTCGGGACGCCCTAGCTATTCAATTTTCCCTTAGGACGCCCATAAACCTCTCAAAAATGTGATGTAAATATCACAATTTTGAGAAATTTACACTAGGACGCCTTAGGACGCCAACCCCCTTTTTTACCGATATCTTTTTTTTTAATTATTCGAAATTGAAGCTTCATTGAACTCTCTTACTTTTATTTAAGCAATAAAGATAATATATAAAAGATGGTTTGGTATCATTCCTGAGCTCCACTTTTAATTCAGGTCATATCTTACTAAACCTTTTGCACAAAATGAATGGTGTTATAATTTTATTACACTATAAGCTTTTGACATCTAGTATACCCAAATATATCGCTCTAAACCAATTCCTTCAAATTATTGTTTTATTAATTTTTAACAGGGAATATAATAGAGAAATTTCCTTATGTGGGTACAGATACCTATTAAACGAAAAATGTTTTTAACTAGTCATGATGTTTAAAAATTCAAAAATAAATTAAAAAAAAAATGAAATATATTAATAAGATTTCATTTATTACTTCATACAGAGTGCTTTCTTAATAGCTCTGTTGCCAACATGAACAGTAGAGTTCTTATTTAATAACAAATATCCTTTTTGAATCAAGGGATCTAAGTCTGGTGAGTAAGTAATCAGATCATTGCGGCATAGTTGCCTTGCTTGGGAAGAAGTTTCCTTTGGAACATCATTTTTAATGACCTCAAAAGCTTCATTTACTCTGTTGTTGATTGCCTGATCGATATTGGTTCCAAATAATAAGTCATTGTACACTTTCTGGAATAATCCCATGTTTCCACCGAAATTCTTATATAATTTTCTCCATTCGGATTTTGTGAAATATTTCTTTTGGTAAAGGACTTCTGTAAGGTGCGGAGGGACTTCTTCTGTATAGCAGATGTCGAGTAATGGTAAGAGATCGCCAAATTTCTTCAAGAAAAGGGTATCTCTGACTTCCAAAATAATCGGAACGTGATCTAAGTAAAGATTGCGGCGTGCGAGCCTAGAAAGAATCGCATCGTATAATGGGAGGGTTGCGTTGTTGTATAATTTGTCAAAATTGTGAATCATGATCACTGGCTGTAAAGAATTCCTGTAATACTCGAGTTTATCGATGAACTGAGAGACTGCAAAGGTGGAAATGTGGTTCTTATCTGGAATGTTGGAAAGACTTCTTGTAAGTGAATGATATACTTGTCCTAATTGTGGATCAAGCAGCGCAGGGAGTTTGGCGTTGTTAAGTTGGTTCTTCTTTTTTTCGTAGAGTTGAGAAAGTCTGTCTTTGGGTAGATAAGGCTTTACTTCAATTAAACCACGTAAAATTGCTGTATGCATCCAATCTGATAATGAGGTAAGAGGCCAAAAGTTTTCTCCATCAAGATTTAAAACAAATCTTCCTTTTTCTGTCAAATTTTGCGCGACGATATTCATTGATCTTGATTTTCCGCTTTGTGTAGGTCCTGTAATGTAAAGAACTTGTCTAGAAGGTCTCTTATTCAAGTAGTTTATGATTGTTCTATTATATGAATTTGCCCAAAAATAAGGGAATTGTGCTTCGTAGCGGCGGAATGGCCTCCAAAAGTAGATAATTACAGCAGCAATTAAAATGATTATAATTGAGCCGATAATTAGTTTCCTCCGGCTCTTGTCCTTTCCTTGCTGCTGATTTGAAGGACGCATAAAAATTTTTTATTTTTATTTTTTTAGCAACAAATATTGAAAACAATGAAATGTGAAACATAAAACATTAACTATAGGGACATTAATTTTTGCGCAGAAATATATACTCTATTTCATAAATAAAATAATTCTATTCTTTCAGTATGCTATTGAGAACTAATACACTAGAGAAAATTATTAGACTCGTTACAAGTATTCAGTGCAGAGTTATTAAATCAATAAAACATAAGAAACTACTTCGGAATTCGAAATTATTGCGATCTTCATGCATTTACATAGTAATAATGATATATGTTTTAGTACATGGTTTAATATCTTCAAATGTATCTTTCAATACAATACGACTCGAATTATATTTTTCATTTCAAACAGAATGAATAATGGTGAGTTTCAAGGTAGCACAACAGGATTTTTCAGAGCATAAATACCATAAAAGACCATATTTTATCTTCAAAAATCTCATTGGGGCTTTTACATTTCATAATTGAAATAAATCTGAATCATTTCATTCGAAATCTCTCGAAACATATTGTTCAATTTAATAAACATTCCAAGTAGAAACAAATACGCTTTTAAAAATAGGATATTCTCAATGAAAAAATCAAAATATTAAAACAATTTTCATAACAGTAAAAAAATAAGAAGAAATCAAACGAAAAACAAATATTTATGATATAAAAAGCTACAAATTCAAATAACAACCAACAGAAATGTTTTTTAAATCTGGATTGAGTCCCATTCACTGATTTCAATGTTTTCGATCTTGAGAAGCATATCTTCATGCTTAACATTAAGATTTATCTTATAAGTATTCATAAATCTTTCGATTAATTTGTAATCAATTTTTTCTGGCTGCAAATCATCAGGATGTATATTGCAAAGTATCAGATACGCCAAGTTTGGTTCAATATGAGGTGCAAAATCCCGATAAACTTTAGGATCAGCCAAAATTGCGTTATTAGCAAGAACAAGTAATATAAGTTCCTGGAATTTGAGGAGTTTTATCTTTGTATGGGCTTCTATTTCGGAAATATTCGTATTCATCCTACTTGCGCTGAATAAATTTTCACAAAGATGATTAATTATCACAGTATTACTTAAATGACAATCTATGTACTCTCTAACGCATGAAAACAGCTTTTCTTCTGAAGGAGTCTTAAAACGTTTGCGTATTTCGATGAGTTTGTTTTCTATTTTCGAAAATCTTTCTGACTCAACTGGAAATTGAATTGCTTTGATGTACAAATCAACTATTTCGTTTCCTATAATAGTGCATGCAGTAATTATTGATTCTCTGAACAAATCGAGAGAACAATCGCCAAGAATTGTAGTTTTTGGTAATTTTTGGTACAAAGTTAGACAGGATTGATAGAATAAGCATGCTGTTATTGGTGATGATATAGTTGTCCTGATATCATCAAGCTGTGAGAAGATTTGATTTAATAGTGTCGGAGATAGTGAATCCTCTGGAATGGAATTGATTTTTTCGGCTAACAATTCACCAGGTTGGCCTGGAGCTGATTTGGATAGTTCATTCCATGTATTTAAAATTAAAAGACTTATTTCTGGGTTATCAGTTGATTCTTTTGCCATATCTGTAAAGAATTTTTCGATTTCACCATCAAATGATGATGTTGATGCCCAACTTGATACATGATTGACACCATAAGGAGAAGTTGGAGTTTGTGGTGAGTATATATCATGTGGAATTTCGTCATCATCGTCGTAATTTGGCATATCTGGAAATGGAACATCAATCTGAGAGGTAGATGAGTTGATATATGAAGGTGATGCTTGTCCTGATGGTGATCTAATATTATGAGATGGACTTATGTCTTCATTGATATCAAAATCCAAGTCTAGGCTGGGGAGGCTTTCTATCTTTCCTTTAGATTTCGTAGGAGTTGTAGTCATTTTGTCACTTTTAAAAATTTCAATTAACATGGTACGATAAAAAATTGAGCACATTCAAACAAAAAAAATCTCATTCAATTTAAATATATATTTTTGTATATCAATAGAAGAATACAATACTGGATTTTCAAAAATGTAAACTTTTCAATTAATTTTTGAATGTACCCACAATGATTTTGGTCGCATTTGAATTAAAAGATGATCATTATTCATATCAATTGAACAGCAATTTGGGATTCTTATCTATTATTCTTACGGTTAAAAATGTAAAGTTCACTTTGATTTCAAAAAAATATTCCTGCTTTACAAAGGAGAGCTTCTTTAATTTAACATTTTGCAATACCATCAGAATTATTTTATTACTGAAGTAAAGAGAAGTATTTTCAATGTCCTAAAATTCAATTCATAATGCACATTTCGTTTATTCTAGCTCAAGGTTGGATGATGTTGTTAGAAACTATATTCAAGTCTCATGGCATGTTTAGAGATAAAGTTCATTCTTCTTTAATTAATATCTTTGATTCTACTCATAGGAAAGTACAAATGATTGAAGATATATAATTTCATATCAAGATCATAGAATGTATTCCTCGTGTCCTATATTGTTTGATCATTGTCAGAAAGTAACTCAATGATTCGAAACACTCAATTTCGTTCAACACCTGTGAGGTTATTTCTTTCAATGTAACGTTATGCACAAGAATAAGCAAATCATAATTATAGATTTATGACCTAAAAACACCTCTTAATATAGCATTAGCGAATCTTATAAAAATTATATGTTGAATGTAAATTGGAAATCATTTTAAGATTCGCATGTGTCACTATTATTGAACCCCCCCCCCCAGTGTCACACAACTTGTTCGATGCTATCAAATTCAGAAGTTTGAAATTATTCTCCTTTTGTGAATATGAATAAACAAAGATTGTTCTACCTTGTTTTAGATGTATGGTTTATATAATTAAGGCATTTTTGATGCATATATTCACCACATCGAAAATTATATAATTTCTATGGATATTATTTTACAATCAACTGTATCAAATTGGGATTCTAAAGATCATTTATTTTAAATGCATAATCTCCCTTCTGAAGATTTGATAACATTGAACTGTAGAATATCCGTAGTGGCTTGAAGAAGGTTGTACTTCATCCATTGTAATCAATTAGTGCATAGTCTTTATGATCCAATTATCAGTTTTTTCATTTTATTGACAAAATCGATTGCAATTTTAAAGCGAAAACGAAAACTTATTAGCACTACCATACTGTTGCAATATGATCAAATTAAATTTATGCGAATGGCAAGCGGAAAAAAAATTAAACTGAAATATACTTTAGTTAATCTTGGATGTCTTCTATCCATGATTAAATTGATTTTGCTGAAAAAATAATATCTCAATCTCAAAAAGGCAAACGATTATTAAGGGTGCACACGAGATGATCGTGTAAACTTCAGAATTTAGAACCTTATTTTTAGGCATTATCTTGGCTACCTATTTAGGCTCGAAAAGCAAAAAATATCAAAAAATACAACTTGACTCCATTATGACCCTTTCATGGAGGTAGTTTTTATCCGCTAGTATTTTCCCTTTGAATCTCTTTACAATTCGAAATCAAATTCAAACCTCAGTAGAAGAAAGGAAGAATCGACTTACTACGGTTGTAATACGAATAAATACATATATTTAATTATTTTTATTTACATAATAATTGTTTGAAGCTCATATTCCATCAAATTTTTAAATAAAAACATTAAAATGTTGAAAATGTTCATATATTTTAATAGGGTTTTGGCACTTTATTGAGGAATTACTACATACATAGTCGAACTGAACTTGATATTTTGAAATTTAAATTATTTATCAAAATTAAAATTTAACTTGAAATTTATAATATTTAGTCATATTTTGCATAATTCTAAGTAGATTTTGTAAAAAATCAAGAAAGAAAAATTTTAACGTGCTTTATTTTTTCTTTTTATAATAATACATATTATTATATAATTAACATATTCATAATGTTTCACCCTTTCAAAATATAATCCTCCTCCTCTCAAATAAACGTACATACGGGTGGCCTCTTTTTTCAAAAAATTAAAATTTGAAATTTTGGGCTCAAATATTAGAGATTTTTTCAACCTTCAACGATATATGTTGTCTATATCAGACCTCCTTTCTTTTTGATACTTAACATTGTTCCTAAATCTTAGCCGTTAAGGCTGTTCTGAAAATATTTTTTTTTTCGAAAAAATTTGAAAAAAATTCTTAAAATTCAAAAATCCCTTAATTCCTGAGGATTCGGGTTGTTAGATTCCCGACGATAGGTGTCTTGGAAGATTTGCCTGGTGTCATCATAGTGTCTTTAAATCAAAAATTTTATTTTGGAGTTAGTTTTATTGATTTTTCAATAAAAAACATTTCTAAAACAAGAAAATAAAACGATAAAATATTTATATTTTATATAAGGATCTTATATATTTAAAATAAATATCATTTTATTTTTTTCATTGGTGTCTGTCAAACCATAATACACTATTCAAAAATTCAATGTGTCTTGCGGTTTCAAAAGACACCTTCAAATTGAAAGATAGCACAGATACTATTGAATTTTACCATTTTATTTAGTTTTTACCCTTTTTATTTTTAAGAATTAATGACTGAAACAGCCGTTTTGCTATGACCTCAATCACTTTTATTTATTATTTGAAATATTATTTAATTTATTATTTGAATAGGCCAACTTATATTTGAGAAGCTCAATTTGAGACCACTTAATACATTGAAATATCATAAATATTGAAATATTAAAAAGTGTATTTCAAAATATTGAAATTATAAAAATTTATAATCCTGAAATTGAGACAAATTAATAAATTCAATGTTTTTTTTTTGAAATAACTCTCAAATATTATTTTTTTGTTTATTTAATGATGAATAAATATGATTGCTTTAGTCAATCATAAAAACTAATTTAAGTTTAAAATAATGAAAGGATAATTTGATCGTTTTTTAAAATACAATTATTTTTGATGATTTGCAAGAATCTTTGAAAAGAATATAATATAGGTTCTATTTTTGTAAAATTTATTCCAAATCATTGAATTACATAAATTACGATTAAAAACGCATGAACGAACCAAAAAAGTGTGTTTTGTGTTGTTGTTGCGCGTGTTGGATGCGGGATCCTGTTATTTCCGAAATCGACAAAAAATTTTGGAAATTTAATTTCCGAAATCGAAATTATATTAATGTTTTTAATATTCTTATATCAAAAGGATTAAAGTTCATTAAGAGAAAAACAATTCTTCTTCTTCAATCTATTGGCGCATTTATTTCTACACGCCAATAAGGAAGGGAAAATTCTCAGACACCATGGTGTCTTCAAAACGCTAAATTTTGATATTTTTAACAACCCTACTGAGGATTTTGGAAAAAAGTTTTTACATGAACATGTGTATATTATATGAAGTATATTGATAAGGTAAAAATCAAATTTTATTGCATATTCATCGAGAAAATAAACTAACGAATCCCTCAAAATTGAGAGGGTAATCCTCCTCTCAAATAAACGTACATACGGGTGCACCCTTAATATTCAATTTGAAAGGTATCACAAAAGTAATTTCGATGCTTTTAAATATATTGTGCGAATCAAACAAATAATAATGATTTGTCCAAATGTTTAATTCAATTGTTGCGTCCCTAAAGTTCTGAAAAATGTGTAATTTTATGAAATTTTTCTGAAAGTTCTTCCGAGACTTTCAAAATGTCTGAAGAAATACCAGAGTACATTCATCATTATAAAATCAATGGTGTTATTGGCTCTGGTGCTTTTGCTACAGTATATAAAGCATATAATCCAGAACTCAGGCGTCTTTTTGCCATTAAATGTTTCAAAAAATCAAATTTGAAAAATTCTAAAGAGGAAGAAACATTCCAAAGAGAGATTGATACTATGGCTTACATGGATCATCCTGGGTTAGTCAAATTGCACAATATCTTTGAAGATGAAAATAATTTCTACTTAGTTTTAGACTACTGCGCAGGTGGAGAGTTATTTGATTACATACTCAAGAAGAAGAGGCTTGATGAGCATACTGCAGCACTAGTATTCAAGCAAATTGTATCGGCAATCAGTTATTGTCATTCTTTTGGTATAGCTCACCGTGATTTAAAGCCTGAAAACATATTAATTGATAAGTTCCCTAAAGTAATGATCTCGGATTTTGGTCTTTGTGGATATCTCAAGGAATCAACTTTGATGTCTACTTTTGTCGGTTCACCAATATATACAGCTCCAGAGTGCCTTCAAAATCAGGAGTATGATGGTCGTCTTAGTGACATTTGGTCCCTTGGTGTAATCTTGTTCGGAATGGTTACTGGCGAACATCCATGGAAAACAAACAATACTGCTATAATGCTCAAACAAATATATAACGCTGATTTCACGTACCCAAGCTACCTCTCAAATGATGTTAAAGAACTTATTGGTTCAATGTTGAAAGTTGACCCATTAGAAAGAAAGTCTTTAGAAAATATTCTTAAGAATGATTGGTTTGACAATGAAAAGAAGTCGCCATTTTCAACTTCAATGGTCGGTAAGAAATTATTAACAAGAGAAGAACCTGAAGTACCAGAAATTCAAATGTCAGCTCTTGCAGAACAATCAAGATGTGCTAGTAAACTCAGATTCGATCATAATATTGTTTCACCTTTTACAAATGACTTTTCTCCAAGAATGTATCAGCCTCACTTAGTTATGAAACTCAAATGCGACTCTCCGAAGCCTCTCTGTGCTAAACAAAGCGTTTTCAAGAAAGCCGGAACTTCATTATCAATGCAAAGGCAAATGAGTTCATTATCAAAGAGCGCTTATTCATTTATAGAGTTATAATATTGAATAGAATGTTTTTGTTTTGTTTGATTTAAACTTATATTTCATCATTTCCAAAATTATCAATTTTTTTGCTCTTTTTGCATCAAATCCACAAGTTGTTGGACATAGTGTGCCACAAATCTCTTCAATATGTATAATGTTTTGAATGCCATAGCAATCAACAACATTGATAGAGACAACAGTGCATTTGTGAGTGTTTGTCCACCACTATAATATCCGTGAAAGCTTCGCCTTGTCGAGTCAATCCCATCTAGAAAATTTTATAAATAAAAAATTTTAAAAATATTTTTGGTATTTTGTATCAATTTGAACCATATAATGAGTATATAAAGGCAAAACTTTCTGGGATGATAAACCTTATCTTCTGCAAAAAAGTTTGAAGACAGAAATCCAAATATTAGGAGTGAAAGCTTATTTTTTTCGGGTTTACAATCGTATAGTCATAATTAAACAAGTTAAAATAAAAAGTTAATAATAGAAAATATTATTTATTAGGGAAAAAAAAATTAAAATTATTTTTATTCTTCTAAATTTGTTAATAACAATTTTTGTTCTGTTGTTGGGCAAATGAGCATCTTGATGTATTCAGCTTTATTTTTCTGACTGAGGTATGATGTTTGTGGAGTTTTGCCTTCTCCTAATTTTGTAATGACAAAACGGATTTCTTGCTTAAATAAAGCAGGGAATTTATCAGGAACGAACTTAGACGGGTGAAACACGAATCCTTCAATAACAGGGGAACTCATTATGTTAATAAAAGTAACGTAATTGTAGACAATCGGATGAAGAATGTCTCCAACCTTGCCAAGGAAGTTCAAACTTGCTTCTGATGGACTGCAACATGCTGCTTGTATGAATGCGTGGAAATCAAATGCAATTTCCAAGATAGAAAACGCATAAGGAGAAAATGCTTTGTCAAAAACGCCTGGAAGCTCTGTTGTTGAAAAGATAGCCTTATTACATGGTTTATCTACTGATACTTGCTCAACAAACTTGCAAATTCCCTTGTAAACAATTTCATAAAGATTATAATCAAATTTATAAAGGAGATTTGCAACTTTATCGCATTTTCTGAGTTCGCTTACAGGGAATTCTGCTCTAAAGAATGCGGCTTTTGCGTCATTGATGACATCTTCCGGATAACAATTTACAATTTCAGAAACAATGTTAAGAGCATCCGAAATCTGTTGATTATTTCGTCTCATGGAAGGAAGGAGTTGTACTAAGTGGTTACTTTCTGAAATTGCAACATCTTTTGAAATAAATTTCATGTTTTCTTGATATCTCGCGATTCTTCCGATATCTCTGCCTTCTAGATTGAAAGCCTTGGTAATTATGTACTCATCGTCCTTAACGTTGACCACGAAATATGACCTTGATGGGTGAATTGACAAAATTTTGACGTTACTGATCTTTTTTGTCTCGAAAAGGTTGAGATACTTGTAGTGGTATATTCCGTTGATGACGTAGGAATCGATTTTGCCATCATTGGTCTCGACATTGACTCCTAAAGTCAAATAATGAAAATCGTTATTTGAAATACTTGCGAATTTAATGGATTCTATAGATTTAACTGGGAAATCAGCATATATCAATTCTGAAAGATTTGTTGTATATGCTGTTTGGCGGGTTTTGAGTTCATAAACTGAAAAAACGAAATCCTGGTTAATTGTGCATAAATATTTCGAAAAGATATGAATTGCAAGAATCTTGGAAGATTTAAATAGTGGGAATGGCGCTGAAATGAATGTGGATTGACTTGTTTCACTTAATTCGATAATTGAATTGTTTGCTAGTAAAAGATATAATTTATTTGCGTTAGGAATGGCTTGTATGATGTCATAATTGCATTTCCTGTAAAATTGAGTATTATATTTCAAAACTTCGGAATTTTGAACGATAATCCAGATATTGCTAGTATCATTGTATTGAACGATAATTTTTCCTTCTTTTACATCGTTTAAATATGATTTATTGCCGTTAGAATATTGATAAAAAATTCCTTTAGAGTCAACTGGGAGAAAACTGATATCTGTTGGTGCGCACGATGATGCATTGTTGAAATATTCAACTGTCACCCTGTTGAAAAGCTCGTAATCAGTCTCTACCCAGTCATATGAATCATCAATCATTTGGTATAAAAAAAAAGCAAAAACAAAACAAAACTTTTTATTTATTGTTTTTCTTTTAGATTTTGATTATCTTCAAATAATAAATCAAAATTATTGCTAAAATATTGTTTTTAAACTCAAAATACTAGCATCTGGTCAATGAAATATGCAACAGATTAACTTATAAAACACATCCCCATCATAAAAAGCACAAAATCAAGATCTGCTCTTGCTCAAACTAGTTGATTCAAATAATCAGATTATCGATAATCATATATAACTAATAAGTGGATGCATGCACTCAAATTAATAATGCTGAAACTATGCTCTGATCAGTGGTATATTCAAATCAATGAATGTGGGATAATTTTAAGTGTCGAGATTTTTTTTTATTTTTGAGAAGTCATATGGGCGCGCAGCGTAGCAGAAATTAAAAAAAATCACTATCAATTGAAAGATTTATTAGACATTTGTAGCACCATGTTCAACTAAGAATTTGATAATATTTGTTGCTTTATAATTATGATTGGCAATACTAAGAGGGCATTCATTAATATAGAGAGAATTTCATAAAACAATGATGAATATGAAAAGAAAGAGAACTCTATCATAAAATGATAAATATTAAGAGAAAGAGAATTTCATAAAACAATGATGAATATGAAAAGAAACTGAATCAAATAAAACAATAATAAATATGAAAATAAAGAGAATCAAATAAAACAATGATGAATATGAAAATAAAGAGAATTTCATAAAACAATGATAAATGTGAAAAGAAAGTGAATCAAATAAAACAATGAGAAATGTGAAAATAAAGAGAATTCTATCATAAAATGATGAATATGAAAAGAATGATAATGTTATAAAACAATGAGAAATATGAAAAGAAAGAGAATAAGTTTCATGTTAACATCAGCACCATGCTCAACTAGGAATTGGACAATTTCCATTGAATTCATATTGATAGCAATACTAAGAGGGCATTTATTAATATAGAGATAATGTAATAAAACAGTGATAAATATGAAAAGAAAGAGAATTCTATCATAAAATGATAAATATGAAGAGAAAGAGATTATAAATTTTGTTGATATCTTCTCCATTATTAAGTAAATAAGATACAATATCATAATTTCCGAAATGCATACTTTCTGCTATTGAATTTGGAGTTTGTTCAAAATTTGATTTGAGGTAGTCGGCAATTTCATAATTATGATAATCCAATGCTGTATTAATCGTTTTTTTAAATGATTTACCTTCATCTATCATTTGCATAAAAATGTTTTTATTCCCGCCTTGAACAGCATATTCTTCGGAGTTATCGGTGTATTGTGCTCCTAAATTTTTCAAGTAATTGAAACACAATTCTGATCCATATTTAATTGCACAGTCAAGTGGTGTGATTTCATAATCAATTTTCTCATTAATATCAAGATTTCATTATCACATCTGCAAGTTTTTGGTTTTCCCTCCTATGATAAATATGTGAATTTCGCGTATGACAGGGGTAAAAAACTTTAACTATCTCATGATTGGAGCTTTAAACCAAAAATATACTCAATAGAAAACATAGAAAACAATAGCTTATATGTATTTAAATATGAAAAAATACTCCTTATCTAATATTGAAAGACTAGATACAAATCTAATTAAACTCTGAATAGGAGCGAATTATATCGAAAAGTATCGGAAGTAATTGGTATTTATATGTTATTTATTCTCATACATTGATTTTGTGCAAATTTGATAAATAGTTCCAGATCTCATCACTTATTGCATCTTGGACAAATTTAATAGATACATGTTTTGCTCAATAGAAAAGATAGGTCTGTGTACCTATATTGCACAACTTAAGTATCTTTGATATTAATTCAAAAACCAGAGACTAGATACAGTTGAAAGTTCAATTTTTCCATTCATTATTTCTCTACTAGCTAAAGATCTCAGACCATGCAAACTTTGTATTGAATACATATTTATATACACTATTGAGATATGTCACAATAACAAAAGGATTACAAATATTTATTTAGTTATTTGCACTTTTTGTTATTCGGTCACATCACTTTCCGCTACCCTTAACAGTAGGTGTTAAGGGTGCCCAGACGACGATAGATAAACTACTCAAAAAATATCACCATAAAATATGACTAACGTCAATTTAAACTTAGTAATACATATATCATACACACTACTATAGTAGTATATATTACTATGTTTTGCCTATTCAGAGTTGTTATGGATTCATCTGCATCAAAGAATTGGCATGCAAAAATTAACATATTCTCAATATAACTATACACATAACCCTGATAACAATATAAATACTGCAGATGATATAACATATTCAAGACATATTATCAATATATCTTAATTTTTCTCTGGTCTTAGATGCCAATCTTTCTAATCTGTGATAAAGTAAAAAAAAATAACTTCCGAGACTCATTTGGTTGCGATAGAGAGCTAAATATATTGCAGAAATATCATATATACTGCATGAAGTATATTTGCCCTTCAAATAGACTCTATTCTCGAGAATTTTTTGTAACCAAAGATTTCGAGATCTTCAAATTAAATTAATAAAAACATACTTTTATATAACATATAGATTTAATACATATAGTAAAGCATATATGTTCATATAATATCATACTTTTAGTGAGCACAGCCTGAAGAAAATGTAAAAAAATATATAATTTTTGTCCGGAAAAGTGACAAAATTATCATTTTCATCAGACGACAATGATAATTTTTTATTTTCACGGTCATTCTAAAAAGATAAATTAATGAGATTGCATTGCAATGATACCTACTTGAGTTGCAATGCATCTATTAGGAAATTTTGGTGAAAATAAATTGAATAGTTCGAGTTTAGGATTTTAACTTCGCTAAAAAAATTGACTCAAAATACACAAAAAATGAAATAATTTGAAGTTAGAGATTGAATAATATAATGCATGAGGAGCTATTAAATAAAGTTGTGTATGAGAATATTGCACTTAGATTAATAGAAATAGAATTATAATTCAATAATTATGATGCCTGACGAAAATGACAATTTTGTCACTTTTCCAGGCGAAATTGATAATAAAAAAATTGTTCAGATTTTTCTCTAACACAATATTTTCCGCCAGTACACCCAACTATATATTTTTTATTTATATATATCAGCAATATATCTTGCATATCTATGTCTTCAACAATATTTTCTATCATGTTGATTCCTATTCCAGAAGCATCAATTTAATTCTGATGACAAATCTATCTTACAATTCTTAATTATTGACAAGAATTTTTGATTCGGATAAAGTAAACTTTATACGCAATTCCAAATCCAAACCGATTCCTGATTCATGTTTAATTCCATTATTGTCACTTTTCGACCCTATAGGTTATTTCAATTCCAAAAAAGTGTCATATTCTAAATTATAGTTTATTCGGATTAACACCTACTGTTAATAATTAAAAAGTTGATTTTCTTAAACTCCAATATAGATGTTAATGCATTACATCACTATATAAATAAAAATTTAAAAATAAATTTGCATTTCAATCAAAATCCCATGATCTCGAAGGGTTATTATTTACATGAATAACAACTTTGATTTCTTCAAGGAAAATAGTAAACTAGAAATTAGGGAAAAATATCAGACCGAAATTCTAAAGAGAAGACGATTTTAATTTACAAAATTGTATTTTTGAATGAATGTATAAATGAGTTACTTGTGGATAAAAGAATTGTATTTGGCCAAATCAATAAAAATGATTTTCATCTTTTCTCTTTTTGTTGAAAAAGTTCCGGTTGAAAATATTAGAGGAATTTCTCCTAATACAAAGTCTCAATACTTGAGATCACTAAAATGGACGAAAGGAGTCTTTCAATGCTTTGATAAATCAAAAACAATTCCGATCGAAAGAGTTAACGATGGATATTGCGATTGCCTTGATGGTTCTGATGAACCAGGTACTAACGCATGTGGAACAGGTCTCTTTTACTGCAGAAATCGAGGATCTTATCCGAAAGAAATTCCAAAATGGCTTGTTGGTGATGGTGTTTGCGATTGCTGTGATGGAAGCGATGAAGCTGGAAATCCAAACGCAGAATGCGAAGATATTTGTGGATCATTGGCAAAGAAATCAGATCAATTAAAGAAATCTCTCAGGAATATCACAAACATTGGAGAAAGATTACGCCAAAAATACAGTGACCGTGGTAGAACAGAACTTTCTGTTAGAAGACATCAGCTTCAATACGTTAAATCAGCCAAAGAAAACATTTTCTCAGCATTATCATATGTTGAACGAATTCACTACGAAATAATGAAAGGTGGAGATTACCAAGGTCTAATGGTTGGCTTGAGAAATTCATTAAATGAACTCCAACACAATTTCGATGATAATTTACAAGATGAGTTCAATATCCGCAAACAAGGGCGTAAGATTAAAACAGAAGATCCACATCGTGGTAAATTCAACCTCAAGAAGAGAGCACAGCGTAATTTTAATGTAGAAAATGCGATTATTTACCTCAAAGATTTCAGTTTAGTCTTTGAAAATATCGAGCAAGCATACAACATCTGCAGGACCTTCCAAGATTCCTACCAAATTGGCCAAGATCCACCAGATTTCAACAATCAGTTCAATAAACTCAATTCCATTACTTCGAAGATCGAAAACTCTACTCAAAAAGTGATCGATGATATGAATCTCGACTTCGGAATGGATAAAGAATACTTGCCACTTTATAAACAGTGGTATTACTTCGAGAAAGACGATTGGTATGTTATTTTCCATCCCTACGACAATGTTACTAAGTACAGTTCCAAGGATGGCCACCAAATTTGGGATTTCGGACATTATAATTATACAAAGACTCTTCGTTGGTATTTCTCAGGCGGAAGTACTTGTAAACACAATAGGCCTGGCTCTGATATGGAAATTAGGTTGCATTGCAGACTGAAAGACGAAATCTTAAATGTCCATGAATACGAGGATTGTCACTCAAGACTTGACTTCGGAACACCAGCTGCTTGTTCCTCTGAATACACCCATCAGATAAATCAGATGTCTGCTGAAACTCTCGATGAATGGGCAAGAGAAGCTGGTTTGATCAAATAATCAGGCCAAAATGGTTTATTTTTTATATATCGTATGTTTATTTTAAAGATTTTTTGTTTTAATTCCTTCATATTTTTCTCATATTTATAACAAAAGTTCTACAAGCTTGATACCTTCCAACTATGTATTAAAAATGAGTTTATATATGGAAAAAGTTAGAAATTCCGATCCTCAAAATAAATATTGGAGTATTATGAAATTTTTAGCTTTGGAACAGCGAAAAGTATCACACCAAAGCTATGGTAAAGTAAAAATGCTTATATATTTTGATAATTTGAGATGAAAGTTCTATTTCCAAATAATTTGTAAAAATAGTGAAAAAAATCATGTGTAATTGAGTTCAGTAATATGAATTTTTAATCATAGATTAGTATGCAATTTGCATTTTTGTTTTGATTATAGAAAATTTATATTATTAAAACATTTAGCCATTGATGCCGAAAATTCTAACTCCATGCATGAATGGGAGCTTTGCAAGAATGCAGACGAAGAGAATTGGGAAGTTTAAGAAGATGTAAGCTAATTCCCAGTGACCAGAGTCAACGGCGAGGAAGAAAAGAATGATTGGGAAGATAATTAAGAACTTTCTAGCACGGGTGTTTTGGAGTTGATCATCAATTTGTTCCCAGAAGGTTAATTGTGAATATGCACCGTGATCATCAATAAATGGTGAGCCTTTAATCCAGTGGAAGAGTATAATTGTGACTATTCCATGTACCCATGATACAAGTGTCCAAGCCATTGGAATGGAAAATCCAAGACCACTTAAAAAAATTCTAAGGAACAAGAATAACAATGTGTAAAATACCCAGCAGACTGGATTGTCAATGAATTGAACGTTTTTGTTGAGAATTGCTGGTAAGGAGGATGATTTTTTCATGAAAAATTTTGAAATTGACAAATTTACGGTCGAAAATTAATAAGGTTTTGCCTTGAAAAAATGCCTTATGTAAGCTCAAAAGCAAATACACAATGTGAAATGTTTGATTTTATTTGAAATTGAACTCAATTTACCTTGAAAAAGTTGATTTTTAACAGATTTGTATGCTATTATTGGAACTAATGCAAACGGAATTGATAAAAATTTCCAAAAAAAATTGAAATTCAAAATTACAAAATCAAAATTGTACTTTTTTATTATATTTTTTAGAAAATAAGAAAAATTTGGAATATTTCCAAATTTCTAAATAGGTTGTTCTTTATAAAACTACAATAAAAATAGTTTTTCCATATGAATATATGTTTTTTATTCCTTATTTCAAAAAATAAATTTTAAATATAATAGATAACAATGAATTTCCCTATTCATATGGCTTTGATTCATGCATTATTGCCTAAATCTATAAGTAAGACCCCATCTATTTTGGGGTCTCTTTCATTTTCTCATAATGGATCTAAGGGTTTTTTTTGATGAAGTTTTCGTAGAACTTCCAAATGAATACTACGCTGACTTTGACTTCGAAACAGAAATAACAGCTATGGTATTATCTAAAATGGGTCATATTCTTGGCCTTGGATTTGAAGATGGATCAGTTATTTTATGTGATTCGGATTCTGGCAATAATAGACATAATATCAAAGGACACAAAACAAGAGTATCATCAGTTGCATTCTCTCCTGATAATAGATTGTTCGTGTCTGGAGATCATGATGGCTATTTTCAAGTGACCGACGTAATTACAAAACAAGTCGTATTTTCCGAGAAAGCACCAGATGAAATACAAAAAGTTTTATTCAATCCAGAAAATCCTGATGAATTTCTGGCATTATACGGCCTTACAATGAAAATTATCAACTTAAAATCAAAAGAATTTAAATTCTTCCCTGACCCCATATCGCTTGTTTGCTGGACTAGCAAATATGGATTGATTTGCGTTACAGATGATCTTCATTTGAATTTTTATGATAAAGATTTCAAAGTTGTAGGATCTAGTTCCCTTTCTTCCATGAAGAAAATCCCATATATGGCTGTTTCCAATACAGAGAAACTCATTTGTCTCCTCAATATCCGTGGTGAAGGTTTTATTTGGGATGTTCCTGAGATTGCTGTCGGAGTACATGATGATCCTGCATGCAGAAACGATTACAAAGATAGAGTTAGCGAAATGAAATACACATGCTGTGTTTTTGACAGAATGGGCGAACATATCATTTTTTCATCAAACAAAAAGCAACAATGCAAGCTAGTAATTTACGAAATAGATGCTACAGAAGTCAAGCAAGAGCTTGATGGCCCTTCAGACCCTGTTAATTTCATTTTATTCCATCCTCAGCAGCCAGTTATTTATACAGCAGGAACTCCATCAATCAGAATGTGGACTCCAACATACGAAAACTCTTGGGAACAGTTTATGCCAGGTTTCCAAAGCGTAACAAATAATGTCGAATATCAAGAGAGAGAAGATGAATTTGATATAGATGATTCAGTCGAACAAGATACAATCATGCGAAATGAAGGTGAAATTATCGATATATTTACATTTACAAAACCTCCTCCAGATATTTTGGTCGATCTTCCATTAGACATCGACGATATCGTTGCCAAGAGACTGGAAAGGAAGAAGAAAGAGGCCGAAGAGGAAGAAAAGAGAAAGAAAGCCCTTCAAGCTGCAGCAGCCATTGCATCTGTTAATTAATTACATAAATATATTGAAATGTTGTTGTTTCTGAATTGAATTATTACTGTAGAATAAAATATACTTTGTTTTTGATATAAATCCAAATAATCTCAAAAAATTTAAGTAAAAATAAATGAAAAATGATAAATTCTAGACTTCCAGATAAAGATAACAGGTTTAAATTATTATTTTTTTTCAATTAATTATCTTTGATTTCAGAAACAACATCATCAATGTTCAGGTCATCACCAAAGTCAACCTTACTTTCTGTTTTAGCTTCTTGAGGACTATTTAATATGGAGCTGAGGAGTTCTGCGCCAGTTGCATCTTCCATTCCAACATCAACTTCATTTGAAACTTCTAATGCAATTGCAGAAAGTTCTTTAAGAACTTTGAGCAAGTTTTCTTGTACTTTTTCATCGTTTTTAACTTCAATTCCCAATTTTTTGAATTTTTCAATAAGTTCTTGAACTAACTGTTCATCAAATGCATTCTTATTATATTTGACTGGTTTTGGTCTGGCTTTAACTGAACTGATTGTCTTACGCGGTGATAATTCAGCTTCAATTTCTTCTTTCTTGATAACATGTTTCTTAACAGCCTTAGCGATTTCTGGTGCATATTTTTGCATTAGTTCTTTGGCTTCATTTTCGTTTGGTGGATTATCTGTTGGATCCCAATCATTATCTATGAATGTTTTACAAATTGATGGATATTTCGATGCCTTCAGTCTCTCCTGACTTGTAATCTCTACTTTGTTTATTGTACGAATTCTTGGACCGAAAGCAAGAATCAAAGCGATGCGATAATTAGGTCTTTGCGACATAGGTGTTTCTTCTATTTCAAAGTTGGCGAGATTTTTCAGTCGTGAAAGTCCTTTGTATGACGTTAACATCGTATGATTTGCACGAATATCTTTAAGATTCTGTTGAAGTGGAAGATGAGCGAAAGTACTCACCTTTGTATCTTTTCCAAGTTTAAGACAAAGAAGTGCCTTTTGTTCACCGATAGTTTCAATAGAAAAATCATTAACATCTTCGCCCTTAAGTGAAATAAGTCCACGAAGTGACAAAGATCTTCTTTGCTCGATCATTTGCTGGCTGACTGATTTGGAGCATTTCACTTTCTGCTGAACAAATTCTGTGGGCTGCGAAGTTTCCATTGATAAACGGATGGACGATAGATGCGAATTTGGAAATCATTTCACAATCTTTGGATTACACAATGACAGTGAGCAGAAGAAATGAAAAACCAAATAATTTTAAAATATTTAATAATGATTTAATCTGATTTTGAGAAGATGTCACTCAACTTTTTGATCGATGTGGGATAATGGATATTTCTCTTTTAATAATGTGAAAAGGAAGTTGTATGTATTAATATTCAATAACAACCTACCCGATAGCCTTTTAAACTCAAGAAAGCATAGGTTTTAAAACTCCAAAGATCCAGAATTAAGAAGGAAATCTCCCTAAAGAGCAGGGCATGGTTTTAACCAGTAATAAATTCGAAAAAAGATAAAAAATCAAAAACAATTACAGTCATACCTATTTGAAGTGGTACCTATCAGCAATAATGTGTTTTGTATGTAAATACACAAAATATGTTTATAAAGCCATATCATAATGATAGGTGGTTTTTCCAAAATCATTATTTTTCGTTGATATTTGCACCATGTGAAATAAGAAGTTTGGTTATTCTTCTACTATTATAAATTGTTGCTTTATGAAGAGCGGTTTTTCCATGTAAATCTTTTTCATTGATATTCGCACCATGTGAAATAAGAAGTTCTGCGATTTCTTGACTTTTATTTTCTGCTGCCATATGAAGAGCTGTTTTTCCAAATTTATCTTTCTCATTGATATTCGCACCATGTGAAATAAGAAGTTCTGCGGTTTCTTTACTTTTATTTTCTGCAGCCATATGAAGAGCTGTTTTTCCAAATTTATCTTTCTCATCGACATTCGCACCATATGAAATAAGAAGTTCGGCTACTTCTATACTATTATTATTTGCAGTCATATGAAGAGCTGTTTTTCCAAATTTTTCTTTTTCATTAATATTTGCACCAAGTGAAATAAGAAGTTCGGCTGTTTCTTTGCTATTATAAAATGCTGCTTTATGAAGAGCGGTTTTCCCATGTAAATCTTTTTCATCTATATTTGCACCATGTAAAATAAGAATTTCGACTGTTTCTTTACTATTATAAAATGCTGCTTTATGAAGAGCTGTATCTCCATATATATCTTTTTCATCTATATTCGCACCATGTGAAAGTAAATATTCACAAAGTGATGGAACTTTGAACATTGCAGAAAGAACAAGACATTTCTTAAAATCAATTTGATCTAAATAAACCATAAATGCTTCAAGATTATTATAATTATAACAATCTTCTAAATCAATCTCTATATTGTGTTCATTCATCAAGAATGTAACAAAATCAATATTGTGTGAAATAATTGCATATTTTATACAATCGTCATTTGGTTGTTGATATTTCAAACATTCATTCAAAATCTCTTGATTTCTCCCTAAAAATGATAATTCTAGACATTTTTCAGTTATTTTTGAGTCAAATTTCGTTCTTAAAAACTTAAAACAATCAACTGATCCGTGGTAACAACACAATTCAAGTAATGAATATCCTTCTTCAGAATTTGGATATAAATTGCTTTTAAGTATTTGACCTTTATTAAATCCTTCTCTTTCAGTGAATGAGATGAATCTTTCTTTGTCGTTATCCATAATTGCTCTGTAAACTGTATTTTCTGCATGAACATCTAGATCTTTTGAATCTTCTTCGAAATTAGTACTTTTGTCTAATTGAATGCCGTATTCTTTATAAAATAGGAAGTTTGAAATATCTTCAACATTTTTGACATTTTTGACATGATATTCATCAGATATGAGTTTGGAAAGAGATAAATATGTCTTTGTATAGCGATTATTAAAGGGAATAATGTCTAAAATATCTCTTATAATATTTTGGGGAAGATATTTCTTTGATTCAAGCAATTCTGTTTTGATCATTCTGTAAATGGAGTTTAATTCTACTTCATTTCCCGTTTTCAACTGATACAACGTAATATATGCATCAATGTAGTATTTACAACAACTTCGTAATTCACTGAATTTATTTTGTTGATCAGACATGTAAATATTAAATCTTCACTTTAAAAATTGGGGCAAAAAGAACTGAACACCAAAAAATTGAGAAAACACCAGAAAGTGGTAAGTATATCAATAAGGTGTGGTGATAAAAAAATATTTGACACTTTTCTAGGATTGTCAAATTTGCTCAAATTATGTATTCTATAACTATTTTATCATGCGAAAATGTTGCCAATGCAGATGATACACCATCATGCTTTGTTAAGGTTTATCTTGAAGCAAATGGACTTAATTTATACGTCGGAAAGACGAATTCTTCAAAAAAGCAAGGATTATTAAAATGGGATAAAAACATGGGCAATAATATGGCAACTCTCTTTGTATATACCGATGTAATACGTTTCGAATTGTATACAAAAGATTTTTTGGGTGGCAAAGAATTACTCGCAGCTGCCTCCGTTCAATCATCGCAAGTCAAATCAGGGTCGCTTAAATTAAAGTCACATTACTCGAGAGATCCCAATAGAACTGTTTATTTCAATGTAAAAATCGAATTTATTCAATTCCAATTTCCATTCATCAAAAATACTCTTTCGCAACAATTTTACTTTTATTATCTTACATTTGATCCAGAGGTTTCATATGATCCTTTCAAAACCAATTGCTACTTTCATTTCATTACATTAGACCCTGAATCAAAAAAGCCTTCACTTTATTCAGGCAGCGATGCTAAAGATGGCATTTACTTCAACTACTCGCCAGTTTTCTCTGGCCCTTCTGGATTAACACAAGTTTGCATTATTGACCCAAGAGCAGTTAAAGGGAGTATGAGATACCTTCCTGTTTTAGTAAATCATGGATACAGAGGCCGCGTTTCATTAAATGTCGCTTTTAGTGCTCGTCCAACGATGACTTCTTCTGGTTTGAGTTTAATTGCTCCAGAGCACAACAAACTTTATTCTAAAAATGCCATCTCCCTAAATGTTGAATCAGATGGCGCTCTTCCATTCGGATGCGTTGTTAATGTAGCAGATGATATTAGCCATGTAAGCTACGATCCAATTGATTTATCATTGGATGGAATTTTATCACAAAGCTTTTAGTTCATAGAAATTTTGATTTATTTTTATATATATTTGTAAATGTTAATTTTATTTCTTAATATTTCTTAATTACAATATCGTTCTATATGACAATGAAAGTGTTTATATTTTACATTAATTATCATACTGTTTTTACCAAAATTTATTATAAAATATTTATTAGAAAGGAAAAATAGATATGACATGTAATTAAATGACTACTTTTTCAATTTTAGAGATGTTCAAATCTAAATTATTACTAAAAAACCAAAAATAAAGAAATAATTTTTGGATTTTTTTGAATGAAGCTTTTATATTATATGAGACAAACATCATATGAATATAGATTAATATAAGACTACATTTACTAATCTAAATTAAAAAAAGAAAAATTAAAATGTATCAATTAGGCTTCTAGCTTTGCCTTGGTCGAGAAGTGTTGTATAGACATATACACCGGCATGTTCGAAGCAGTCTGGTGCAGAAGGAACAACTAAAGCGCCATCCTTGGAATCAACAGCTTCTCCTGTAGGCATATTTCCATTTGCAGCGACTGAGACCATCCAGTTCAATCTCTTCTTTATGTCCATACCAAGAACTTTCTCCGACCAAGCAACGTAAGCTGTAACAACAGGCCAAGCTGGTTCAGAAACCTGTGTTTCTCTTGTTCCTTCGCCGCATGGATTCCATACTGAGTCAAAGAAATAAGGATCGCCTTCGTATCTTGCAATTCCACCTCCTCCGAGTTTAGATAATTTCGAAGTGATGAAATTCAAATGGCTTTTAGCGGCATCGCCTGAAATTAATCCGAAGAAGACACATGACATGGAAGCGGAGTCGGCTCTTGTATCTGGCATTTGTTCTGCGTCATCTCTGACACCACGATACAATTTGTTATTGTTTTTGTCCCATAAAGCTTCTAAAACGCCTTTTCTAATTTCTTCTGATCTGGCTATGTCCTCTTGTGCGCGTTTTGCATCACCAATTTTGTTTTCAATTGAAGCAGCAGCTCTCATTCCTCCAAACAAGCATCCCATTTCCCAGGAGTACCATTGGCAAGGTAATGGTTCTTTTGTATGATGGTCTGATGATTCTTCCCAAGGAGATCTGTCACTTAAAGGTAATTTGTGGAATCCGGAGTCTGTATTGATGAATTTGACCATCTCTCTTGCGCGATTTAATTTTCCTTTGACCCATTCTTCATCGCCATAAACTTTTAAGTGATAATTTAATGCGACCAAATATAATCCGTTTGCATCGAATTGTGGCTCTACGAACATGCTGACGTCTCCTGTCATTACATCATATGTTGTATGGAAACCTCCGTCATCTCTTAATTCCGCTGTATCAACCCAATCAAAGAACAATTTGAATTCGTCGTGATAACCAGCAGCGTCGAGCATGAAGGCGGCCATGACAGAATCACGCATCCAGTTCTTGTAATCGTAGTTCGGATGAAGAGAAGAGGAAATTAAACCTTTTTCTGGGTTTTGAGAGTTTTTGAGGGTCAAAATGGACTTCTTGTAGAGGTCTAATGCATCACCAGTTAATAAAGGCTGTACTCCTTTGGAAAGGAATGCTGTATAGCGTTCATTTGTTAATTTGATAATATTATCTGAGCCAAGAGCAGAAGCCTTTGCCATTGTGGTCTTTGCATCATTAAATGAACGTCCGAAGGCACGGATTGATGAAACAGTTGCAGTATTTTGTAAATTAAAATCATAAAGAGCTCCGTAAGCAATCTGTGACTGTGCGTATTGTGGGAATGAAGGAATAGTTCCTGTGGCTGCAAATGCTGTCAATGGGTTTGTTGAATCCTTGAAATCACCGTTTCCGACTGTAGTTAAAGGATCGTAGTTCTTATCGAGGGAAATAACAACTGATGCGATGTAAGCAGCATCACGGTTCATTGAGCATGTAGTACTAGTGCATGTTCCAGTTGAATATTGTTTATCTGTTCCAGAAACAGCGTAATCAAGAAGTCTGATACGGTGGGATGCACCATCAGCTGATTTGATAATATATTTTACGAGATAATATTCTTCATTTGGAGGCATATACAAATCTCTTTCAATTGTGATTGGAAGAGCTTTCTTGCTGTATTGATCATATATGACAGAAAGTTTTCCATCAATACCCATTGTGCATCCACCGAGATGGGTGTTATTAAAAAGCATGTCATTACCATAAATTTTTCCATCAACTTCAACTGCAAAAGAATCGGCTGTTAAAACATCACGAACTTTCTCGGAATATGCTTTAACGTGATTTATACCTGGATGGGCTGTGGGTTCAACCGTCCAAGACATTTGAGCAATATTCCAATAGGCAATGATTGGATTCGTTTTGTCCCAGTTGTTAAGCCAATAAGATGGTGAACCACGCTGGGTTGCTGATGTTACACACTGCAAAAATAGTGGAATCATTTTGAAAATCGGATCAAATAAATGATTTGAATGAAAATTTACACGCTCTCAATTATGATATCGTTTTTGGAGAATAAACATCAGCACAGCAAATTATAACAATTATCAAATTTTGAAATTTTGCAAAAAATTCTGTTGTTTTTGTGAAATAGACTTTAATTTCATTATCAATATCCACAAATGCATGCAAAAATGAAAATTTCCCATATAAATTCCTTACATTTTCAGTTTTAGCCATTATCTGATTGAAATTTCATGGTGTTTAAAAAGAAAGAACTTGAATTACCAATTATCATGTAAGTTCTATCAAATAAATGCATATCATGGTAGTGTTCTAAATGAAATCGAAGAATAAATAATATGATTTTTTAACAATTTTCGATTCTCAACGTATATATGTGAATTTACATAGATCTACTTAGAATAGCAAAAATATATAAAGAAAAACATGAATTTACCATTTAAGAAAAAAGATAACAATTAAAACTTATATGACAAAACAATTAAGTGTTTATAACATTCTCACAACTCGTCATCATATACATCTACATCGAAATGCTCCGTAATTGCTGAAATAAAGGAGCTAAAGTCCTTTTTTCCTTTGTATTGAGTTCCTTCACCGTTAGAATAGAACCAATATGATGGAACTGGCGGATTTCCGAATGCTTCTATTGTATCTGGGTCACGAGAAATTCCAAACGTGACATTCTTTCCTTTGAAAGAACCATAGGCGCCAGAGAACATCATTGGCGGCTTGAAGTTCTTGTGGAATAGTAATACGAGATTGTCTTTTCTGTCTACCCATGAATCATCTATTTCTTCGATTCCTTCTCCGATTTTTCCGGAAATAAATTTGACAAGTGCGTTTGATGTATGTTGCCCTTTGAAAACATGTGATTCTCCATCTAAAAACATAATAAACTGTGGAATTGTTTTGATATTAAATTTCTGAACTGCAGATGGGATACCAGCAGTATCACCATAGGCAAATCTTGCAAATCCAGAAGCTTCTTCAGCAGCTTTTGCGAATTCTGGTAACGCCGCTCTACAAGCAGGACATGTTTGACCTCCAAACATGATAAACCATGGTGTAGATGTATCACCTTCAAGTACTCTTTTGACGAAAATATTTTCGTCCATTCTAAATACTGCGGAAACTCCAAAGATAGCAAATAAAGAAAACATTTTTTTTAGAAATTGATTTTTTTTATCGTCCAGACTGAATATCATTTCCCATTTTTAAGTCTAAAGTAAACTCAGAGTGCATTTCCATATGTCATAGGCTGCTTGGATTTGTAATATAACAGATAAATATCCAACAATGATGAATTAAAAAGCAATTGGAATTTCTAACAATTTTAACAGAACAAAAACATCATTTATACAATCTCTATCATGGATAAGAGCTAAACATAACTAGCCAGTTATATAGAATCAATATTACATTGAGGAATAATGCGAAATGCATCGTCTGTCTGCAATGCATAAATTACTTGCATGCACGCTTATCAAAAAGCCTAATGAAAGAGAATGAACACAATCTATAATGTTTGATTATTCTGATAGAGTATATATTAAGATTTGAAAGCATATTGTGAAAATTTATACTTTAAAATTAGGACGAAATAGTGAAATTATTAGAAAAACTATCCTTTGGCTTATATTTCAAAATATTTCATCAACATTTTTAGATTTTTGAGCATTTTAAGAGACTTTTAAACAAAGAAATGATAATACATAAGCTATACATTTGATTTTAAATGCAAGTTCATGAATTTCAAGAAAAATATCTAAAATTTATAATATTTTTTTTGTATTACATCATATAGTTTATTCTAATAAAATAATCATTTATCATCATCTAAAAAGCTGGCCATTTCGTCGTTCAGTTTCTCCTGAATCTTCGCTTCGATAGAAGTAAGTTTGTATTTGGAACAAATTGCGATGGCCATGTTAAGCCAGTTGATTTTGTCCTGTTGGTCGGCCTCTTTATCTGTTCCAAGTTTGTAAAGTTCTTCTGCTGCTTCCAAAAACAGTTTCTTTTCGATGAAAACCTTGTAAAGCAACTCAGGATGGTTTGTTTTAACAAACTCATCGATGAACGGAGCGTCCATCTTGATCAGTTCGCTGAGTTTATCCTTTTCATCGAGGAAATGGTAGAATGTCATTGCGAAAAGCTTATTCTTCTTGCAGAACGTGATGGCTGACTCTATTCCATCATCGCATTCATAGGCCTCGCATGCAATCTCGAAGATTTCAACAACATTATTGAAAATATCTTCGGCAAACATGTCTACAGGCTGGCCATCCATCAACCATTGCAATGCACGTGATTGTGGATCGATGCTTTGCGCTTTGGCGAAAGCGATTTCGTAAATAATCTGTGGAGAATTCAAATCTTTGAATTGGTTAACGATCATTGGGTAATCTATGAACTCTATGAAGGAAAGTATAGAATGGAGTTGCTCCCTGATGGCAATTGTTCGCTCAGCTCCTTCAGATAGTTTCGCAATTTGAAGTTGGCTGAGAATATTGGAGATATGGATACCAATGAAGTACGAGAATCCTGTAGAATTGTGAGCCATCCTACTTGCAAGGAGATTCGACCTTGTATCCTTATCAATAACAAGGAAGAACGCTGTAATGAAGCAGCACAAGTAATGGGAGACTTCTGATGGCTCGAAATTGGGATTCGAGAAGTCAAAGATCGGTTGCGATGTCAGGAAATCAATAGCAATGTTCTTAGGATCGTCTTTTGAATCGTTTTCTCTGACATATTCAATTACGTGTGTCAAAACCGTCGATTTCTGGCGAGCGAAAGTTGAAATTGTTTTTACAACTTCCAAAACGAAATTAACAAATGCGGATATATTGGAAAGCATTTTGTAATCTTCCATAACTCTGTTTTTCTTTCCACCGACGAAATGGAAGCTTTCTGTCTGATTTTCGACGGACTTGATATAATCTTTAATGGTGGATGCAATGTCCTCGAGCTGTATAGCAAATCCGGCGGGTAAGTTCTTCCAATCGTAATTGACCACAAATTTGGTCTTTCTTTTTCTGAACCTAGGAACCTCTGTGAGCATTGCTACGCCGTCAATAACAGTCATTAGACGGGTGAGACGTGTAAGAATGGCAGAAGAGAAGGATAAATGGTCTGTTTTGTTGATTAAATTTGTTGCTTGGTAAAAATAATGACTTCTGAGGTCAGGCGAGAAAGAACAAAGCGCTACAAGTGACGAGAGATGCTCTACAACTACATCCGAGTTATAATCAGTGATATCCAGGTTTTTGGCAAAATCATTTGGATCCAAAGTCGACAATCTCTTTACTTTTTCGAATGGAGCCATGAAGTTCGCGACAATACCACCCGCTGTAGTAAGTATATATGCAGTCGGAGGAAGGCAAATGTGCTGCCAGTAAAGAGAATCTGAATTATTAGTTGCACGAGGGCGCAATCCGAACGAAAGGAATACAGGAGTTCCAGGAAGAGATACTACAGTTGTGTCTCCACTGAAAACTTTGCCATTCAGCCTTTGTGTCCTGATAAATGTGGCTTTTTTGTCGGAGATTATTACTACGCATCCCATTGTTGATGCTCCGAATGTAACAGTACTTCCAAAGCCTTGAATTGGTGGAATTACTGAGATATTCTTTCCATTTAAGATGTATCTTTCTCCAGATTGAGTAAAAACTTCGAAATAATCATCGCCAGCGCAAGAGGCTGAGATAATTTTTTGTTTTATACTTGAAATGGACCCTAGTTTTATGAATCTTTCGCTATCATAATCGTATTTTATCATATAACATGAATTATCTTCTGTCCAGTAGCATATTTCTTCGAAGTTTGAGTCTGTGATTAATCCTATAACAGGAGATCGTATATATCCGATAATATATTCAAAAACTTTTGAAATAATTCCAGAAGCACTTGAAATCGTGTTGCTGTTCCTTGAAATTGAAAGGACGTAAACATCGCCGTCATAACTTCCGCAGAAAATTTTGCCAATTGGACCTTCACACATTTTTGATGTGATAAATGAGGTTTCTATAATATTATATTGCTCGAAATCGATTTTTCCATCAACTATGCTGACTATCTTGATGTATTTTGGTGTCGCAATGGCAATACACGGTGAGAATTGTCTTGGTGAAATTTGAATTTGGCATTCGCAGACACTTATGATGAGATCTGCGTTTGGCTCGTAGAGCTTGTCTGTTACGGTATTGGAATTGATTGGCCAAAGGAATAATTTATTATCAATTGCCGCATAAAATTTTTGAATTCTAATTAAACATCCATAAGAACATTTCAAATTTGCATTAGCGTAATGAACAAAAATTTCTGGAGGGATCTGAGAGGAATTTGACAAATTAACTGTGTCCGTTGAGATATCTGATGGTATATAGTCGAATTTTACATCGTTATTGAGTCTATTTGAGTAGAATTTTGGACTATTCGCATCATATTGTCTCTTTTGTCTGATTTCATCAAAGACTACTTTAACTGCTTCTGTAGTCTTCGAGTCCATCTAGTGTCCGAGCAAACTTTCTCAATTTGATTGAGTACAAAATCTTTAGACATCATCAATTTGAGTCTTGAAATAAACACACTTATCAGTGGTAATTAAAATTCCCATATAAATGATATATTTATAATGATTATTTTCAAAATTTGGATTAAAATTAATAAATTTATGAACTTAAGGAACAATAATTTATAAACCAGCCGGAGTAAATTATTAATATACATAGTTAAATCGCTTTCATAATTATCAACCAGATTATGGATTGAATTTACTATTCATAAGTGTATACCTAAGTGTAAAATTCGTTCAAGAACATTGGATAATATAATATATTTTATTTAGATAATATAAAATATTGTATCCAACGTATTATAAAATTAGAAATCATATTGATTTTTGAATTTTGAACATGATAATTTATTTAATGTCAAATTATTTAATGCCGATTGATAGAAGATAATCTCTCACACGACTTTCAGCACACCTGAATAGAGTATTTCCTGCTTTATCCTTTGCTTTTTTATCAGCACCAACAGAGATAAGATATTTAACAATTTCAAGATGACCATTTTCTGATGCCAATAGGAGCGGAGTTTTCCCATCTTTATTCTTTGCTTCTTTATTTGCTCCAACTGAGATAAGATATTTAACAATTTCAAGATAACCATTTAATGATGCAATAATGAGCGGAGTATATCCATAATTATTCTTTGCTTCTTTATCAGCACCAACAGAGATAAGATATTTAATAATATCAAGTTTTCCTTCTATTGATGCAATAATGAGTGGAGTAGATCCATATTTATTCTTTGCTTCTTTATCAGCTCCAAATGAGATAAGACATTTGACAACTTCAAGATGACCATTTTTTGATGCCAGCAGGAGCGGATTATATCCACTATTACTCTTTGCATCTTTATTAGCTCCAACAGAAATAAGATACTTAACAATATCGATTTGGCCATTCTCTGATGCACAATGGAGTGGAGTAAAACCTTGGGTATCCATTGCTACTATGTCACATCCACATTCAATGAGTGATTTAACAAGTATGAGATTCCCGTTATCAGAAGCTTTATGAAGCATATATCTCTCTGATCCTTTCTCTTTCTTTTCACATAATCCTTCCTCAAATGCTTTCATCATTATCTTTTGATTTCCTTTTTTTGCAAGTTCAGAAAGGAATTTATATATTGCATCAAAATCATCGGAATTTTTGTACCCTGCAATTTTATAAAGAATTTCTTTTGTATTCAATTCATCATTAATCTGATTGATTTTTGATTCTTTTGCTTTAATTTCTCTCTTCAGTTTGATATTTTTGTCATTAATATGAAGGATTTTTGCTTCTTTTTCTTCGAGTAGTTTCTTTATTTTGCCGTTTTCTTCAGTAATCTGGACATTCTCCTCCTCTTTGACTTTGATTTCTTTCTTTAAATCTGTAATGATTTTGTTATTTTGTAAAATTTGTGATCTCATAGATGTAAACTCTCTCTCGCTGTTTAATAATTTGTTTAATTCTGATTTAAGTTTTTCAATTTGGTTTTCAAGATTCGATATTTTTGCTTTTGAAGATGTAATTTCTTCATTCGTTTGACAGAAAATATTAATAATTGCGTCAATATATCTCAATTTCATGTATTTTTGAATAGTTTTGAGAACTCTAATAACTTCTTCTAAATTACTTATTGAAATTCTTGTATTTCGAGTATATTTATATAGATCGGAAGCTTTAACAGTAGGTACTGACTGCCTCATTAAATCGATGAATTCATCTGGAGTTAGTGTTGCAGCTTTCAATATATTTTTGATGTCTTCAGGTTTGAATAGATTAAATATCATATATTCTGATATGTAATCACTAACGTGAGCAACAGTATACTCGAAATTCCAAACTAACTCTTGACTCATTGAGAAAATGATAAAATAACCTTAAGGGTCCACTGTAAGGCCAAATAAGGTCTATCGTCGTCCCAAAAATATTGCTCGAGATGGTGTTTTACTAAGGCCCAAAACTTAAAAAAACACAAAAAAATTAACTTTACTCTTTTGAGATCCTTATCAGATATGCATCAATTTGATGCAGTATCGCAGTTCAAATCTGATTTTTTAATGTAGATGTACTCTAACATCCTTTAAAAAATGCAAAATGATATTAATTAAGCTTTTCATTTCTGTATCATACACGAAACAAAATCGTTCATTATACTAAAATTTATCAAAGTTTGATTAATGAAAAAATAATATCTAAATTTTTACATTGAGTCGGCTATTGATATGGTTAATATTAAATCTTGTAAAAATTGGCATTATCCAGAATAATACCCACTAAAATACACAATTTTTTTTAAAAAAATTTTATCAATTGTTATGGTATATCTTTATGATAATGAATAAAATGCTTATTTTTCATAAGTAAATACATAATTTATGCTTAAACACAAAAAATAACACGAAAATTTTTGGCCAACATATCTAAACTAAGGATAATGGTTTGAATATATAAACAATAATACTTTGTCCAGGGAATTAAATTTGTGCTATCCAATTGTCAATTCTTTGAATTTTTTTTAAATGCAAGATATCCCGGCATTAGCCTTAATAAATATATATATTATGCATCATAATATTAGTTTGTAATGGCATTAAAGCGAAATTCCTAATTTCTTCTCAATTAAATTCCTTGAAAAACATTGGAATTAATGATTGGAAATAGGTCAAAAAAATTCCTAATATAAAACTTATACTTAAGATAAAATTAAAATTCGAAAATATCTATTTTTCAAAACACGCATCCAAAAGCGAAAAAATTCGAAAAAATCATGTTCTTATAAAACTCACTGATTTTGCAATTTTTATGAGATTTGAAGTGATAGAATATATTACCATCTTATTGAAACATATGCTTCATTGTTGTATTCACATAATATTAATCAGAACACTAGGAAAAGTGGATTTTCGAAAAATGACGATAACGATTATTTGCAAATTGCCTCTCAATTTTGAGAGACTTTCAATTTTTACAGTGGACCCTTAAATAACCATAAAAATCGGATTAAAATAACTGTAAAAATCGAAATAAAAAACAGGATAAAATCCCTAAAAGATTCTCCCCGATGTATTTAAATGTACTTGCGATGAACGATAATAAATAAGTTAAAAATTTTTAATGATAATTTCCAACATTTGGATTAAAATTCATCAACTTAAGTACTTAAAGAATAGAAACACATAAAGAACAAATAGGAAATTATTGGTAAAAAAATTGCTTTCATAAACTATTATATTTATTATTAACGAATCAATCTTTTTATTGAAGCCAATAATGTGATTATTTTCCAAATTTTCGATTGTATAAAGCCAAAATCTATAAAATATTTCCGACTGAGATATTTTACGACGTCATTGTGACCTTTTTTCGATGCCAAAACGAGTGGAGTATTTCCATCATTATCCTTTGCTTCTTTGTCAGCACCAACAGAGATAAGATATCGAACAATATCAAGTTTTCCTTCTATTGACGCATAAATGAGCGGAGTACGTCCACGATTAGTCTTTGCTTCTTTGTCAGCACCAACAGAGATAAGATATTTGACAACATCAATATGACCATTATATGATGCATAAATAAGTGGAGTATTTCCATAATTATCCTTTGCTTCTTTATTTGATCCAACTGAGATGAGATATTTGACAACTTCAAGATGATTATTTAATGATGCATACATGAGTGGAGTGCATTCATGGATATCCTTTATTTCTATGTCACATCCACATTCGATGAGTGATTTGACAAGTTTGAGATTTCCTTTATTAGAAGCTTCATGAAGCATATATCCTTCGGATCCTTTCTTTTTCTTATTAGTTAATCCTTCCTGACAAGCATTAATCATCAGTTTTTGATACCTATTCTGTGAAAGATGATCAAGGAAATTATATATTGCATCGAAATCATCAGAACTTTTGTATTTCTCAATTTTATAAAGAATTTTTAATGTATTCAATTCATCATTAATCTGAACGACTTTTGCGAGTGCGGTACATTTTAGGAAAAATGACATTTTAACTTTACAAAGTTTACATTTGTAAAATGGCATTTTTGCCACTTGTTTGCCAATACCCAAAAAAAAGTTTGGCGCCAAATCGCAAAAGTGTCATAATCTCATGGTGGACCACAGCTGGTGTCGCCGCCGACTATCTACTTGCTGGGATGCTACGCAGCCTTTGATCTGGCCAATCATAGTGCTGCTCCATCCACATCAGCAAGTGATTTCGGCTGGAGATCTCCAATGGGTCTTCCATGAGGTTTCTGCAAGCCAGAAGCACAATATCTATGCAGCCTAGCTGCTAAGATAGCGTAGCTAGGCTGCGTAATTGTTGTGCTTCTGGCGATATTAGTTATACGTTATTGCCCTCGTTGACTATAGTACTACTCCCTTAACCTCCGAGGGTTAGGGGAGTAAATTTGCTCGAAATGGGCAATGTTCATTACGAAATCTCTCATTCGATGAGAGACTTCGTAATGAGCATTGCCTTAAAGTACTCTTACTACTCTTTCCTAGTTCCCAAAAGGCCTAGGATTCTGTAATTAATCGGATAGGACAGAGTTTTTCCGAAGTCTCTCATTTGATGAGAGGCTTCGGAAGAACTCTGTCCTAATGTAGTATACTTATAGTCTCTGACAATTTATGTGTCAGAGAATGTACTTTTACTCGAATAGAGCAGAGTTTTTCCGAAGTCTCTCATTTGATGAGAGGCCTCAGAAGAACTCTGCCCTAGTGTAATGTAGTTGTGGTACTTGTCCCACAAAGAGCGAGAGAATATGTCTGTAATTTGTTTATGCTGAAGTTTTCTGAATTTCTCCCAAATGAGGAAGGAAATCCAGATAACTTCAGCATAAGTTAATGCGGATGCGGTTCTCTAGCTCTTTGTCGGCCAGAGAACGAATAAAAAGTTTTTGTTGTGAGTAGGCTCGATGCATGCCTACTCACTGCAAATATACGTTAATTTTTACTTCTTATGAGAAAATAGTTTTTCATTTTTATAATACTATATGCTTTGTTGCACAATAAATTGTCTATTTTTCTTCTTTAAAATCGATTTCTTATATTTCGAATTTTTCTCATTTTTCAATCTTGATCAAAATTCAAAAATAAACAGATATTCCAATACAATACATAAAATAACTCGTATCTATCATATTAAAATTTTCGAAAAATCTCCAAAAAAATCGCGATTTGAAAATTTCGAAATCAAAAAGCACATTTTTCGCGGAGAAAAAAAGAAAAACGATTTTTTTTTGGAATTTTGGTGAGAAAGAATCTTCTTTATCTCCTCATATAGTGCTTATTTTCGCGTTCTGAAAGCGGAAAACGCATTTTTGGAATGCATAGATTCCTAATCACACGGAAAAATTAGGGCTTAATAAGAAAAATAGACAATTTATTGTGCAACAAAGCATATAGTATTATAAAAATGAAAAACTATTTTCTCATAAGAAGTAAAAATTAACGTATATTTGCAGTGAGTAGGCATGCATCGAGCCTACTCACAACAAAAACTTTTTATTCGTTCTCTGGCCGACAAAGAGCTAGAGAACCGCATCCGCATTAACTTATGCTGAAGTTATCTGGATTTCCTTCCTCATTTGGGAGAAATTCAGAAAACTTCAGCATAAACAAATTACAGACATATTCTCTCGCTCTTTGTGGGACAAGTACCACAACTACATTACACTAGGGCAGAGTTCTTCTGAGGCCTCTCATCAAATGAGAGACTTCGGAAAAACTCTGCTCTATTCGAGTAAAAGTACATTCTCTGACACATAAATTGTCAGAGACTATAAGTATACTACATTAGGACAGAGTTCTTCCGAAGCCTCTCATCAAATGAGAGACTTCGGAAAAACTCTGTCCTATCCGATTAATTACAGAATCCTAGGCCTTTTGGGAACTAGGAAAGAGTAGTAAGAGTACTTTAAGGCAATGCTCATTACGAAGTCTCTCATCGAATGAGAGATTTCGTAATGAACATTGCCCATTTCGAGCAAATTTACTCCCTAACCCTCGGAGGTTAAGGGAGTAGTACTATAGTCAACGAGGGCAATAACGTATAACTAATATCGCCAGAAGCACAACAATTACGCAGCCTAGCTACGCTATCTTAGCAGCTAGGCTGCATAGATATTGTGCTTCTGGCTTGCAGAAACCTCATGGAAGACCCATTGGAGATCTCCAGCCGAAATCACTTGCTGATGTGGATGGAGCAGCACTATGATTGGCCAGATCAAAGGCTGCGTAGCATCCCAGCAAGTAGATAGTCGGCGGCGACACCAGCTGTGGTCCACCATGAGATTATGACACTTTTGCGATTTGGCGCCAAACTTTTTTTTGGGTATTGGCAAACAAGTGGCAAAAATGCCATTTTACAAATGTAAACTTTGTAAAGTTAAAATGTCATTTTTCCTAAAATGTACCGCACTCCGACTTTTGCTTCTTTTTCTTCGAGTGCTTTCTTTAATCTCTTGTTTTCTTCAGTAATTTGAACAATATTTGCATCTTTTTCTTTGATGAATTGCTTTAGTTTCTTGTTTTCTGTATTAATCTGAACAATTTTTGCTTCTTTTGCTTCAATATTTCTATTTAATTTGGTGTTTATTTTGTTATTTTGAACAATTATATATTCGGCTTTCTTTATTTGAGATCTCAGGAATAAATTCTCTCTCTCGCTGTTTAATAATTTGTTTAATTCTGATTTAAGTTTTTCAATTTGATTTTCAAGATTCGATATTTTTGCTTTTGAAGATGTAATTTCTTCATTCGTTTGACAGAAAATATTAATAATTGCGTCAATATATCTCAATTTCATGTATTTTTGAATAGTTTTGAGAACTCTAATAACTTCTTCTAAATTACTTATTGAAATTCTTGTATTTCGAGTATATTTATATAGATCGGAAGCTTTAACAGTAGGTACTGACTGCCTCATTAAATCGATGAATTCATCTGGAGTTAGTGTTGCAGCTTTCAATATATTTTTGATGTCTTCAGGTTTGAATAGATTAAATATCATATATTCTGATATGTAATCACTAACGTGAGCAACAGTATACTCGAAATTCCAAACTAACTCTTGATTCATTGAGTAAATGATAAAAAATCTTCAAAAAAAAAAAAACTAGCAATTGCTACTACACTCATTTTGTACACAATTCAATTTTTTTTCCACTTTTCAATTTTTTTTCCACAATTTGAAAAAAACAGGATATAATTCGAAGTGATATTGGGCAAAAATAATTAAGGCAATATCAGATATCGTAACTTTGAAGTACTATGTTATAGTTTGAAACGATATTATCATATTTTCACTTATTTATTAAGATGGAGTTGAAACAAGTCAATATCTCTCATTTCTTAAATGCATAATGCTATTTTATAAACAATCAATAGCCTATTTTCGATAAGAATATTTCTGAAATTTTTATTTTATCGATAAAATATCGAAATTGGGAAATACAATAGCATCGAATTTTCAAGTTTAAGGTCTCAGTAAGTTCCAGTTTTAAGGAAACGGATACTTTAAAATGTTTTACAAATCTTATGGTACTTATTTTCATTTGAATAGCCTCTGAGATGAATATAATGCTAAAGACTAAAGAGTACATGTTGAACGAGTCCTAGGATAATGTTATTTGTTCCTCATTTCTTCATTAAAAATTACTATCGTTGTTTTTTCCTGAAGGAATTTTGATTCCATTCATCATTTACATCCCCTATATAGTAAGTATCCATTGTCAAAATCAAAAATTATTGGTCAAACTTTTTCCATTTAGATTTTTTAGAAAAGTAAAAAAAAGATAAAATTTCTAAAGGATATACCGATATTTTTAGAAAATTTAGAAGCACTTGCGGTGAACGATGGATGGGCCAGCCTCGTCGTATTCCTCCTTGGTGATAACCATCTGTGGGAATGTAGCGAGGGAAGCAAGGATGGAGCCACCGACCCAAACGGCGTACTTACGCTCTTCTGGGGCGACGATCTTGACCTTCATTGTTGGTGGAGCAAGAGCTGTGATTTCCTTGTCAAGACGTTCGGCGATGCCCTGGAACATTGTTGTGCCACCAGAAAGAACGATGTTAGCGTAGAGATCCTTACGAACATCGATATCGCACTTCATGATGGAGTCGAAGAGTGTCTTGTCGATACCATCGTATTCCATACCATCGAAGTATGGCTTGAAGAGCATTTCTGGGCAGCGGAAGCGCTCATTGCCGATTGTGATGACGTTGCCATCTGGAAGTGTGTAGTTGACGTTGATGGAGGAGTCTGTAGCGGCCTTCTCCATTTCAGCATCGAAGTCGAGGGCGACATAGCAAAGCTTCTCCTTGATGTCACGAACGATTTCCTTTTCGGCTGTTGTGTTGAAAGCATTGCCACGCTCTGTGAGAAGCTTGACCATCCAGGCTGTGAGATCACGGCCAGCGAGGTTAAGTCTCATGATGGCGTGTGGAAGGGAGTAGCCTTCGTAAATTGGAACTGTGTGGGAAACACCATCACCAGCATCGAAAACGATACCTGTTGTACGGCCAGAGGAGTAGAGGGAAAGAACGGCCTGGATGCCGACATAGAAGGATGGGACATTGAATGTGTCGAACATGAGGGAGATCATTTTCTCACGGTTAGCCTTTGGGTTGAGTGGGGCTTCTGTAAGAAGAACTGGGTGCTCTGTTGGGTCAACACGAAGTTCGTTGTAGAATGTGTGGTGCCAGATCTTTTCCATATCATCCCAGTTGTTGACGATACCGTGTTCAATTGGGTACTTGAGGATGAGGACACCAGCCTTGGAGCAAGCTTCATCACCGACGAAGACATCCTTGGCGTTGCCACCAACTAATTGTTGTTTGTACTTTGGACGGCCGACAACGGATGGGAAAACAGAGCGTGGGGCTTCATCACCAGAGAAGCCAGCCTTGCACATGCCGGAGCCGTTATCGATAACGAGTGTCTGAACGTCTTCTTCAGCCATTCCAGAAAAATGAAGTCATTTCAATTCCGTTGATTTCACTTCATTAGCCAGCGGTTGTTGCCCACAAAGTCCGGAATCGGAATAAATTTATTTTCTTCAATATTTGGATTGGGACAAATATTCCTTGATTGATTGCTTTATTTTGACAAACTCCATTTATTTTGACTATCAATTCAGGTGGTTTATTTTATTATATAAAGGTCACCGATGTCATTAATGTTAATCTTGCTGATTCCATTTTATGAGATAAAATTGAGAGTGATAAAATTTAATTCAATATTCTATAAAAGTTATTACTTGTCCAAATAGTCCTACTATTACAGATTAGAAAGATAATCGCAATGACATGGTGAAATTATACACTTGAGCCATTAACAAAGCATTAAAATTCCCCGAATTTTTCAAATTCCGATTTTTATTCAAATACAGATTTTGACTTATTCAAATTCGGAATATACATATACAATTTATATTTAGTCTGAAATATGAATATAAATATATTCTACGGAAGCTCTTTGCTTTACCGATATGAATTTCATTCAAACTTCATCATGAAGTCCCTAAAGACAAATATTCAAAAGGACATCTAAGAACTTACTTTTTTGCTTGTATTAATTTTCTATTTTTTCCCAATTTTTTTTTCGATTTGATATTTGAGTAAGAAAGGTGAACAATATTCGCTATAAAATATTAAGCTATATGACTTTTAATTGATTCTATTTCCCTTTCAATGATTGTTTTGAATATTTAAAATTTCATATTTCATATTTTGATATTCGAATAATATATCAATATATTTAAATCACAAAATTACTAAAATTATTTGCTAGTCTATGAAATCAGTACTATCTTAAATTTCCTGATAAAAATAAAAATTATTATTATTATTAATCAGCCGATTCATGTTTACTTAGCAGCTTCCATCTCTTTCAGCTTAGCGAGGAGATGTGGTGGAAGTTGAACTTCGCCATTGCCCCATGAGTAATCAGTAAGGCCGTTGTTCTCCTGCAGGAAGACGCAAATGTCATTTCCTGGAACTTCTGTTTGGTTAGCTGTAGCATAGCGGTGGATAGCCTTGAAAAGGTTTCTCTTGATCTCTGGTGTTCTTCCAGCAGCAGCGCAGATGTTGACAATTGTAAGGTTTTCACCATGCTGAACGCCAAGATATTCCTTTGGGAAGATGATGTTGCCTGGCTCGACTTCATCAATAATATGCCAGAAGTCTGCATCTGGAATCTTGAATTCCTCAACAAGGGCACGGTGAACTGCGTCGGAGATTGCAAGTTTTGTCTCACGCTTTAAGTCTTTGCGAATAGAAATGCGTACAACAGGCATTCTGTCACTTTTCACATCTTTTTTTGACACTTTTTTTCTAAGGATAAGTGGCCGTTCAACTCACAATGTAAACTGATCTCATTCTTTCCTACAAAAGATACTCCATCTGCATCATACTAAAATACAATGACAATATAAATTGAATCAATACGAACAAGCATCGTTTGAGAGAATACGATGAATCCTTTTCAGAAACAAAAGGCTCATTCACGATACCAAATATAATCAATATATGTAAAGACAAGCGATATTTGCATTTGTCAAAATGATTTCGTAGGTAATTCATTCTTTGTCTTGAAATAGCGCAAAAAATCCATTAAAATAATACATCAATACATTGACATAAGTTCAATTCAAATGTAATACTCTAAATAACAATTTTTTTGATGTGAAATGGTAAAACAACATCAAATCCTAAATATCTGAAATTATTAAGTTACATAGCAGCAAATAGAAAGGACAATTCATAAGCCGAAAATCATTTATCTTCAAAGTACTTTTGAAATTTGATTTTCTAAATTACTTTCAAGAGACATTTTCTGTTCGTATATCTATAGATTGAATAGTAAAATTGTTTTAATAGGGTAAACAAGTAATATTTATTAACAAATATAATTCTATAATTATAAAATGAAACTAACTGGCCAATATGCATTGGCATATTAATAGATTTAGTAGTAATTTCAATAACAAAGCAATTAAGCTTTCTTATCCTTGAAATCCTTGATTAATGATTTTGTTAATTCCAAATAATAATTTGGAGGCCCGCCCCATGTATTTTCGTTTGGCATATAGTCATCTCTTTCAACAATATTCTCTATTTGAGTTCCATGAGCCCAATCATTGAAAGAATTTATCAAAATAATTCTGGCTCCAGAATTAACTGCCTGTGTGAAAAGTTCTTTGTAATACTTACCGGATTTTCTTGAAATACTTGTACCAAAATATTCAAAACCAGGAGAAACCATTGGAATGAAGAGGAGACCACGTTCAACAGCATCTTTATGCATAAGGTCCCATGATGTATAGTTCGAATAAACTCCTTGAGTATTAATTCCGCAAAATCCGTTTTCAAGAGCATATCCAACCTGGCTGAATGACGTAAGACTAGTAATCATGAATAACTCGTTCTTGCGGTAATAAATAACGTTCTGAATGTCGTCGATATCATTTGGATCTTCGAAGAAAATGACTGGTTTCCCATCGAATTTAAGATAAATTTCATCACCACCGTAATTGGAAGCAATGTAATTAATATCTTTGTTGATAGAATGACGATCACGGCCATTATAGCTTATAACTTGAACAGCTACCGAAATTCCGATCTTTTTTGCTTGTTTTAAGATTATTTTAACGGAAGAATCAATGAAACCATTATCTATATGCTTTGGAACCCATGGAATAATAATTCCGTCGATTCCATGTCTTGCAATCATTCTCATATGCGTTTTTATTAATACTTTATCGTGTGATGAGTACAAACCCATTTGTGGAAATACTTTTGATGATATTTCGAAAGGAAGTTTTAATTTACTACTAGTATATCCACCGTAATCAAGATTCCAATCACCGTAATTTATTGCTTGACCATCTGTAGCTGGATTAGCAAAACCAGCTTTATAAATAACCCATACTTGTTTTTCGAAATGTGACATTGGAGGTTCAAGAACAAAAACATCACGAGCCATTAATAATCGATAGAACATCGCAATCTCAATAATAGCAACTGGCACAAATAAGCCATAGCTATATTTCGATCGCAGAAAATTACCAATAACTCTTCTCACCATTGTCACTTTTTTGATTTCCTTCATTGTGTAATTTGCTACAACATTTATCTACTAAATATCTCCTTCAATAAGGCATATTATGCAATTTTATCACCAGGATAACCCATATCAATGAAGAACATAGTCAGGAATTGCTTTGATGCAATTTTTTAGATTTATCTGACATTATATCTTACAATTTCAATAATTTACACGGAAATAATATTACATGAACGTTTAAATTTGATGTGATTTTGATTTAATTTTTATACCATATTCACGAGCAATATAATCTTAAATGAATTGAATTAAAATTTTGTAAATTGTTTTGAGAAAAATTTTGGTAAACATATTTTTTTTTTCAGCAATCATGTTTGATGACTGGTATAATGACCCTTTCTTCAATGAAAGACAGTCAAATCCGCATCGTGATATCTTCTCCCATATAAATGAAACCTTTAGAGAGTTTGACAGGCATATGGATAATATGATGCACCAAGCATTTGCTAATTTTGGCAGAATTCCGTTTGGAATCGAAGACGATCGTCAATCCAGATCACACCGCCATGAAATAGGCATGGATAATTCAAGAACTTCAACACGTCACACACCACAGGTTGAAGAAGTTGATGATTCTTCAGATTTTTCGCAATCAAGAGCATCGAGAGCACCACGTGTTGAAGAGCCAGATGATTTCTCACATTCTAGCCCCAAACCAAAGAAAGATTATTCCGTTGGAAAATATTCGAACACAAGATCGAATGATTTCAGCAGTCCATTTGGTGGAAATGGCCAATCTTACTACTACTGCTCATCTTCAGTTAGCTATTCTAATGGAGATGGAACTGTTAGCACGAAAAGAAAAGATATGGATTCAACTGGTAAGACTCATATGGCAGAAATGCGCAGAATGGGTGACAAAACAGTTGTTTACGATAGAAAGATTGATTCTGATGGAAAAACATATGATTCCAGAAAGATTCACGGAATGAACGAAGATGAAGTTGATTCATTCAACCAAAAGTGGGATTCACGTGTAAGAGAAGATCCTTTCTTAAACAGAAGTAACAGAAATGGCCTTGGTTACGCTCCAAGAAAGAATGACTCAAATGCTCTTGGATATGACTCAGGTCATCATAGCGGATCAAGACATGGCCATAGACACTAAAATTTAACCTTTTTCATCAATGTTTTTTAATTTTTATTCTTCATTTTTTCTTAATCAAAAAATTGCACCTTAGAACGGTAGTGATACTGATAAAATGCCGAATAAACCATTTTCTCATTATTCATTAACTATTTTTCATATATCTGTATGACTTCAATGTGAATTTAAGCAATAGCGCTTCATACATCTGATAACATTAATACAATCGGATTTTTCAAGCAATCCTAGGACTCACAAGTCATTGCTGGCTCCTTTTTTTAGTGACCACACATTATCTGACAAAAATAAACGATTTTCTTTATAAATCCTTCCAGCCAATTCAAATATTTTCATTTTATATTTATTCGTTATTCAAGATTTTAACTCAAAATTAAACGATGTCTATCGTTACACAACCAATTTCAGAACAGAATGAGTTCTGTTTATGATCAGGTGATGAAGAAGTACCCTTATCCGGTACAGTTTTTCAAGTTCTGCACACCTTTCGAATCAATTCCTCCACAACCATGCCAGGCAAATTATTTCAAAACTGGATACGCTGCCAGATTGATTCATTCAGTTTTGAGAAAGAGTGGATTCAAAGAAGTCCAAGATCTTGAAGATGCCAATGTTATCGTTGGCGGAAAACTTAGTAATGAAAATCTTGAATGTGAATATCTCACTCAGAGGACAAATCACTACGAAAATACTTTCGCTTTAGGTTCTAAGGCGGGTTATCATCACATTATGCGTGAACTCGAACAAAGGATTCATGAGATTCCTTCTTTCTACCCAGAAACATATCTTTTACCCGAGGAACGCGGTAAATTACTCGAAGCATTCCCATCTTCCCCACTTTGGATCCAAAAACCAGCAGGTGGATCTCGTGGAAACGGAATTAGTGTTATTGATGAGCCACCTAACCCATCAATCAAGCGTGTAGTTGTTCAGAAGTATCTTGACCATCCACTTTTGATCAACGGACTCAAATTCGATTTGAGATTTTACGTTCTTGTCACTTCTTTAGTTCCTCTCCGCATTTATGCATTCGATAATGGTCTTGTCAGACTTGCAACAGAACCATACGAAGAGAATCACGATTCTATTACAAACAAATCCGCACATCTTACAAACTTCTCAATCAACAAAGAGAATGAGAACTTTCACGTTACAAACGATCTTGCCGAAGATGGCAAAGGCAACAAATGGTCGCATCATCCATTCTGGCCATGGTTGAAAGAACAAGGTTTTGATTGTGACGAAATCCGCTCAAAGATCGAAGATGCTTTCGTTACATGCATCATGGCATCACGTGAAACATTCCGCCAGCAACCACGCCTCCGTGAGTCCTTCGAATTATTCGGATTTGACGTAATTCTTTCAAAAGAGGGTGATATCCATATCCTCGAAGTTAACGTATCACCAGCTCTTGGTACATCATCGAATCTCGACATGGCCATCAAAGCTCCTCTCGTTAAAGACTTGTTAAACGTCGCATTAATTCCACAACCGACAGAAACAGCCAATTTCATCGAGGAAAAGATGTTGAAGCGTGATGATGAAGACATATGTGCTGCAGTAAGCATCTGCGAATACGAAATCGCTCAAAAGAGACTTGGCGGATTCAGATGCATTTATCCAACACCAGAAAGAGTCACGAAACTGAAGAAATACATGGAGCATACAGAACCAGAAGACTTGGCTCTTGAGAAATGGATTACTTCCAATGATACAGAGAAAACAGAATATCTCACTGGCCTTTTACAGCATTTTAACGAGGCAGTGAAGAATTCTAAGGAAGGATCAAACTAACTTAACTTTTATATATTGTTATAAAGCTTATGGATTACTTTTATTTTCTTTCTTTAATTACTTATGTGTTCTCTTTTTTAAAAAGTTTTGATCTGAAAATAGTAAAGTCAATGAATTTAATATCTTATAAATGTTTTACAAGTTGCTTATTTTTTTATGATTCCATACAAGAATCAAATTATTTATAATTAAAATGGGTTTTTCTTGGACTATTCTCATTAAAACGTAATGGAAATGCCATACAAATTACAGTCATCTTGTGGTTTCAATAGGTTATGATATTGGTTTTTCAATTTGAGAAATGGCTTTCAACTACTACGTGGATTAATCATTTTAGAAATAGGTGAATGCTTCTAACAAGTAAAATCGAATATATTTGAAATTATTTTGGACTTTGTGATATTAAATCTTGATATTTGAGATGTGAAAGCCTTGATGCAATAGCAGCTTGAGTTTGAAGTATCATATAATCATTTGGAAGATTAAATTGAGGCATGGACAAATTAGATGATTTCCATACAGGTGTTTGATCATTAAATTCCTCACAAATCTTTAGAAAATCATTACGGGCAAGGTAATTAATATTTCTTCTTATGTTATATGATCGCCATACTTTCTGAATCTTAGTTGCAGCTGTTTTTTCATCCATGTTTACGACTATAAAATTAATAAACCGACACGAATATTCAAAATATTGCAATATTCTGATTTTACAAAGATGATCCATAGACACTATATAAGCTTCAAATGACAAAGCATTTTTAAAGGTCCCTCTTAGATCATCTGATGTTTCAAAAAATCAAAGCAGTTGATTAGTTTGAGAGCATCATTTCATTAATAAAAACTATTAAAGCATATAAGTTGATCTCAAAAATCCAATTTTAAAAATATTTTCTCGTAATTTTAGCTTTCTGATTATCAAATATCATCCAGTTTTTGACCAAATTTTCTAAATATCTGATGAATTAATTTTTTATAATAAGATGCAAAAAATAAAGTATAATGAAATAGAATTCATTAAATACGCATTACATATATAACTTTTCTTATCGTTAGGGCAAAAATATCTTTCATTTTCCATAAATCTAACTTGAATTCCAAAGAATTTTTCTCCTTTATAAGAATTCGTTACAAATATTGTAGGATATCTATAAGCTTGCCAAAATTGATTATTATCATTCGAAACAACAGTTTTTGAACATATAAAGACTCTTTCTAAATTAGTTTTATGAAAAAGCCCTGTTTCAGGGTAAATAATATTAACTGGTAATATAATTGTATGCAAACTCATGCAGTCATGAAAGGAATAATTGCTTATACTTATTGAAATTCCTTCTTCAAAAATGAGTATTTCTAGTTTTAACATTGTTGATAATGAAAAATTTTCCATAAACTTGACTGATCTAGGAATCATCAATTCAGTTACACTCGTGTTCCAAAACGAGTCCAAAGAAATATATTCAAGAGTCTTCGGAATTGCAATTGATGTAATAAAGGTGCATTTTTTAAACGCATATTTCGATGTCTTAACAACTTTATAAGATTTGCCTTCGTTATAAGCGAAACTTGGAATGACGACTTTCCCTTTGATAGAATATCCTTCAATTGGAGCATTAGCAAATTGGTTATTAGATATCCCAATTTGACATGTATAATCATCAATTGTTTCAAAATTATATTGTTGATATTGAAATCGAAGGATCATTCATCAAGTTTCACTCATTATTATGAATTTTTTAGGGCGGATTTACATATTCCTATTGAATAAAGTGTATTTCCTTTCAATTTATTTATTATTTATTGATGTTTTTTATATTTCTCGAATTTTATTTTTTCAGAACTACAAGAAAGTCAACTCAACTCGAGAATCTCTTCCCATCTTTCTCTTTCCAGAAAGATGGTATGTTTTCAGTCAATCTAAGTTCTCAAGTTATATCAAAATTTATGCTTTTAATGCCATCATTCAAAGAATTGCATCAAATCAGGCTCAGTAACTTTTCTATTACAGATCCATGTGATAAATTAGGTCACATTTCGAATATTAATCATACTTTCGAATTTCAGAAAACAGACGAATACCAAGAGTGGAAATACCTCTTTAATTTTCCGGCTACAGTGAAGCCAATTCTAGTATTATGTAACCCCCAGAATCCACGACCAACATATACTCTCAGTATCAACTACACAAATCCGAATGCACTTCTAGATCTCCGATGGATTCCATCATTAATTATTAAACCAGTCGCAATATCGTTATTTGCGCTCGTATTTCTATTCATGTTCTTTAATATCTTCAAATTCCAAAAGAACGCATCTCGATACAATATCTTAGTTATGGTAAGTACGCTTTTTATTCTCCTTTACACAATATTTTCATATTTACAGCTCAATCACGATTATTATTCAGATAAACACACTCCTTTCCGCGAACTCTCAATTACAAGCTACTTCGTTGGCCGTGTGCTGATATTTATGGCAGTTTTGCTCGGTTCAAACGGCTGGGAAATCATAAATACAGAATATTCAAAGATGTACATTTTAAGACCGCTGTTCTCTCTATTATACTATTTGCGTCATCAGCTCTGAATGCTAATGTTTATCTTGCGAATTACGCTTTCGCATTTCTCATTTTTGTCATTTTAATTTTAATTATTTTGACAAAAATGATAATTGTCAATATAAACGGTGTTGAACTCGAAATCAAAGGTCATCTCTATGTCATCCATGAAAGAGGCATAGATCCTTCAACGACACCTGTTTTTAAGCAATTTGTTACTTATCATAGATATAAGACAGTTATTCTTATTTATATTCATTTTGTATTTGCAAATACATTGATTAGTTGCATTGCCGATGAAATTCCTTATTGGCTTTCAGATTTAATCAATGATTTCGCTGATCTCTTCATTTCCTTTGCATCAGCCATTCTTTTCGTATCAATAAAGAATGTATCATCAGGGTACTCCAATATCGATGCACAGTCTGTATATCTTGAAGATATACAAGAACTTGGAATCGAAAATGACGTATTCCAAAACCATAATTTAACGAAATGGGAAGATGGAATGGAGCTTCCTCTCAAACCACAACTGATCAATAAATCTAATGAGCATGAATCTTCCGAAGGACATCCTCAAAATGTTGATGGAGAGTTTGATACATCCATGTTATGATATATTAATAAAAAACTTCTGTCTATTTGTTTTATTAATCCACATAACAAAAAACTTGCCATTGCATTTCGATTTTTAATATAGGTAGTTTTTGGTAGGGTTAATCATAATCTTATTCCCATATTTGAGTATTGCTACAGTATTATTCAAATTAACAAACTTGATTTTAAATAGAATAATTCGGGCGAATAACGGAAAACACAATAATAATTCCCATTAAGATAGCTGCCAATTAGGGTAATAAATTAAGTTGTATACTAGTAAATTCTTTCATATCTGGCATGTCGAGCAGAAAGGAAGCAATCAGTAACCCTAGGAATAAAAAAAGGAAGAGCGTCATTTTTTATCCTGAGTATATTGTTTCTCCTCTATCTCTACGATAAATCAACAGAGATCAAAACAGACTCAATTTGAATGGAACTTGCCTACAACTAAATTTCCAATTCATTTAATCATTTTCATGATGCAAATATTCTGAGCAAAACATTCTGGCACAGAAAAGAACAAGAAGAAACATTATAAAATAATACAATTTAGAAATAACAATAAACAATACAAATAATACATTTGGAGAAATTCTATTTATCAGCTTCATTTTCAAAGTCTGACATTAGATGCGCGTTATGCAGCAATAATCTAACGTTGACTGTTTGAAGAAGTCTGATATATGTATCACAAAATAGGGATGGCTGCTCTTCAACTATTTCAGCAAGACGATTATGCAGCAAAATAAAGGAAGATGCTAAAAATGTTCGAACAAACTGAGGAATCGATGGTGATGAAAGACCAGCTGTCATAAGAAGCACAGAATTTTCCATGTCCCTACCTTTTATGAAGAGAGATCCAACTTCGTCAATAAGAAAATTAAAATTTTCCAAATTAGCACTAGAAATCATTTCATGAGTAGAAGGTGACGACAACATTATTAACTGCAACGTATCATCAAACAAGGATGATAAAATTCCCGATGTTTTTGAATAATAAGAATCAAATAAAGAAAAAATAATAGAACTTGCTTGATCAGCAGATATATTATCACCAGATTGAGTATAGAACATATCTTCACCTGCAGATCCAGCCAAAAGGCAATTCGTAAATAATGTCACAACATGAGACATACTTGGGATATAATCATCAGTACAGAAGTTATTTAAGAAGAAGGCAAGTAAAGCATTAAAAGCTATACCTTCCCCGCCTTCTATTGTGAAAATTTTCTTTTGTAAATCATTTTTTGATGTTTCAATGAATTTTTTAAGTGTAACATTGGCTTCTACTTTGCCAGTAAGAACTGGATCTAATTGGGCTTTAAGTTTTGAGTATTCTTCAAAGCGCCACTCTTGAATTCCTAAAATTCTTCTCCATAACTCAATTGTAAAGGCTGGAGATACATCAAGTTCACTGACTGAGTATCCATTTATAACTTTGCCATTACTAAATACTTTATCATAGTTATTTTCGTCAATATCTATGATTTGTAATTCTGAGATTGATTCTCGAATGAGTTCATTAGTAATTCCATCAGCCGTATGTGAAAATTTCACTTCTGCAAGAGGTGTTGAGTTAGATCTAACAGCTTGATATAAAATTCCGCGAGATCGATTTGGATTTGGAGTTTTAGGAAGAATTGAAAATATTCTATGATTTCCTGGAGCTGGTTTAAGTCGATAATATTGCTGAAAATAACTCCATATACTTGATACTGCAGTTTCATTTTCTAATTTAAATTTTCTTTTTATGTTTTGACCTTTTAATTCCATTAAAAGAGGATCAGCATCATCAAATTCGATTGTTTGCAGTTGAGATAATGAATCAATTAAAATTGTTTTGCGATCTTGATTTAAAAACGTAATTAAAACTTCATTATTCTTTGCGCTAAGTGAGATATGACCATTTACAATGACTCTATTGCCAAAATCCATTTGCAAAGGCCATTCCATCACTTTAAAAATCTCGAAAGTCTTCCTAAAAAGCCAAATTTTATTTGATTGAATATTTTTGAGAACTTTCAAATCCTTGAAGTGGGGAGAATGTCTATTTCGAAAAAAAATAATAATCTTTCGGTCTATTTCGAAAATAATCGTCCCGATCACGACGATAGAGGGCGAAATTATTAAAGATTGCATTTTGAAGTGAATGAATATATGCATAGATCATAACTCGTCTAGGCCGAGGTAAATATATAGTAAAGAAAGTGTTCAAGTTCTTATATAAAATCATAATTTCATTATATATGATATGTATTGATGATTGTTTGGAGACTTACTAAACATATTCTATATATCATAATTTTATATTGAAAAATCCTATAAAATGACAATTTGTAAGTTTTCATTATATTAATCATGGTAAAGAAGTTTTTATGGGATTATGACCCTGTAATCTCTCTATTATTCTGATAAATAAGTATGCTGAAGTGAATATATGAAAAATAAATCACAAAATAATAATAATAAAAATAAATTTTTAGTCATAATAAGTAAGAAAGTAATAGCACTATATTTGTTTATCGTAGCAGTGATCTGGATCACTAGTATTAGAACGATTTTAACAAAAAAAATGTAAAATTTCTGAAAATCGAATTTTTTAAAGTAGTTGCCTGGCAAAATATATCTGTAGTGTAATGCGAGCATAAAGGAAGCTGATAATGAGAATATTTTAAAAAGATATTTTGAATCTGTAAAAAACTTTGAAATTCATTTATTGATTGTACATTTGAGTTATACGTTGTTTGGTTATTCGAAATTTATAAAAGATTTCATTTTCGTTAATTTATGAATCAAAATATTGTAATAATGGAGAATTTCGTTTGAATTTCGTATTGAATGTAGATTGCAATTGTAATGTTGATAAAATGATGTATAATTTGCTTAATTTGAGAGAGTTTGTAATAATAATCGAGAAATATGAATTTTGAATGATTAAATAGAGACGAGTTCATCAATGTAATCTGTTTCGAATCAGTATTTGATGTTCCCGTTCTCAACTTTAGCTGTTAATGAATACGTTAGCAGCATTCAACCAAATTTATTCACTATAAATGAAAAGAAAAAGTAGTAATTGATGATATATGAAAGAGTTACATTGATCATTCTTGCTAATTCCTCATTATTTTTAAAATATTGACATTATTTTATATTTTCACTTAAAAATAAGTAAATTCATTACAACTTAACGTAAAAATAACTATTGAAATAGTAAAAACGTGATTTAATGATGTGAAATTTCCAAAGTTTTTTCAAAAAATAAAAAATAAATTCAAAAATTGTTAAAAAATCTATGAAAATCATAAATCTAAAATTATTTTGGAATTTTTGAGTAAGTAGATCAAGTTTAATATTTGTATATAATGTTATTTCTGCGAAAATTTATGATTTTTCTCAAAAATTTGTAATCAATTTTGATAGATATTACCTTTTAAGATAAACCACTTATATATCGTAGCAAGTGACTAATTTTAAAGATAAATTCACATATATATCTCTTATAAAATCAACAGCTTTATTCAAATTTTAAATTCTTGACAATTTTAGATGAATGATTGGCCAAAATTGTTAATTTATAACGTAACACAATCATTACTGGTGAAGCATTCTGTCTAATAATCGATTTATTGATATTTTTTGAAATATGAGACAAAAAACTGTTTTTTCACAAATTGTGCATATACACACTCATAGACATTACTATTTAAATGATATACCACAGCTATTTACCTAATATCTTAATCAATTTATGCAATTGTGATTTAACTCGATTTATATCGAATTTTAATCATTGAATAGATTTAGATTTCCTTAATAAAATTCAGATCATCCATTATATTAATGATATGCTAAATATTTCATAATAATAAAAAAAATTAAGAGAATTATCACATTTTATTATTGTGAATCATCACCTTAAACTATGCATTTATTAAAGGCCTCGTTGCAAACACAAATAATAATTGATAATATTTTTTATATTAAATACAATATATTTGGGCTAAACAACAGCGTTATTGTTATATTCTCGTATATGTTAGCACAAATAATATATTGTTATCTTATAAACACAATATTTTTTTTTAGAATTAAATAAGCATAATACTTTTTATGTATTAACACAATAGCACAGTTACAAAACGTTAGTATTAGTATTAGGCTATCTGATTATATGTGAAAATAGTGAGAAATATCATAATTTGTCTTGCAATCTTCTAATTAATCTCATAAAAAAGCATAACATAGTATTTTTATTATATAAATAGATTGCAAATAGTATGCTTTAGTAGCGCCTAAAAAGCTAAGGATCTAAAATAACTCTATGGTGGAGAATTATGCATTTTAATGTCTATCGTCGTGATCGGAACGATTATTTTCGAAATAGGCCGAAAGACGATTATTTTTTTCGAAATAGACATTCTCCCCCTTGAAGTGCATCCTTAAGTTGCATTATGTACGCTGATCACCCCTTGTGTCTTCTTCCAGAAATCTTTTTAGACTTTGAAACAGTGAAAAGATAGAATATGTTATGCTAATTTGACAATTATTCATAAATATCAGTTCAATCGTAGATATAAAGTATATCTCAAAGTGTTAAAAATTGGATAGTTGTTAACTAAGATAATGAGCCTTTAAATCAAATTGATAATAAATAGTTTTTCACTGAATCTTTTGCGATATCAAGAGCAGTCTTTCCACCTTTATTCTTTGCATCTTTGTCAGCACCAACAGAGATAAGATATTCAACAACTTCAAGATGACCATTTTCTGAAGCTTCAATGAGTGGAGTATATCCATTAAAATTTTTTGCTTCTTTATCAGCTCCGACGGAGATAAGATATTTAACAACTTCAAGATGACCTTCTTTTGATGCATTAATGAGTGCAGTAAACCCAAATTTATTCTTCGCTTCTTTATCAGCACCAATAGAGATAAGATATTCAACAACTTCAAAATGACCTTCTTTTGATGCATAAATGAGTGGCTCTTCTAACGATTTTACTTGCATACAATTACCATTCTCTATAAGAGATTTAATAAGTTCGAGATTTCCTTCTATGCATGCTTTAGTAAGGAGATCTTTTGATGATATTTAATAAATTGAGAGGAAAATAATCGTTTTGAATTCTCCAAAATTATGTTATCACATATTTCACATTCATCCTTTTTAAGATTCTTTTCAAAAACACCAACAGAACAAGATTTAATGCTTTCTGGAGAGCTTTATGATTCAAAAGATCCGGAATTACGTTCATTGAGGACAACTGCTAGAAATTTATGCATAGATTATAATAAAACATGGCCATACGAAAAAGAAAAACGCAAACAAATTCTAAAATCATTATTTAAAGACGACACAGATGTTTACATTGAACCTCCATTCAAATGCGACTATGGAAGTAACATTAAACTCGGCAAAGGAATTGTAATGAACTACAATTGCACCATTCTTGATGCGTGCAAAGTAGAAATCGGTGACAGTGTTTTAATTGCACCTAATGTTTCAATTTTCACATCAAAGCACCCTATCGATGGAACTTTGAGAAAGAGCAAAGAGTTTGTATCCCCAATCAAGATTGGAAACAATGTTTGGATTGGTGGAAGTTCAACAATTTGTCCAGGCGTTTCTATTGGAGAAAACAGTGTCATTGGGGCAGGATCAGTTGTTACTAAAGATATTCCGGCTAATTCTGTTGCAGTTGGAAATCCTGCTCGAGTTATTAAGAAGATTGAAGTTATGAACGAGTAATATGATACTATTATGAAGTTTTTATACTAGCTTTAGAATTTATGTTTTAAAACATCTTATTATTGATCAATAATTTACGTATTTTTTATTATTTTTTTTTAATGAGATTCAATTTAAGATCAAATAAGATTAAAAGGTACTTGTTTTATCTCTAATCTAAGTATTTATTCTTGATTTATGTGGAAAATACCATCTCTCTTTTATTTAGGATGTGTTGCATTTATCAGCGATCTCATATTACAAACTACTAACAGTTACATCCTTCAATTATCAGATATTTCGTAGTCACCTTTTACCAATAAAAAAAGATAAAAAGGTGACAAAACGATGATTTTGCTTCTTTTTTCGTTTTGTAGATGCTGGACAGACCAAATGCTTGCAATTGCTGGTGAAGTTGGTCTCGAACAATTTGGTTTCTCCTTGCAAAAGAAACTAAATTCTGTTTTTCAGAACGCAGGAGACGATTTCACAAGAGTTTCTCAAGCAGCTGCATGGTTATACTACGCAGAGCGTCCTCCATTCAATATTCCATCATTCAATCACTGGCACTTCTACTCTCAGCCAATAAATCCAAACAATTTATCAATTGAAACTCATATTGACGTTGATAACTTAAAAGATAACTTTGATTCTATCAGAAAGTCAGTCAGAGGAGGAAAGGTATCACGAACATGGCCTTTTGCCTTCTTGATGAAGCTTTATTTAACAGGAATGTGCGATATCTACTCACCTCTTCATGTTTCTGAGCTATTCAACGAACAATTTCCAAACGGAGACAGAAATGGGCGTGATTTCTATGTGAAATACAACGGAAATTTCATTTCGTTATATGACCTTTGGGAAACAGGCTGCGGCTACTTTGATAGTCAGGTAGACTTTACAAGTGAAGATGATTGGAAAAAGATCGACAAACTTACAAATGAACTCTCTTTGGCTTTCACATCCGAAGATTGGCCTTCAACTTTGAGTGTTACGCAAGTTATAGAAGGAAACTACAACTACACGCGAGATACTGTTTATAACGGCCTTGTAAACGGTTCTGAAGTTTCCAAAGAGTATATAACTACTTGCCAAAACTACGCGCAAGATATTGTCATTCTCGCAGGCAAGAGAATCGCAACAGACCTTGCAAATTTGAATATCATTGAAATCGCAAAACAAATTCCTTATGCTAACGCGATTCGCTCATCAGAAGTAGCCGCATGGTCTATTTTGTTCATATTTACACCCTTCGCTGCACTCCTTATATGGAAGAAGCATTTTTCTACTAAGTAATTTTTTAAATTATATTAAAAAAGAAATTCTATATACTATTACCAAATATACTACATTTTTAACACAATTAGTTCACATAACCAAGTGTTAAATGACTTTGAAACAAAAGGATTTCTTGATATGAGTATACTGGGGTATATTCTGATCAAAACTAAGTTTCTTTGATACAAAAAATTAGTTTATTATTAATCTTAACTCTTTACCTCGATTATTTGTTTTAGAAATGTGATATGAAAGTAAGAAAAAAATACAATGGATTCTTTTAAGAAGGCAAATGAGCAGACTCTTGAATTATCAAGTGCGAAAAAGAGGTTAGCCGAGCTTAAAAAGGAAAATTCCGATCTTCTCGATCAAATTGAAGATCTAGAAGATCAAATTGTCAATCAAAAATCGAATAATCAATTTTTAATGAACGATTTAACAATTTGCTCGTCATCGGCCGACTCTATTAGTGTTGCCCCACAATTATTAGATCCATCGAAAGACGAAGTTACAGAACTTTTACAAGAACATCAAATTCTTCTTATGAACCGACAAAAAACTACAGCAGTTAAAGAACAAACCATGGATGAGAATTATAAGAAGATTCTTCCTAACTTAGAGCAAGATTATTTGAATTTATTACAAGAAGAAGCAATGTACAACAAGAAATTAAACAACTCCTATTATAAAAGACATGAATGGAATATTCTACAAAAGACAACATCAAAACACGTCGCATTTCTTAACGAGCAACAGAAAGATCGACAAAGAGAAAATGTACAGATGAATCAGCTTCTAACTAAGGCCAAAAAGGCATATGATGAATTACTTAACCGAAAAGATGTCATTTTGGATGATCAAAGGAACCAATTAGCAAAAACCATTCGTGCAAAGCAAAACCAAATTACACAGCTCGAAGGAAAGATCGCATCAGTCCTTAAGAGTATTTTCCTGATCAAGCAGAACACAGACAGAGCTGAAAGCCAAAAAAGATTTAATGATCTTGACGAAAAACGAAAAGCTGATTGGTCTGCAGAGAAGCAGAACCTCCAGTCGCAATTATCAGAAGCAAAGAAGAGGTTAGCAGATGTCAGAAAAGAACATATGACAAGAACAAAAGGAAATATGGAACAAATTAAGGAACTTAACGATACTCTTTCGAAATCAGACCAAGATACTTACGGATACATCCTTCGCTGCTATTCTGGCAAGGAAATCGATCCAAGTGTCGTAAATGACCAATCAATCTCAAAAATGTGGGAACAAATCAACCAACCGAGACAGGAATTGGCAATTCTTATGAAAGAAAATGCTCAAAAGGAAAGGAAATTAGCAAAAATGAGAAAATCTCTGAATGTTCAAATTCAACAATTCAGAGAAACAGAATTACGTAATGCAAAAGAGGCTGCAGAGTCTGAAGAGCAATTTAACAAACTCGAAGCCAAACTTTTGCAAAAAATTAAAGCAACAAAGATAATGATTGCTCAAAACAAGTTTAAAAGCGGAAAAGTTTAAATAACGCGAATAGTTTATTTTTAATATTTGCTAAATTTGATTTTAAAATAAAAATTGTGGAATTCTTTTTCTTATTTAAAAAAATTATCGAAAAAATATGTCAGAGAAACTCTCAGTTAATGTATCCGGACAGATATGTTCTTGCACAGTAAAGAACTCATCGGATATCTTCGACAAGTTTGCATTTCCTGAATTGTTTATGGATTAATGCAAGGATCCCGTGCAAATTTAGATAAAATCACGTAATGGAATTACTCAATTGATATTATATTTTATGCACCACTACCTTCTCAGTTAATTGTTGCAATATATGTTGAAAATGCATTTGAGGTAAAGGATGTGTAATTTCAAGGATAAATGTACATACATATTCCGCAGAAAATCATACTGTTCCGCATTCATAACTTGAACGCGGAATTATAAACGATATGAGTGTCATATGCACTGTTAATAGTCGGTATGCGTCATTTTTGGAGATGTTACATGTGCATCTCTTCCGGAAAGACACAATGTTCTGCAATTTTGAACCTGATTGCGGAACTTTGACCGGCAAGAGTGTATTATGCATTCTTGTCAATGAGATTTGTTTTCGAAAGCTTTTAATCGTCATAATAATATAGCTTTTCATTTTTCTTCGAAGAGAGAAGATTTGAGTGAGGTTGACTATTCTACTTTTACTAGACAGAACATCAGTGAAGTTCTGAACAGGCTTAAGAAGAATAGGACATCGCTTGAACAGACGCTAAATATTATCAAAAGCTTATTATTAACATCAAATGAAACAGAGTTTATAATTTCGAAGCTAGATGATATATTACCGTTATCTCAAACTGATTTTGAATTCTTATTCCCTGCTTTTAAACATCTTGCCATTAAAGATAGTTCAAATGCAAAAATATTACTACAATTATTAATTCAATTTGATTTAAATGAGACTTACATGGATGAGCCATACGAATTAGGCATGATTCTTGCACAATTGGTCGAAAAAGACGACATTCCAAATTTAATAACTTTTCTTTTATTAACTTTAAACAGCAAAAAGCCACCACAACTATACGATACATTATCAAGTTTACTCTCTAATAACAAAGATAAACAGATTTATCTCACTTTCGAAGATCGAATTCGACCTCATTTATCATTTTTCTTCAGCCAAATCGAGAAAATAAGAAATTGGTCTTTCTTCGAGTTTTACATGATTATCATCTCAATATCACGTCCTTCCCTACGCGTAAAAATATCACAATTATTCTGGGATTGTTTAATAACTGGAAAAGTGACAACAGATGACATTTGTCACTTCATTTCTGAGCATGACATCTTTTCACATTTATTTACTAATATTTCCTTGTTTGTTGACATCCTTATGACCACGCCTCCATCATTTATTTCTCTTTCTTCAACTCCTAGAATATCAAACATTATTTTACAAGTTTTGAAAGTTTACAATGAATATTGTGAATCATTTATCGAACAAATATTGTCATACGCAATGAACGGTTCTAAATTTAGTTCATCAGCGTCACTTTTAACCTTAATTTCAACAGATAAAACAATTTTGTCAAAAACAGTTTTACAAATTGACGATATTTTGACAGAATCTGCCGCAGTGTCAATTCCTTGTTTACAAACTATTTGTTACATCATTGCACGATCATGTCCGATAGAAGTCACTTCACCTCTCTATATTTCAATTCAAAAACGTCTTTTGCATCATTCCCAGATATTGATTCAAGCAGGAATATCTTTGGCTTTCAATTTTGCAAGAATTTACAAAAGTGAAGTGACAGAAATTATGACATGGGTGTTTAAAAGTGTCAATGATAATTTTCTTGGTTTGAAACCATCAATTCTTTTATCTGTCGTTGATATGATATATACACTTAATTTAGACGAAATTTTTTTAGAAGAAATCATCACTTTTTGTTTAAATTTGATACATGATTTGAAAGTTTTAGTTTCTGTTCAATGGAAAAAGGATTATTTGATGCAGAGAACAAAAGAAACAATTCAACAGAAATATGGAATAAAACTTGATACAATTTCAACACAACAACAAGGTGAACTGGTCGGTGAACTGATCATGATGATACACAAATTAAAAAACAAAAACCCTGGAAACGAAAAACTAAATAATAATGATGTTTTATCGTTTATGAATGATATAAAATCAATTGGATTTATTTTACCGGATAAATTATTCTCGGAAAACAAACATCTGTCGTACGCAGAAATGAAACAACTCATGGTAATAAGATCTGCAATTATTCCTATTGTTTGTACAACAAAAGACGATAGAATTAATCGTCAACCGTTTATAGATATTTTATTTTCTATCAATAGCTTTTACAAAAGCCCAATGAACACAACTAAGAGATGGTTTAAGGATTTGCATCCCGAGATAACGCAATACTCCCCTTCTTTTGTTTTTCATTGTATTCAAACAGAAAATTTTCAATTTCCTCGTGACACTTTTTTTGTTTCAGAAATTTTTAATAGTTTATATGATATTTTCATTGATGATTTGCATGAGCAAAGGTTCTTCTTTGATAATAGATTTACATTTGTAAGAGAGGATTTGGAGAAAGAAATTCCAAGAAAAATTTTGGAAATTTGCGAAAATTTAATTAATTTGACAAAAGATCTGGATAGATCAAAAGACCAATATTATATCATAAATTATACTCAAATTGTATGCAATGGACTTGATTTTGTTACTTTTTGTGTGATATCAGGTCGAGATTTTGAAATCGACTATGTAAATGACATTTATCCAATGATTAATAGTTCATACGATGTAGGAATTACATCAAGACTTATTGTATTAGGCTTCCAAATGAATTTAGACAAGAGAATTGTTTTTAATTCGATCAATGACATCAAACTCACCAATTTCGTATCAGATCTCATGACACATCCAATTATTTATCCATATGGTATTCAAAACTTTGAAGAAATTGTAAATACGAAGCAGCCAAACTCAAATTGGAGATTTTTACTTTTGTTGACTTTGTTGACTGAGAATTTTGATGAATTTTATGATAAATTCTACACTTACATCGATCAGATCCATGATAAACTTTTACCACCTTATTTTGCAGTGACTTTGTCTGATATCTTATCTTTTAAAATGTCACTTTTTCCAGGAAGAGTTGCAAGTTTGTCACTTTTATCGTTTGAAATTTTGAAATTGATTTTTACTGATGATTTGATAATTTTTGAGACAATGACTAGATTGATCGATTCCCTTGTCGCGATACAAGATACATCAGAACCGTCAGAACAAATCGGCCAAGTTTGGGCGTTTTTATCTGGAACACTTAGAAGTTTGAAGAGTTCTTCTTTTAATGGAAAGAAATTTAGATTCTTAAAACGTCTAAATGTTGCATGCCAACAGATTAAAAGACCTGAAAATGCAACATTTCAGATTGTTGAAGAAAGTGATGGCAAAAATGATGATTTATTCCATTTCTCAAGCGATTCCAGCAGTGACAGTGAATTTGCATCTGATGAAGAAGATAAAGGTGATGAATCAAGTGAGGACATATCAGAAAAATCATCTTATTCAAGTCCTCCTTCAGATTAATTATTATTTTTTTATTTATTATTATAGAAATAAAATTTGTTTTGTATTCTTGCTTATTAAATAAAGGATCATATCCAGTATATCCAATAAAAATTTGAACAATTTCGAATTATTATTTATCTCCTATACAATATCATTCATGCTGGTTGCTCTCAAAGGCTTGGACGATATTCAAAGGATTGAAACATCGTTTTCTTAGAATCAAACAATAGACTAGATCAAATGAAAATTGAGAACTTTTTGGGAAAGAATTTGAGAGTGAGAATTGGGAAAAGATTCCCAAACAATGGGTTGAAAGAAATCCAGAAAGAGTATAACTTAAGCTGCTGTGTATATACTGTGGAGAATTTTTAATTACTACAAATGAAAATAGCGATTGTTTCAAAATGTGAAAGATTTCCCAGCGGTTTTTCAACTCAAAGAGTATTATGTTCGTACGCTCTAATCACATCAAATTATGTAGAAAATTGCGGCGGCTATTATTCTTTTCAAACTGATTTTTTCAATATTATTGCGATAAAAGTAACTAATTTTATAAGAGTTTAATCGAGAGAGAAAAAAATGACAGAATCAGTTGATACATTGTATACTCGTACTAGGGACGAGACAGACAATGCATACAACAGTTTTGGTCGTCGATCTTCATTCGTTACAATTCTTTTACAATCCGGAGGCCCTTTCTTAGCGGAAGTTGTAGGCGCCTCATATGCGATTATGGATACATTCTGGATATCAAAGTTTTTGCACGAAGATGGTAACGCTGCAATGACTTTTGCTTCATTAATGGATGCAATTTGCCGAGCATTCGGAATGTTTGTATGCACGGCAGCATCATCAAAACTTGCATATCTCAGAGGAGAAAATAAATATCAAGATATTCCCCAAGTATTTGCTGATTTATTTAAATTTTCGATTTTACTTGGCCTTTTAGCTCCAGCGATCCTTTTACCCGTCATCAAGCCATTACTTAACTTCTTCAACATGGAAGGAACAATTCGTGCAAATTGCAAAGAATACTTAACCTATTCTATTAGCGGCACAATAGTTACTACATTAAACCTATTTCTATGCGGTTGTCTTCAAGCGGAAGGTAGATCGCTTATGTATGGCGTAAATCAGATGACATCTTTTATTCTCAACATGGCCGTCTTCGATCCTCTAATGATTGGTGTCCTCAACCTTGGAATGCGTGGTGCTGCTATTTCTACCATTCTTTCTGATGGAATTCCTTTGATTATTTTTGGCATTTTATTTGTTTTTAAGCGACTCGATACAAAATGCTCTATTACAAACGTTTTCACATTCAAGTGTTCGCCACATACATGGGAAGCCATCAAAGTTGGCTTTACTCAGTTCATTTCTCACGTCTGCTTCAGTCTTCCATCATTCTTCAGTCGTAAATGGCTGGAAATTGGTGCTTCTAAGCAGAGTAATCCAACTACGGTCCTTGCAGCCCTCAATCCTGTGATGAGATTTTGGTATATTCCTGGTTCATACGCTGTAGCGCTCAGTATTGGTATCTTGCCTTGCTTGAGCTATTCATTAGGTCGTCGCGATAAGAAGAGAGTCAGAAGTCTCTTTTTCACTGGATTATTCATGTCAATTACATGGTGTGGCGTTATTGAGGTCTTAATGTTCTTTTTCAGACGCTACTATGCCAAAATGTTTAGCAAGGAAACAGAATTTCTCGATATTACCGCCAAAATGCTCTTAATAACTTATATTTGCTGCACAGTCATGGGTGTTGAGATGATCTGCGCTTCATTTATTCAATCAATGAAGTATGCATTGCTTGCAACAATCCTAAGCATTCTTACAAGGTTCGTTCCTGTTCCAATGTTTGGTGCGATTTTCTTCTATACAAACAAGGCCAGGAATATATATGTAACTCTCAGAATGTATCCTGCAGCTGGTGTATTTTCATGTTTTGTTGGTTTACTGTTTGTGATTTATCCGTTTTGCAGACTTAGCAAGATTCAGGATCCACAAATGTCTCAACCTTTGCTACAAGAGAAAGAGCATAATGTGGGAGAAAATAGATATACAGAATAACTTATATTTTTATATTTTTGTTTTTCCATTTCAATAAATTTTCAGCATATATAAAAATATTTTTCGCCGTCTTTAATATTAATCAAGTTAGCTATCTAAATTTCATATTTTTGTGACATAATTTTCATCATTTACGATTGAAATTTTTAATTATTTTTAAACTAATAGCATGTATCAATTTGTGTTATATTATACTGTGGATTGATCCATTTAAATCTCCGAAAATTCCATGATCAAATAATTTCAAAATCAAATCAGGTTCAAAATTCGATTTTAAGCGGTTATTTTTGTTTCTAATCATATGAGATATCATAAGCAATTATAAAAAGAAAGGCACGAAAAGTGACATTAGGCACTCACAAAAAATACCTCCCATTATCCAAATTTGTGAACATTATCATGCGGAAGAGCAAAGTAAAAATGCCCCTCGGCATATTAAGAACGTATCATATTTAATATGCCTTTTTTTTACTCACAAAATCTAGATTGAGAGGCGGTCAATGACTTTTCAGGGGATATTAACGCATGAAATTTAGTATTATTTAGGGTGATATGCTTGCCTATTATTTCAAAAAAATCTAATGATAATGCATAATTATTGTTTGAACATGAATCATTTAACTTTATTTTACAAAATGGAATGTTTCATTATTATGTAGCACCATATTTTTTAATTACTGTCATCATTATCACTATCACTATCATCATCACTATCACTATGATCATCGTTACTGTCATCTTCATCACTATGATCATCGTTACTGTCATCTTCATCACTATGATCATCATTACTGTCATCATTATCACTATCATTATCAATATGATCATCATTACTGCCTTGACAGAAAAGAACAAATTGGTGTGATGCTTTTCCATATTTACCTTTAGCATTGATATCTGCACCATGTGAAATAAGAACTTTTGCTGTTTCTTTGCTTTTATTGAGTGCTGCATGATGAAGTGGAGTTTCGTCATCTTGATCTTTAGCATTGATATCTGCACCATGTGAAATAAGAACTTTTGCTGTTTCCTTGCTGTTGGAATATGCTGCTTTATGAAGTGGAGTTTCGTTATCTTCATCTTTAGCATTTACATTTGCACCATGTGAAATAAGAATTTCTGCTGTTTCCTTACTGTTTTTGAGTGCTGTTATATGAAGTGGAGTTTGTCCATCTTTATCTTTAGCATTAATATTTGCACCATGTGAAATAAGAATTTCTGCTGTTTCCTTACTGTTTTTGAGTGCTGTTATATGAAGTGGAGTTTGTCCATCTTTATCTTTAGCATTAATATTTGCACCATGTGAAATAAGAATTTCTGCTGTTTCTTTGCTGTTGGAATATGCTGCATTTTGAAGTGGAGTTTCGTTATCTTCATCTTTAGCATTTACATTTGCACCATGTGAAATAAGAATTTCTGCTGTTTCCTTACTGTTTTTGAGTGCTGTTATATGAAGTGGAGTTTGTCCATCTTTATCTTTAGCATTAATATTTGCACCATGTGAAATAAGAATTTCTGCTGTTTCCTTACTGTTTTTGAGTGCTGTTATATGAAGTGGAGTTTGTCCATCTTTATCTTTAGCATTAATATTTGCACCATGTGAAATAAGAATTTCTGCTGTTTCTTTGCTGTTGGAATATGCTGCATTTTGAAGTGGAGTTTCGTTATCTTCATCTTTAGCATTTACATTTGCACCATGTGAAATAAGAATTTCTGCTGTTTCCTTACTGTTTTTGAGTGCTGTTATATGAAGTGGAGTTTGTCCATCTTTATCTTTAGCATTAATATTTGCACCATGTGAAATAAGAATTTCAGCTGTTTCTTTGCTGTTGGAATATGCTGCATTATGAAGTGGAGTTTGGTTATCTTCATCTTTAGCATTTACATTTGCACCATGTGAAATAAGAATTTCTGCTGTTTCCTTACTTTTTTTGAGTGCTGTTATATGAAGTGGAGTTTGTCCATCTTTATCTTTAGCATTAATATTTGCACCATGTGAAATAAGAATTTCTGCTGTTTCTTTGCTGTTGGAATATGCTGCATTATGAAGTGGAGTTCCATTATCTTTATCTTTAGCATTTACATTTGCACCATGTGAAATAAGAAATTCTGCTGTTTCCTTGCTGTTGGAATATGCTGCTTTATGAAGTGGAGTTTCGTTATCTTCATCTTTAGCATTACATTTTGCACCATGTGAAATAAGAATTTCTGCTGTTTCCTTACTGTTTTTGAGTGCTGCTTTATGAAGTGGAGTTTGTCCATCTTTATCTTTAGCATTAATATTTGCACCATGTGAAATAAGAATTTCAGCTGTTTCCTTACTGTTTTTGATGCTGCATTATGAAGTGGAGTTTGTATCTTATCTTTAGCATTAATATTTGCACCATGTGAAATAAGAATTTCTGCTGTTTCCTTACTGTTTTTGAGTGCTGCTTTATGAAGTGGAGTTTGTCCATCTTTATCTTTAGCATTAATATTTGCACCATGTGAAATAAGAATTTCTGCTGTTTCTTTGCTGTTGGAATATGCTGCATTTTGAAGTGGAGTTTCGTTATCTTCATCTTTAGCATTTACATTTGCACCATGTGAAATAAGAATTTCTGCTGTTTCCTTGCTGTTGGAATATGCTGCTTTATGAAGTGGAGTTTCGTTATCTTCATCTTTAGCATTTACATTTGCACCATGTGAAATAAGAATTTCTGCTGTTTCTTTGCTGTTGGAATATGCTGCATTATGAAGTGGAGTTCCATTATCTTTATCTTTAGCATTTACATTTGCACCATGTGAAATAAGAAATTCTGCTGTTTCCTTGCTGTTGGAATATGCTGCTTTATGAAGTGGAGTTTCGTTATCTTCATCTTTAGCATTTACATTTGCACCATGTGAAATAAGAATTTCTGCTGTTTCCTTACTGTTTTTGATGCTGCTTATATGAAGTGGAGTTTGTTATCTTTATCTTTAGCATTATATTTGCACCATGTGAAATAAGAATTTCTGCTGTTTCCTTACTGTTTTTGAGTGCTGTTATATGAAGTGGAGTTTGTCCATCTTTATCTTTAGCATTAATATTTGCACCATGTGAAATAAGAATTTCTGCTGTTTTCTGTTTTTTGAAATGCTGTTTATGAAGTGGAGTTTGTCCATCTTATCTTTAGCATTTACATTTGCACCATGTGAAATAAGAATTTCTGCTGTTTCTTGCTGTTGGAATATGCTGCTTTATGAAGTGGAGTTTCGTTATCTTCATCTTTAGCATTTACATTTGCACCATGTGAAATAAGAATTTCTGCTGTTTCCTTGCTGTTGGAATATGCTGCTTTATGAAGTGGAGTTTCGTTATCTTCATCTTTAGCATTTACATTTGCACCATGTGAAATAAGAATTTCTGCTGTTTCTTTGCTGTTGGAATATGCTGCATTATGAAGTGGAGTTCCATTATCTTTATCTTTAGCATTAATATTTGCACCATGTGAAATAAGAATTTCTGCTGTTTCCTTGCTGTTGGAATATGCTGCATTTTGAAGTGGAGTTTCGTTATCTTCATCTTTAGCATTTACATTTGCACCATGTGAAATAAGAATTTCTGCTGTTTCCTTACTGTTTTTGAGTGCTGTTATATGAAGTGGAGTTTGTCCATCTTTATCTTTAGCATTAATATTTGCACCATGTGAAATAAGAATTTCTGCTGTTTCCTTACTGTTTTTGAGTGCTGCTTCATGAAGTGGAGTTTGTCCATCTTTATCTTTAGCATTAATATTTGCACCATGTGAAATAAGAATTTCTGCTGTTTCTTTGCTGTTGTAATATGCTGCTTGATGAAGTGGAGTTATACCGGAATTAGTTTTAGCATTAGCATTTGCACCATGTGAAATAAAATATTCAACAAGGGACGGAAGAATAAAATCAAATGAATATGCAAAGCATGAATCAATATCATTAGTTTGATCTAAGTGAATTAAGAAAACACGAAGATTAATTTGTGTACAACAGCGCCCTAAGTTAATTTTAATTTTATGTTCATTCATCAAAAATGAAACAAAATCAATGTTATGTGAAGTAATTGCATACTCCATGCATTTTTCATCTGGTTTTTGATATTTCAAGCACTCATTCATAATCTCCTGATTTCCACCTAAAAATGATAAATAGAGACATTCTTTGGTTATTTCAGAATGGAATTTTGTGATGAAGAACTTAAAACAATCAACAGATCCATAATAACAGCATAGTTCAAGATATGAATATTGATCTATTGATGGTGGATAAAATGAAGATTTTAATTTTTGATGTTCATCAAATTCGCCTTTTTCGATGATGGAAATTAATAACACTTTGTCATCATCCATGATTGCCCTGTAAATTGTATTCTCTTTATGAATATCCGATGAATAATTTTTAGATTCAAATTTCTCGAATTTTCTTCTGTTGTTTTCTTCAAGCACTATTCCATATTCTTTATATAAAAGGTAATCAAAACCAGGATCAACGCGTTTAATCTCTTTTGGATGATATTCCTCAAAGATTCGTTTGACAATGTATAAATACGACTTCATGTAGCGGTTATTAATTTTTGCAATTCGTGATATATCGGAAAGAATCTTATTTGGAGGGTACTTATATGAATTGATTAAATTTTTGATATCTTGATAAATTTCAGATAATTCTTTTTCGTCTTTTGTTTTAAGCTGAAATAATGAATCGAATGCATCACAATAATCTTTATAAGTGCTCATCAATTCATTGTTATGAGTTGGCGATACGGTATGGCCTGATATCATCAAAATTTTTAGTTGCGACTACTTTTTTTTGCGGAAAATTTTTAACTGCGACTACTTTTTTTTTGTGTGTGTGAGAGTGAGTGAAGCCTGTTAAAAATGCTAATGATTATTTTTAATCGAACAACATTTGAATCAAAAATAATCGTATGTTTGATAATTTTTAATTGCGACTATTTTTTTTGGACAGTTAGGCAATAAAAGTGACTGACAATGCTACGTAAATACCCCTATATTTCGTCCTCTTATTTCCTAGTGACGTTCTGTGAAAAGATAATTTTTGATGATTTTTGATGAACATAAAGAGTTGTTATAATCGTCGTCCTACTTTTCCATTTTTTTCCCTTTTTTCTCACTACAACCGATAGAACCTATGAATCAATTCATGATTCGCATACCAAAAATTCGAGAAAAAATTATAAATGATGTCTACCTCATCAAACCCTAATGTTGAGAAAAGATGCGAAATCATAATCAAATTATTTGGCACAAAATCAAATTTTCTTTCTTAAGAACAGTGAAGTTATAAAATTTATCTATGTGAGAATATGAATAGTTGTAGATTTATAGAATATGAGGAAATTGAAAAATTTCGAGCATATGAGAATAAAAAAATGGTAAAAATGCACATTTTTTGATATAATTAGGATTTAATAGGAAATACAATATGTATGGAAGTGTGATATTGCAAGAAATTATCACACAAAGCAATGAATAAGAAAGAATTGGAGAAATTCAATTGTTTAAATGTAAGTTAAAATGTTTCTAAGTAGTGGATGATTGATACGTATGTTATTTTGACTAATCAACATCTGATTGTTGACTTTGTTCCTCATCTGAGGTACTTGTATTAATTTTAAGAAAATTGCATATTTATATTCAATCCTATTGTCTGTATCCGATCCAACTTAAATAATTTACTTAGGAACGACAAAATAAGCTATATTTTGCGTGGAGAGAAGATAAAGTTCATCAGTAAAGGATAATTAAGTATCTCATAAGGTCGATGAAAAAATGAGCGTTTTTAAAAAACCGCCGTTTGAGAGGAAAATTGAGAGCCCCGATGTATACTTTTTGACATTGTCAAAAACTTTGAAAGGACCAAAAAAATTTTAGTGTCAGAAAGTTTACAAATGTATACTTTCTGACAAACAGACTCTCAGAAAGTACTCAAACTGCAGTTTTTAATTTCCGCACTTTTTTTGGCGACCTTATAATTAATTGTATGACTTATATCAAAATGAAGATTGTCGATATGATCGTAGATTTTCAAAAAAAAAATAATTATGAAGTTGATAGTTCTTGGAAGCGGTGGATATTATACAACCGATGACACACATACTCCATCATATATGATACCAGAATTGGGCATAATTTTTGATTCTGGAAACGGTATACACAGAGCTCCTCAATATGTTGAAACTGAAACTATTCATATCTTTTTGAGTCATGCACACTTAGATCACACAGAAGGGCTTCGTGTTGTTAATTATCTTTATAATGATAAATGCACAAAAATTATCGTTCATGCACGAAAAGAAATTATTGAGGCTATTCCTCTATTATTTAATCAGCCATTTGCAGGTGGCCATACGATGCCATTTGAGTTGGAAGAAGTTGAAGCCGGAAAACCAATTCAACTTCAAAATGGTGTTACTATTACAGCTTTTGAGCTCAATCACACCTCTCCAAACTTTGGATATAGATTAGACACACCGAAAAGGTCAATGGCATATGTTACAGATACAACATTTATACCAGAAAAAGATTATACTCCACATCTTCATAACTTAGACCTTCTTTTACATGAATGCTATGCAACAGCAGGTGATGTTCAGCAGGCTGTTGAAATGGGCCATACTTGCCCCGAACAATTTGTTTCTATTTGTAAAGCTACAAATCCAAAGAAGGCTTATACAATTCACCACCGACCAAAGGGTGGAAAGGAAGAAAATATAGAATTTATTAAGAAAGAATTTCCAAATGCCTTCATGGCCGTTGATAAACAAATAATTGAATTTTAATATACATGTTGATAAATAAATTATTGAATTTAAAGTTAAAAGTTTTATATTTTTATCAAAAAAATTCAAATTAAAAAAAATTATAAAAATATTAGTCAAGGTATTGGCTCCAATCGATGAATTCCTCATCCTTGAGTTTCTGATAGTCGTAGAAAGCGTCAAGCAATGATCCGACTGCGTGAGCTGAGATTCCGTAGATCCTAAGATGGTTGATAACAACTTTTGCGAGTCCGATCGCTTTGATATCCTCACCGCTGAGTCTTCTCTTCATTGTTGCAGAAGCTCTGATCAAGAATGCAACAGTTGCAGGGATGATGTTCTCGTTCAACTTTGGAATCTTCTGGCTGACATTTCTGATGTAATCAACAGCATGAACAGAGTCAAATATCTCTGGAGCAACAACCATAGAAAGAAGAACATCCACAATGACTCCATCGTATTTTCTTTCCTCGGAGTAGTACTTTGCATCAAAGGATTTCTCAATTTCGTTGTGCCATTCGATGAATGTCTTGTTGCAGACTGTTTTCTCAGTGATGATATTGTGGGATTGGCAGTAGTCGAGCCAGCGAAGGACAGATGCGAGGAGTGCAGTGCTCTTGATTGTTTCAATGGCACCGTATCTCTCAATGATCTGGAAGACGTAGTAGAGGAATGTCCTTCCATTTGGTAATTTCTCAGTGAGAATGTCTCTGCCGTTTGGAGCAAGAAGGAAGTAGTCCTGAAGTGCTTGTGGATACAAGAGAGCAATAGCAGCGTTACCTGAGTCAAGTGACTTTTGAGCCAAAAGAGATAACTCTCTTCTTGCATCTTCATATCTTCCTGTAACAATGAGATTGCCTCTGATTGCAACTAATACTTCCTTCAGGAGAATCTTAGTGCCAAAGAGACATTGTTCTGGAAGTCTGTTTGCGAGGAATCTTCTTTCGCCACTTGTTCCGTACAAAGAGATTGAATATCTTGTGAGCTGTTGGATGAACTCATCTTGTTGTGTAGCAAATGGTGTTAACTTGAATGAAAGAGTCTTTGTGAATAAGTTGTTGATGATTTCCATGAGTTTGTAGAAATATTTTGGCAAAATACTGCGAGGCTGGAATTTCTTATATGGAATAAGTTCTGTTCTGAGGAACTGAGACAATGAAATCAAATTTTGTGATCTGAAAAGTCTCTGTGCAGTGTAATCCAAAAGCCAGTCACCACTCTTCAAGTGCTTTGAGATGGCTGCTTCATTTTCATGGTATACACGTAATATTCCATCAATTCCTGAGATGTTGATTCCTTCAATGTTGTATCCTCCATCTTCAGTTTCGCCTTTGAACATCAATCCATTGAGGTCTGTGAGTGAGAGATCCTGGAGTTGCTGATCAATTGCTGCTTCAGTTGTTCCGTTGTTGAGTTTCTGTATTACTTGTTTAGTCTGTTCGCCATATTCAGTGTCGTAAACAATAACAGCTCCAAGTGGTAATTTTTCAACATCAATTCTTTGCTCAGCGATTTGAACGAAATCAGCAATTTTAGTGTTGAAGTGGACTTTATCTGAGATAAGAGCTTCAAATCTGAGTGTTACTTTTTCTGCTGGAATTTGGATCTTCTGAGGTGTATCATCTGAGTATTTAAATCTTGTGAGCATCCAGACACCTTCACCACTGTCGGAGTTCATTCTGTGGATTGAAAGAATTCCTCCATATGCGTGATAATCTGTTTCGCATGAGAGATGGGAGAGTTCTGTGTGGAGGTTGTTGAGTGTTGAGCGGATCTCTGCGTATTTGCTGGCCTGGTATGATGATCCAATTGGAGAGAAAGCCATTGAAAGGGAGGCTGACAATGAAAGCGGATTTACAACTTTCCAGTCATCGCCTGGAAGTTTGTCAAACAAAATAGATGGAATCTGTGTGTTGATTTTGACAAGATTTCTAAGCTTTGAAACAGATCCAATGTCGCATCCACCTGCTTGCCAAATTATATGTGATAACTCATATGCATCGAGGTTCAAACTGCAGTCTCTAAGGATTGCGTTGAGTTTGAATGTTGTAAGAATCTCAATTCCCTTAGATTCGACAATTTGTGCATCAAGCTGTGTAGTAATGAAGATATTTGGTTTGGCGGATCTTGTCTCATCGATGCAGCGCTTTAGGAATGCTTCATTGGCTGATTTGATGTCAACAAGTCTCAATATTTGAGAAATTCCAGATACTTTGTCGAAAGCTTCTTTCATATGGTTGTAGAGTTCTTGGTTTGGCTCATTTGAGTGGCCATGGCGGAGTTTGATGACTCCTTCGTTGCATACAACCTTTCTTGTGAAGTAGTAGTTCTTTGTTTCATCTGTATTTGATGCGGAATCAGCAACATCTGGAACAAATCCATCGTATGCGACATGAACAAGCTGCCCACATATCTCTTTCTGTGTAAACAACCTTCTTTTAGTGACATTTTGATGGCTATGAAGGAATTCTGCTTCATTCTTGCAAATTTCTTCGCAAATCTCTGTAAATGCATCAATATATGGTTTGTTTACCTCAGAAAGTGTGATCATGAGTTCAGAATTCGTTGTTTCATCAGCTTCTCCGAAAACAGAAACAATATAGTCAATGTCAGCCTTTCTATCTTTGAATGCATCAGCCTTCTCTTTGAATGTCGCATCCTCGTATTTCTTCAGATTTGGCTTCAAATCTTTAGGTAATTTCTTGATGTCGTAAAGAGAGTATTGCTCAAGTACATTATCTGTATCAATGACATAATGGTTCTTGAGGCTGCTTGCCATAAGCTTTCCGAGAAGAAGATTCTTCGTTGCATTGACATCATGGATGAGAGATCTGTCAATGTCGCTAGAAATGGCATAAAGGATATCATCAAGTTCAACAGCTTTCTTTATCCATGGAGCTGAGATCTCGTTAATTGTTAATTCTGGATGAGAAAGGATCCAATCGATGTCATCAGAAAGCTTGTTGAGGTGTATGTCGTTCATGAATCCAATATTATACTTCTTCTCGATTTCTGGAAGTTTTTCGATCAACTTGAAAGTCTTTGTGGATGATTTTTCTTTCTTTGACGCTGGTATGGTTTGTTCGACTTCAAAGTCAGAAATATCTGTCTCTGCATTAGTAACAAAGTGGATTATGTTATATCCATTCTTTGAAACTTCTTCAATCTTCTCAAGAAGATTGGAATAGTCCTTGTAGTCAACTAAATTGATAGATTGGATTCGTAAATCATTCTTTGGAACCTTCTTATTGTTGATCGTAATTGTTGGATCAACTAAAATGTAGAGCTTTTCAGATTCTAAATCTGAAACTTTGAACTGGAGAAAATACATGCCTGGTTTGGATAACTCGAGATCATAGGATAGATTCTCAGCGGCATTATAAGGCTTTGTTGGAATAATTTTCTTTGCAGCTGGATAATCAGTTAAAATCTCAAGATCCTTTGAGTGAAAATTGGAGCCGAGTGGAACAATGATTCGTAGGACTTTATCTGATCCATTAAAATGGATAATGCTCGTCTCCAATTCACCTGTTTCTGGGAGTTGCAATGTCTTTGTAAGCATATTTCGATTGATTTATCGTCAGACCAATTTGTAACTCAAATAACTTTACTTTCTATCAAATATTTTATATAAACCGTATTTATTTGAATATTCCATTCATTTCAAACGATTTCTCTTTATGGAATTTTAAATCCGATTATAATCTTTTTATTTTATATTCAAATAAAAAAAATCAATTCACTTTATTTTTCGAGAGCTTGAATGGTTGGTGAACTAAGTACATGATCTTACCAATATAATTATTATTAGCTATGAAGATATTATTATTTCAAAATAAAAAACTTGCATGTCAAGAGTACATTCGAAGACCATCAACTAATAATTCAAGTAATCTTTTAGAATTAAATTCATCTATGTAGTGGCCACTTAATACTACCATTAAATGAAAATTAGATGATGATTTCGGACAATCTCTTAATAAATCATCAATTATTGCTTCTATGTCTCATCTACTGAGCCCATCTATTAGTTGTTCGAGCTACATATATAGAAAGTAACAAAACTCCTGCTGGTTATGAAATTGTTTTTGTTTGTAAGTGTAAACATATAGTAGCTGATAGAGAAGTACATTCTTTACTACATGAACTTGCTTATTGACTATTCACATATGTAAATGTTCCTGATAATTCTATATTAGTTTCTATTAATATAACAATGACAAAGACTATCAACATATAGGAGTCACTCTAGTTTTATAGATATATCTCAAAGATTTGTTGAAACTCATATAAGTTTTCCTTTTGACTTGTTGTAGAGAAATTTTTTTTCGAAAATAAGTCAATTTTTTATTTTTTCTATCTTGTATTTCACTTTTGGCTAGGTCATTAGAATTTACATACTATTTCATTTCTTTTTCTTTCTTCCTAGTTGCGCATGCAGTGCACACAATGAAAACAAATGTCGTGTGTCTAGATATAGTTCATATTGGTCCCTGTTTAGAATTAGAAAAAGAAAACATATCAAAACTCAAAATATCAGGAATAGACGAAGGTCTGCATCAAGAATATATTGATCAATTAATTTCTTTCAATTTATCATTCGAAAAACCGAGAATTGGGAATTTATATTGTTTTTTAAAGCACTCAGAAGAAATAAAGCAACATAAATACTTTAATCATTATATGATACTGCCAAATTTTGGCCAAAAAAAATTAATTGATAGTATTAACTGTTTAAAATGTAAAATTGCAATATACAAAGATGCTTACGCAACACTTAATGGCGAATTTGCCATCAATTCCAGAGTTATTTGTCCACCTTTAGAAACGGGTCCTGATTGGATTCGTAAATTTAGGAGTGGACCTGTAGTTTATGAATGTGACAAGGCTTATGTATCTGGTCACATGAATTCAATTAATTTTGGTCACTTTATGCATGATTTTTTGAGTCCATTAATGTTAATGCCAAAAGATTTTCTTGAAGAAGGTGTTTTAATCATTCCTGAAGGCTGCAGAAAATTTGGGGAAGAATATCTAGTAGCTGTTGGGGTATATAAATATATATACATCGAAAAAAGTGAATGGGTTCATGCCCAAAAACTTGCAGTTGCCGTAGATCCAAGACCACATAATTCTCACTTCGGATTACCTATTCAAATGTTGATAGACAAGCTTAAAGATTGCTTTGATATAAAGGATATTGTTCCAACAAGATACGTCCTGATGAACAGAAAAAAATCATATGATAGATATATTGAAAATTTTGATGAAGTTGTAAAAAAAGTCAAAGAGCAAATAACTGACATAAATTTCGAAGTTCTAGAAGATCCAAAAGGTTCAATAGCTGATTATTCAAAGATATTTCCTTCTATAAAATTTTTATTCTCTCCTAAAGGAAGTAACTGCATCAAATCATTATTTATGAGTCCTGGAACTGTTGTAACAATAGCAGCGGCCGATATGTTTGATTATTCAGTTGTTTCTTTCATTCTTTCTTTAGATATCAAACTCGTTTATTTTACTAATCCTGGCTCCAATTACGACTGCTTTGATTGTGATATTGATCTTACAATTGATGCTATAAAAGCTGGTGTATATTGTTTGAAGAACGGAAAATGGCCCCAGCCTGAGAAAGATGTTTCATTTATTGATTATGTGAAATAATAATAAATTTGTTTGTATATATTTTCTTTTATCAATACATTCTTTTTGACTTTTTAAGTTTATGATTCCTATCCGAAATAGAAGGTTTGAAGGAAAAATATATTCGAAATTTTTCATAATTCTTCTGAATAGAGTAATTTTTGTTGTTTTTGATAGTTGGTTTTGTGAGTAGCTTGATTTGATATTCCTTTTGAATTTTGAATATTCTAAAAATAGACGTTTAATTTTGCAAATCTTCATGGAGCAAAATGAGTTTGTCAACAGGATATTTGCTAAATTATCAAATGAAGGATTTGTTCAATCTTATAGATCCCAGCTCAGATTTGCAATTCACAAATTTTCATCTGCAAATCGAGATTTTTCATTTGAACCTTTTCAACATACGCTAAAATCCGAATTATTATGCAACATTATTTCAGAATACATGCAAAGACACGGGTTGAAAAATTCATATAACGTTTTCATTGAAGAATCAGGTTTTCATAAAATGAACGAACCAGATATTTTAAGAATGTCTCATATATCAAATGTTAAATCATCCATATTAGAAACTCTTGTTGGAATCAAGAATAAAACTGGCGAATATCATACAGTTGAAACTCAAACAGATAATCTTTCCCTTGCGCAGAAGCTTTCAAGGGTTGATGAAGCAATAAGAGCTAACAGATCTTCTGTTAAGTCATATGAGCGCCAAAAACTTGTACATGATAGACTTGAGCAGATTAAGAAAGAAAAAGAAATTGAATTGGAGAAAAGACTTCAATACACATTTAACGCTCAAACAACAATGGAAATGAGTCGATCAAGGATGGATCAAACAGAGAAATTCCGTTTAGAAGTTGAAAATCTGAAAGCACAATATGAAACAATGTTCTTGAAGAAGAGTGCTGAGTTCAAACTAGCTAGGGAGCAAGAGGAAGAAGCAACGAAAATGCTTCAAGAGGAATTAGATAAGCAGATTGCAAGACTAAAGGCTGGCTTAGACCCTGCACCATCAAATATTTCCGCTCAACAAGCGCATGAGATGTCGCAAAAGAAGCTTAAAAAACTCCTTGGAAAAGCACAAAATCTTATGAGGAAACGAGAGTCACTTAAGATCAAGCTGAAAGCTGAACAAGAAGCACATAAGCAGACTTTGCGTGAACTTGCCGAGCTTCAGAAGAAATTTGCTTCATTAAGCGTTTAATTTTTAATTTGATTAAATTGTATTTGTTTGTATGGTATCTGTGTAATAGAATTTGTATTATATTTTTCTTTAACTCATGTCTTTGCTTAGATAGAAGCATAGCTAAAAAAATTGAAACATAATTTTTTGAATTTTGATATTTTCAAGCTCAAAATGGCTGTCTCACTTTTGTGGACAAAATGCAAAAACCTATGAATTTTCCTATTTTAATTTGATATTCATAATATATAAGTATTTGTAATGCATATTCTATCTTCTAATTAGTAAAATTACATTGCCCGCCAAAATCAAAAATTTTCTATTGAAAAAATAGCGCCAAGTCCAAAAGTGTCATTTTCTCATTGAAGACCGCAGCTGGAGTCAATGCCGATTATCCACTTGCTGGGATGCTACACAGCCCTTGATCTGGCCAATCATAGTGCTGTTCCATCCACATCAGCAAGTGATTTCGGCATCAGATCTCCACTTGGTCTTCCATGAGAGTTCTGCAAGCCAGGAGTGCAATATCTATACAGCCTTGCTGCTAGGATATAGTAGCTAGGCTGCGTAGATATTGCGCTCCTATGGATATTAGTTATACGTTATTATCCGCATGGGCTCATACTGCCATCCTCTGGTTCCCGAAGGGCCAAGGATTATGTAATTACTCGAATTGGGCAAGGTTCTTCCGAGATCTCTCATTCAAGGAGATATCTCGGAAGAATTTTGCCCTAAAGTACTCTAATTACTGTTCCCTAGTTTCTAAAGAGCTAGGAATTTTGTAATTAATCGAATAAGGCAGGATTTTTCCGAAGTCTCTCATTTGATGAGAGGCCTCGGGAAAATCCTGCCTTAAGGTAATATACTTGTAGTCTTTGGTCTTTTATAGGCCAAAGACTGTAAAATTACTTGAATAGAGCAATGTTCTTCCGAGGCCTCTCAATCGAATGAGAGACTTGGGAAGAACATTGCACTAATGTAAAGTATGTGTGGTACTTGGCCAGCAAGGAGCGAGAGAACTTGTCTGTAATTCGTTTATGCTGAAGTTTTCTGAAGTTTTTTCAATTTGAAAAAAATTCAGAAAACTTCAGCATAAGTTAATGCTGTTGTGGTTCTCTAGCTCTTTGCCGGCCAGAGATCGAATAAAAAGTTTATTGGGTGAGTAGGCTCGATCCATGCCTACCCACTACAAATATACGTTATTTTTTTTATTTGCTATGAGGAAATAGTTTTTCATTTTTATAATACTATATGTTTTACTACTTCATAAATTGTTTATTTTCTTATTAAAACCTAATTTTTCCGTGTGATTCGGAATCTATGCATTCCAAAAATGCGTTTTCCGCTCTCAGAACGTGAAAATATGCACTACATGAGGAGATAAAGAAGATTCTTTCTCACCAAAATTCCAAAAAAATGCGTTTTTCTTTTTTTCTCCGCGAAAAATGTACTTTTTAATTTCGAAATTTTCGAACCATGATTTTTTTGGAGATTTTTCGAAAATTCCAATATTACAGATGTATGTTATTTTATGTACTCTATTAGAATATCTGCTTATTTTCGAGTTTTGATCAAGATTGAAAAATTCGAAAAAATAGAAACATAAGAAATCTCTTTATCTCCTCATGTAGTGCATATTTTCACGTTCTGAGAGCGGAAAACGCATTTTTGGAATGCATAGATTCCGAATCACACGGAAAAATTAGGTTTTAATAAGAAAATAAACAATTTATGAAGTAGTAAAACATATAGTATTATAAAAATGAAAAACTATTTCCTCATAGCAAATAAAAAAAATAACGTATATTTGTAGTGGGTAGGCATGGATCGAGCCTACTCACCCAATAAACTTTTTATTCGATCTCTGGCCGGCAAAGAGCTAGAGAACCACAACAGCATTAACTTATGCTGAAGTTTTCTGAATTTTTTTCAAATTAGGAAAAAACTTCAGAAAACTTCAGCATAAACGAATTACAGACAAGTTCTCTCGCTCCTTGCTGGCCAAGTACCACACATACTTTACATTAGTGCAATGTTCTTCCCAAGTCTCTCATTCGATTGAGAGGCCTCGGAAGAACATTGCTCTATTCAAGTAATTTTACAGTCTTTGGCCTATAAAAGACCAAAGACTACAAGTATATTACCTTAAGGCAGGATTTTCCCGAGGCCTCTCATCAAATGAGAGACTTCGGAAAAATCCTGCCTTATTCGATTAATTACAAAATTCCTAGCTCTTTAGAAACTAGGGAACAGTAATTAGAGTACTTTAGGGCAAAATTCTTCCGAGATATCTCCTTGAATGAGAGATCTCGGAAGAACCTTGCCCAATTCGAGTAATTACATAATCCTTGGCCCTTCGGGAACCAGAGGATGGCAGTATGAGCCCATGCGGATAATAACGTATAACTAATATCCATAGGAGCGCAATATCTACGCAGCCTAGCTACTATATCCTAGCAGCAAGGCTGTATAGATATTGCACTCCTGGCTTGCAGAACTCTCATGGAAGACCAAGTGGAGATCTGATGCCGAAATCACTTGCTGATGTGGATGGAACAGCACTATGATTGGCCAGATCAAGGGCTGTGTAGCATCCCAGCAAGTGGATAATCGGCATTGACTCCAGCTGCGGTCTTCAATGAGAAAATGACACTTTTGGACTTGGCGCTATTTTTTCAATAGAAAATTTTTGATTTTGGCGGGCAATGTAATTTTACTAATTAGAAGATAGAATATGCATTACAAATACTTATATATTATGAATATCAAATTAAAATAGGAAAATTCATAGGTTTTTGCATTTTGTCCACAAAAGTGAGATACTGCTGTTTTTTTGGTCAAAAGTGACAAAAATAAGCGATAAAAATAAACAACAATGAGTAGTCGAAACAACAATTCTACGTTTATGAAACGATCAGGATCTGCTCAAGCATTGAAAGAAAACCAATATATTTCGGATGTTCTTCGAGACCAAGTTACAACAAATTGTCCAAATATTACTCACTTTCAAGATGTTAATGTATCAGTGATCACTTGGAATGTCGCATCTGTTAAGCCTCATCCAATGGTTATTGAAGAAATTCGTCAATCATTCAAATGTGGAGATAAACCAGCTGACGTTATTTTCATTGCTCTTCAAGAGATTGATATGGGTATTGTGTCTATTATGGTCGGATCTACAGAAGTTTCCAATAAATGGAGTAAAATTATTGGTGAAGCTGTCAGCCAAGAACAAGGACGCTACATGGTTATCTCAGAACGTACTTTAGGTGGTGTATATGCTGCAGTAATTGTCAGAATTGAAGCTAAACCTAAATTAGACGTTCACCACGTAAAAACAATCAGATTAGGCGTTTATGGTATGGCTGCCAACAAAGGAGCAGCTATATTTTACTGCACAATGTCATGCGCAAGATTTGTTGTTATAGCTTGCCATTTATCACCACATACAGAAAATCTTCAACAACGAAATGAACAAGTCAGACAACTTTTGAAGACAGTTCAAGGAGCTTATGACTACTTAATTTTCGTTGGCGACTTGAATTATCGTATCACTCTTAGCTATGAAGAAACATGCAAACTTATCGAACAAGGAAACATCGAAAGACTACTTGAATTCGATCAACTTCGCAATTCAATGAAATCAGACCGTCTTATCGGCGCTTTGAAGGAACCTCCTCTTGTATTTGTTCCGACATACAAATTTGATAAGAATTGCGACGTTTACGATACATCTTCCAAGCACAGAGTGCCAAGTTGGACAGATAGAATTCTTATTAAGCGAGGTCCAAGAAGATTAGCAGTTGATAAGTCGAAAGAAAAGAACTTCCCTAAAATGCCAAAAATTATTGCATTCAGAAAAGGCGTTTGCATGTTTTCCGACCACAGATCTGTTACTGCATCATACATCTTTAAAGTCCCAGTGATAGATTACGCAAAGGTCGAAAAGATAAAGAACGGAGTCATCGAAGAATTCGAGGAAAAGAAGGCAGAGTCATCAGCCGGCGGTTTTGTAAAGTTGGAGGAAGTTCCCTCTTCCTCAATGGCGAAATCGGAAGATACATTCGATCCATTTGCAGATATTGATGCACCTCCGATGATTCCAGCAACACCAGTGAAGGTATCCAACCCAGGTACATCAGAGGTGGACTTCTTCGGCTTCAACACTGCTCCACAAGCCCAAACAAAGCCAATTTTCGACCCATTTGGTTTCAATTCTGCCCCACAAAATACGACACCATCACAAGCTGATGACGACAAACCTCTTATCATATTTGACTTCATTGACGCCCCACCTGCTCAAGAAAAGAAAGAAGACCAGCAACAACAAGCTCCTGCGCAGCCAAAGAAAGATGATCTTTTGAATTTGTTCTAAAATATTTTATTGTTTATTTCCTACTAAAATTGATATATATAATTAATGTGCTTCTTTTTTCTTCAATTCAAAGAGCAAGAAAAACTAGAAATCTAAATTCAATATTAAATAAGAAAAAATATGTATAGGCAATTGCATGGTTATAAAGTCTGGGTCTGGGTTTCTTACAAATGTTTTGCTTGAGCAGTCAACTTCGAAGTTATGTAGTGCAACAATGATCTCTTCTTTAGAAAATTATTAACGGTATTCTATAAAATATGTCAGCACAACTCTCAGTCAGTGTATCAGGACAGATACGTTCTTGCACAGTAAAGAACTCTTCTGACTTATTCTGCAAGTTTGCCTTTCAAGCTGGCCACGAATGGACTATTATTTCGGGAATTGATGATGGTGTTACACAAGGAGCACGTGCAAATCTAGATAACGTCGCAATATGGAATTACCCAATCGATATTATATTTCAAGCGCCAAGACCTTCTGGCTGGCCTCAGTTAATTGTTGCAGTATATGGTGAAAATACATTTGGTAATGAAACAGTCATAGGATATGGTGCAGCCTATGTTCCTATGCAACCAGGTGTTCATGATGTTAACATACCTTTATTCACACGCGTACCTTCAACATTCACACAAAAATTCGCTTCATGGTTCACAGGTTCAATGCCAGAAACCATTCAATTTAATTTAATAGCTGGTGGAGATTCCAGAGAAATTATTAAAACAGAATCAAACGGTTTTATTTCTGTTCAATTCAATACAATCTTAACCGGATTAAATAAACTCGATCTGATTGTCAAATCGTAATAATATATGCAACTTGCAGATTGATTGTGATTGATTTGACACTTACACAAGATTTACAATTATCACAAACTTAATCGCAAAATAATTTCATTACGAGGAGTGCCCTCCCAAAAATAAGTTTATTGTTAGTCGTTTAAAGCATGTTCTGAATAAAAATTTAATATTAATATGAAACTCCTATAATTACTGCTATCAATTGAATGATATGTGTGTATATTTGTAGCCATAGTGTGTTACATACCTTGCATTTCATGCATATAAAATTAAATAGTATTTCTTTCAAAAATATAAAGAATAAGCTTATACAATATGTAAACTTTATAAATCTATGTAGGTTTTAATAATATCTACAACTTATGGAGGTTCGCCTATACTTTGAGAAAATTCATTTTTTTATTCATGATTAATACTGAAACATTAAGGTAAATAGCCACAATATTGGCCATTGCAATTTGGTTATTCATATAAATATTGTTTTTTTAATCAATATTTTTTGAAATAAAAAAATTGATAAAAATATCCTTTGAATTATACATACAAAACTCTGATTTTATATCTATTTATAACAAAAACACAAACTATATATCAAAATTAAAAAAGGAAATTAGACGATAGACTTAAAGTTAAAAATACCAAGAGGATCTTCCGAATATGATGCAGCATCTCTAACCTTTGCATTTTCAACGAATTTTCCAACATCAAGTTCATCAATTTTATCACAAACAGTTTTGAACGTAATAAATGCAAATATGAACTGTTGTGGAAGCATAAGACCATTAATGTAAGGTTCAAACACCTTTAATAATGGTGCAATGTCAGGAGGTTCTGCATTTAGCATCAAAATCATCAAAATGTCAATTAAATCATCTGTGCATAATGCGTGGTCGCTCAAAGCCACAATTTGGCCGGTATTTTTCACTTTTTCTGTAATTGAAATTGTGGATGCGATTTCTTCCATTCTTTGAACGGCACTGTACGCATAGTAGCAGAAATCAATTGGACAATATTGATAAGGTAATAATTTGAGGATGGAAATGACTGTTTCGTACTCATTTGACTTCGGAAAATTCTCAATCGGAAGATTGACTAATTTTGGAGGTAAAAATGTGGTCTTGATTCCGAAATAATCGGGTGGATACTTTCGCAATAAAGAATAACGACCAATTCCTCTGATTGCGTTCATTAGTTTTTCTGAAAAATAATTTTCGTAAATTTCACTGAAAACAACTCTGGAAAGGAGCAAAAACAATATCGGTTTGAATTGTTTGGCCTTGTTCTCAATTTGATTGGCAAAAACTTCTGCAAGCTTGAAAATATTTTGACCTGAAGTTTCTGGCTTTTCTAATGCTTGATTGCAGACCGTTCCGAGTGCCTTTTTTGTTCCTTCAATTGGATCTGTATCCAAATAGCTGCAAAAGATATTTTCGATATATCCGGAATCTTTGAAATAATTTAGATCTGTATCAAATATATCTAATGCTTTTTGTAAGATAGTATTCTCAACTGTAGTGAGAGTTACTGATTTTGATCTCCTAATTCCTTTCAATGAAGATTTCATTTTTTCTATGCTCTTTTTTAATTCAACTGCACCGGCTTCCGTTTCAAAACTCGATAAATAGTTCTTTACCATGTCTTTATTGATTGTAACTTTGAAATAAAATTTTTGTTCACGAACAACGTCACAAAAATGCTTTATTAATGCAAGAAGAGCCATCATGTCATTCAAATATTGTGCTTTCTTGTTTAAGTAATCGATTTTAGTTGCCCTTTTACAAAATTTAAGCATAAGATAATTATCTGTGAATTTGTATGGATATTCTGCTGGGCATTGAATTTTGGCTCTAATTTTCCCTTTCTTGATACCAATTTCTATTTGATCTTCTTCAATTCCTTCCAAAAATTTATCTACCGATTTGCTGACTTTCTGTAAAGCTGATTCAACTCGCGATTGAACTCGATAACCGTTCTTGCTAATGTGATCTACAGTGATAATTGAGAAGATCTTCTGATCTTGTTGATGTAAAAAATCGACTTCTGTCTCTGAAAACGTACCCATGATCTTTTTCCATTGCTCAGCGATAATCCTAGTAACCTCTGCTTGGAAATTACTGATCATAACTGTTGTTCTAAGTCAATAAAAAAATTTATTTACTGTTTACAAAAATTGATTGGTCTATAATTTCTGAAAGAATGACGCACAATAATAAAGATGATCCGAATGACTCAATTTTTCTCTCTGGTTCTCAAATTTTTTTTTCTCACAAATAAATCATTTTGAGAGGATCGATACTTTGTAAAGTTATTCTTTTACAAATCTTATATGATAAAATCTTCAGGATTCATATACAATTCGTATTTCAGATCTATACATGGCACGATGGGCGCTACTTTTTTGGCGCCAGCGGCGCCGCCCGCGCCTCCGGTGGCTCCCACTGGTGGGGAGGAGACGATAGAAAAAGATATAAATTTTACTAAAAAAATTGAATTTTGGAAATTCTTTTGATTTTTTTGAATGATTTACGAAGAGATTGAACACATTTTGTACTATGAAATATCGTTATTAATAAATTTACTTCTTAAACATCTATTAAAATCGCAATTTTGAATATTTTTATGATTTTTTTGACCCGATCACTTGCGCCCGCGCCCACTGGGAGGGGCGCTTGTAAAGTATTCAAAAATCAATGTCAACATTTCAATTTTTGCTCCCACCTCCCATTGGGAGGGGGGCATATATCTTGTAGCGTTCAAGTTCAAGTGATGAAAGTGCATAAGAAAGCTCCTTAATCATACCGATAGAAACAGCATTAGGGGCGCCAAATGGCGCTCGGTGATGTTTCCCATAAAAGCTTAATTTCAGGTATCCATAATCATAACCTGTCAGACGCAATAATTCATTAGCACACAATCATCGTTTCTCAATCAAGAAACGAAACGCACGATTGATTATGCTGGCCATTAAATTTTCATATCAAATAATTTACTACTTCAAGAAAAATTAAAGACTATCATCAACCAAAGCTTAAAATTCTCGGTGTTTACAACTCTCATACTTCGAATATGCATATTTCCAAAATAGCATGAAAATTTTTTTCATTTGAGCTCATTTTCTTTTGTTCTATTAACTAATACATGCAGTACAAGCTTGTTATACGTATACTTAATAAGTAAGGTCTTAAGGGAAATAATAAAAAAGAATTTTGCTATTAATTATATTAAACAATATTTATTTGTAATTTCGTGATAATTATATTTCTTATTACAAAGTAAAGGTATTTGATATAATGTTTGCCTTACAAAAATGTTTCCTTTGTCTTGCCACCATAGGTATTCTATTTTGTCACTTTTTGCGCCCGCCGTGCCATGTATATTCAGATCTCTATTCCTTAGAATTTTTGATTTCCCGCCATAAAATTCCATTATTGTCAATCCGTTTTACGGTCTGTCTGATCATGCAATATGAAAACATGCATGACTACAAGCAATTGAATTAAACTACACAGAACTGGCTCTTAATATATATTATTGCTAACTGTTCCGTACCGAAATGCATCACTAGAAAAGTGACAAAAAAGTGGCACTTACTCTTATTTTGTGCGGCAATTTTTCTAAGTTATTTTGTTAAGCTAAATGTGTTATATATCAAATCAGCTTTATAAATATTATAGAAAAGTTTATTTTTATTTTTAATTATTATTATTTTTTAAATTAAAAGAAAACATTAGAATTATATGGATATATTTAAATTAATTATAAAAATAAAATTGAATATATTGAAGTTTGAGTTTATAGGTATACAAATTTTAGAGGCATTTTGGCTGAGAACTATGGTCTGCGAGGTACATAGATAGAATCAGTACCTCGCAGACTATAGTTCTCTATATGGCGCCGAAAAATTTTTGGTGAAATGTCGTCGCATTTCACCAAAAATTTTTCGGCGCCATAGGAAGAATTGGAGGGTGTGAGATACTATTACATGCTATAGTACTCACACCCTCCAATTCTTAGCCAAAACGGCTAAAAATTGCTCACATTTCAACAATTGTGAGCAATTTTCAGCCATTTTGGCTGAGAACTATGGTCTGCGAGGTACATGGATAGAATCAGTACCTCGCAGACTATAGTTCTCTATATGGCGCCCAAAAAAAATTTATGATTGTTTTTTATCAAATCTTATCCATATTATTCTATTAATGTTAATTATATTTTATCAATTATATTTTTTAAATAATAAACACAAAATCCACTAATTTAAAATTGGCGCCAAATGTCACTTTTGCTAGTGATGCATTTCGGTATGATATAAAATTTTGGAAAAACAAAAAAAATTTTACAAGAAAATTCTGTTCAACTTCCGGCACAGTAATCCAAAAGATAAAAGTTTCCGGAAATAATAAAAGAAACAAGATTATCAATTTAAATTTATCATTAGCCCATCATATGAGAAATTGATAGAGTTTATTCAAAATATTGTGTGATAGGTTTACATTTTTGTCAAATGATCTCCCACTTTCCAGCATCATGAAATAATGATATATTTTGCTGTATTTAAATGAGAAATAAACAGTAAACAAGCAAATTTGGTATATGATGCATATGAACACCTATTATTATTATTAAAATTTGCTCATAAAACTTCGAAAAATAATATTACACTTTGAATTAACTTTGTTTCACTGCTAAAATACATTAGTCATTGGAAATAATAACCATATTAAATTGATTCATATCATACATTTGATTTTAAGTAAATAAATTAAAGCGATTTTTGAAAAAAAAGCTTAATTTATTTAATATAATCACTTTAATAAACGATGATTAATGTTATTGTATGTGAGTATAAGTATGTATTTGTCAATGCTCTTGATTATAATTCATAATAACAGAACTTTTTTTTCGATCTTTGTGTTTTATCACTGATAAAAGAACATATATTATAGACATACAATATAATGTTTCTGTTATATGAGTTCTATTCATTCTGAGAAGCTATTTATCGTGTGTTCTCCATCTGTACATAATATAAATACTTTGAAAGAGTTGCTGACATTTGACATGATATGATATAATATGATATGATAGAGAAAAATAAGGATTAGATTTAAAATAAAATAACAAACAAAATTTAATCTATATATAATCAAAACAAAATATATGAATCCATGAAGCTTAGAAGATTGAGTAGCTTCCTCTGATGAGAGTGAATATTGTGAGGACTAAGAACAAAATGACGAATATTGTTGTTAAGTAGATGTACTGGTTTGAAGATGAGACGGCGACAACTGATTTCTTTGTCTTCTTAGAGTGTGTATCGAAGCACTCTTTGTCGAATATCTCGTTGAAGTCGTAGTAGTTCTTCTCTTCGTGGCTGTGGTGTGGATACCATACTTGAGCGAAGAACTTGTTATTCTCTGCGATTCTTTGGGATGAAGCAGTGTGGGCACCAGTGTCCTCCACGGAGGATGAGGTTTGGAGATGCTTCGAACTCCTTGCCGCAGTGGCCGCACTTCCAGACGAGCTTGTCTGTCATCTTGCCGACTGTTGTTGAGACGAGCTCGCCACCACGGAATTCGGCAGCCTTCTTGAGGTCTTCGACTGTGAGTGATTCGAATGGCTTCGTTTCGTCGTAGCCGTGATCCAACTTGCACTTCTCGGATGCAGAGACGTGAGTATCGTAGTGCTTGATTGCGTACTCTGACCAGTTGTCTGGCAACTTCTCGAAGGATTCCTTTCCTCCGTAGAATGAGTCGAGGCGTGTTTTGTCGTTGTTTTTGACCCAGCCGAGTGTTCCGAAGTCTTTGTCACATGCGATCATCTTCATGAAAGGCTTCGCGAGGAATGCGACGTTCTTGACAACTTTGGCACTCTTCATAACTCTGAACTCGAGAGGTGCGTTGTTGCACATGCGCTCGAAGTACTCTTCTGTTGGGAGGTTCTCTCTGAACTTGAGATAGTTCTCGAGGACATCGCTGTCTGCGTAGTAGTGTCCGTGGAAGTTCTGTGTTGCGAACCAGTTTGGCTGGAAGAGATCCTTTGGAGAGCCGAGTCCGCATGTTCTCAAGAGGAGATCTTCGAATTCGAAGTTTGTCAATCTGTAGAATTTGCCACTGCCGATGTTGTAGAATCTGTTCCAGAACTCGTCTGGGAGGTTGAAGTCGACGAAGTTCTTCATCAATCTGCCGCTGTCTTCAACTGTGCACCACTCGAGGACGCCGTTCAGTGGAACGTGGAACATGATTGGCTTCATGTTGTTGAGGAGTCCTGGGTAAAGGATTCCGCTCTGTCTGAAGACTGCCCAGTGCTTGATTCCGCTCTCTGCAAAAACTCTCTCGGCGAGAACTTTTGAGACGCCGTAGTGGTCGTAGACAGAGACTTGGATTGGGTCACCTGTTCTTCCCCAGTGGATTGGATAGTTGCGATCGCCTGTCTCGGCGACACTGCCGATGTAGACAACTTTGACTGTATCTTCGAGTTTGTTTTCGTGAATTGCTTTGACAATGTTCTCTGCACCATCGACGTTGACTGCGTATGTGAGGACTGGCTTGTTATCTGCAACTGGGCTGACGAGACCGCCGATGTGAAGAACATAATCTGCGTTTTGGATGAACTTTGAAACATCATCGTAATTTCTGAGATCACCATAGCAAACATCGATCTTGTCACTTCCGTACTTTGAAACTAATGATGTTGCGATCTTTCTGTCTTTTTCGCTGTCGACGACAAAGATCTTGATCTTCAAGTCTTCGAGTGTGGAGAGTTGCTTGACTGTCTCACTCCCCATGACTCCTGTAGCTCCTGTAACACACACTTGTTTTACCATCTTTCTTGAATAATGATTTAATTTCGAATAATTTTATTATAACTCTGAAAGCTCTCAATTTCGAATTTTTCAATACTTTTCATAAATTTTGCCTCTCAAATTGATGCAGCCTTTTCAGAGGTGATCCAAAAATATAAATGGAACATCTAATAAGATAATTTGGATGTTTTAATGAAGATATGACAATAAATTTTTAGAAAAAATTCAATTCAGCAAAAATAACAGTAATCCAAAATTGGGAACATCATTAACAATATAAACTAAGCGACATTAAAGCAAAAGACTTTATACGGCCCTCATAATCCAATTTGATTCAACAAATTGAATATTTTGAGGATACACATAATTTTGTCAAATGAACTCCCACTTTGCTTCTGCCCCAAAAAATTACTTTAGATGGCTAAAAACATGTTATTGTATGGTATCACATATATTTATATAGTATTGATCATAATAATACTATTTATTTTTATAAGATATGAGTTCGTATAATTTTTTTTAGTGATACAGTATCACCATCATTCGTTTGTTTGGATAAACTGGAGCTTATTAGCATATTGCACCATACCTTTTTGTCTGATATATCATTCATGCAATATTTCAAACAAAAATTTCTAAAATCAGTCACATATTCATGAAATGTTATATCGTATAATGCTAAATTTAATGAATCTTTTATAAATATAACCATATCTAATGGCATTTCTCTAAAATTAAATATGAAATGAAAAACAAAGTTAAAAATTGAAGTTTAATCAATACTGAGATAAACTGGACGTGAATTTTAACACGTTTTCAGTTCTTTTCCATTTTCATATATATTCAAAAGAAAAATAAATATAAAATGCAGTGTTTTGTAACAAATAATCTGTGGATATCTCTGCGATTAATAATTCATCTAGGATTTCCGATGAAACATATATTCATAGTGTATATTGTACGTGGAACAAGATCAGATACAATATATCTTTAAAATTGCTCTTTGATAATGCTAGAAGAGTTGAATACTTTTTGAGTTAATCGTATGTCTGAAAAGAATTCAGTTTTTGTGCGTAAATTAATTTGGCTCATTTGAATCTTCATCTTCAAGGTCTGTGGAATCATAATCGTGTATTAAATCATCTAATTCTAATAGCTTTATTGCTAACTTTTTCATAAATTGTTCTTCATTGAAATTTGATTTATTTTGTTTTACGAAATTAGAACAATTTTCCGCTGAAAATCTGCTCATTCGGTTGTTTATGTTCCTAAAATAGCTATCTATTAGTTGGTCATATGTATATCTATTACTCATACCCAAGTAACAAATATATTATTGTAAACTTCTCAATTTTTATCCCTGCAATTAAATTTTCTCCCCCAAATTAGTAAAAATTTTGAAGATGGTAGAGTTCTTTGCAGATAAATACAAATTTAAGATGTGCTATTTTGAAAACATTGGAGATCCTCAAACAATTAATGATTATATCAAAGCTAATCAACCCCCAGTTGCTTTAATTGATGCAAGAACAATTATTTCCTTAGCACACGTTCAAGTAGCAATTTTAAATATGAGAACAATACAGGAAAGAGATCAAACTCAATCAAAATCAATTTATCTTGAAATCCTTCGTTGTTTATCCCCTGATGGCCGTCTTAATGGCGCTTTAAAGTTCTGTGCAATACAAAAAGATACAACAGCTGTCATTGCAATTACTTTTGAAGATGAATTTCCTAGTATTCCAGGATTATCAGATCCAAAAACATTTGATCAATTTTTGGCAAATCCAAAGACCGACTTTGATAAAATTAAGAAGGCTTTCAAGCTTTCAGATGCAATGCTTGCAACATATAGTCATGAGCAGCTTGTTATTACTACACTTTCTGTTTTGGCATCAAGATTACATCGTGTTAAGCAGATTTAATGAATAAAGAATTGTTTTTAAATGAATTACCTACTTTTAATAAAAAGATTAAAAACAAAAATTAAATTTCTGATTGTAGAGCTGGCAAGAGCATTCTTTCCAAACTCACAATAATTTAACATAGAAAATGTCATACATTTATTCAATAAAAATCGTAAATTAAAAAAAAAAATTATCTTTTCTGACTTGAGCAAATCAGAAATAATTAAAGACAAAGTAAAGAAATTTTATTTAACAAACACTTTTGAATAGTATGGTCCTATTGAATAGCTCGTATTTGTTTTTCTACAAAGTGATAGCTGTTTTCGTTGTATTTATTTTTTGCTATGTGAGAACTTTCTTCATTTTGATGCCCTCAAGATTTAAAATGTTGGATTTTTAATTGCAGTCTTGCCTGTGGAAATAGAAGCGCTGATTTTGCGTCCATACATCTTGAAGCCATCCATCATGTCTACAGCTTTTCTTGCTTCGCTTTCTCTTTTGAATGTTAAGAAAGCGTATCCCTTTGGTTCGTGTCTTTCATTAATCATCATTCGACAATGTGTTAGTTCTCCGTAAGGTTTGAATGCTGTATACAAGTCATCAATGTTGACACGAAAGTGCAGATTCATAACAACGATGGTTGACATCTTTTTCTCAGTAAGTTGTCAAAATTATGAAATGTGGGGTCGTTCAGAAAAAGGAAGGGGTGATATACGATAAAAGTGATAAAATAAAAAATGGATAAAGAAAGACCGTTTATTGCCTTAAATCACGCACTAATGTGCAATGCGGTATTATGCATATATAGTGCTCGTAATCCCTCTCAAATTTCTGATATTATGGATGATAAACAAGAATGGATTCATATAAAGCTGCCTAAAGTTCAATCCATTATTAGAAAAGTATCTTCGAAGCATTCTCATGGATGGATAAGAATAGATGTTATACTAGATAACCCAAACGAAGTAATAGAAAGATGGTATATAATTAATACACCATCACCAGCAAAATCAAGTCCTTCTGCAACAGATGAGAGCAAAATTTTGATATATCATAAAATTCAAACTCTTCTTCGATCTTTATATTCGATTTTAAATCTTTTGCCCGCAAAAACTCTAGATCTTACGCTTTCAAGGTTTACCAAGCGCCCTCGTAATATTTCTCTTTCATTGACGCCTCTATCTGACTTTCCTGTCGACGAACCTCCGATTGAATGTCCATTAACTTACAACTTTCCAGAAATACAAACTCCATACGGATCCTTACTCATAAGATGTGTTTATATGAGTAAAGTTGATTTACTTATTCCAAATCTTAAGAAACCTTTATCTGCTTCAGGAAGCTATTCCTCGCAAATAATCTCGCCAAGGATCGTTCCTGAAAAGTCAAAAGACTTCTTAAGCGATAGCTGCGCCCATTTGGATTCAATTGAAAAAAGTATCTCGAAATCAAGAGAGGATTTAGCACAAAGCTTCAATCAGACGCCAGTTGACATATCAGAATTCGCAAAAATCGTAGAAAGTACTAATTTCGATGACAAAACTGATGATGTCCAAGAAATCCAAGAGAGATACAAATTTATCAAAGTGGAAGTTGACTCCATTTTATCAGAATGGAGTGTTTCTGGTTAAGTACGATCTTTAATATTGTTTGTTTATAAAATTTTATTATATTAATTTGGAACTTTTTGATAAGCATGGCATAATTTTATACATTAGAATCAAAGTTAAAAGTTACCGTTTTATGGAATTCGAAATACCTAGAAATGGTGACGATTATTCAAATTTATACTTAAATTATATAGAATCAAAATCCATAGATCATCCTGAAGTAATTTATGCCATCAACAATTCGAGTTTGAATCTTTTTATTTCCAAAAAAATTTCAAAAATTAAATTCCCATATGAAAATTGTGTAAATTTTTAATCATTTTTCGATTTTTATGATTTTTTTGGAAAAATTCTCAAAAAATTAAGGTGCATTAATGCATAATTTTAGTTTCTATATCGATTTAGTTTATAGATTTTTATAATATTTCAAAATATTTAATAAAATAATTTAATACAACGAAATTTGAAACAATCTACTATTTATATATAATTTTTATTAATATTTAAGAGGTACTACAACAAATAGTATTCACAATTCAAAACAATTTTAAAATTTATTCAAAATAATTGCAAAATTTATGTAGACAAAGATAAGGTATATATATACTTTTATTTCAAAACAAACTTTCCAATAATATCTATGAAAGATATTCTCAAACCAAAAATAGAAATGTAATGCGATTGTTGACTGCAAAAAATTTCTATTGATGATGTATCATAATCCGTGCACGTAGAGATTTTAAGCGGTAAACCTTTATCTTTCTTCTTGGCGGGAGTTCTAATGTCCATTTTCTGATTTCTCAGGTTTGCATGGATATCTCGACCATCCATGGTATGAATGTCAAAAGTAATACCTACTTTTAACGATTTCTTGTAAGGTTCAATATCTTCACTTGCATATGCGGAATGAGCGAAGTAATATTCTTCATTATCGACAAACATGTTTTGTACTGACATGTGAGGACATAAAGGAGGTGACGTATCGGCTGAAAGTTGTACAAAATTGTAAGTCAACGGATTAAATGGTTTAACAGTGTTCCAAAGTGTTCCTATCGACTTCAGAATGTTGCATTCACTAACTTCTGTCTCGCCTTTGCTGGAAACAATGAGCTGTAATAGACTTAATACGCCAAGAAAATGATGCGAGTTAGATTTCAGGTTAGAAACTTGATTTTCAATGGAAGGAATTGAATTCCTACGCATATTAAGTATTTTATCGAACATTCTTCGGGAGATTGAAGATGTGACCCAATCGCACTGATGATAAACGAAGTATTGGTATGATTCTGGGTCAGACCAGTCTATCACCTTTGAAAGACACTCTTTGTCAAGGTCGGAGAGTTGTTTTCCTTCAACAAATTTATCTATAAATTCAATAATGAAATCATTTATAGATGGGTACTGGGAAATATCATTAATAGTTTCGTAGTTCAAGTTTTTCATAATATCAGCTACTAAAAATGTCGGAATTTTGTCCATAATTTTTTGACGTGGATAATTCGTAAATTTCTTAGCAATTATGGAAGCAAATAAACCACTGTTTTGTATTAATTGCAGATAGTTCTGATATAAGGCCGGATATTTTTGAATGGTCTCATTGGATAAACTAAACTTGAATTTTTCTGTTATATCGAGCACATTTTCACCATCTAGTGCTTCTAAGAAATAATCAGTTGCAATTGCAACTAATTCTTCAATACCATAGAGATAACTCGTGATTAGTATGTCCGCAATGGTTTTGGGAGTGACTTTAATGGAGAAAGTATATATAAAATCAATAACATCTTTAAAAGACTCTTCGTTGAGGCAAAAAGGAATGTCGATGATAATATGATTTTCATCATTTGGCAATTTACTGAATAATTCCAGGAAAACATCTGAATATTTGGATAATATAACTCTATGGCATGAAATGATACCTTGTTTGACCTGGAACTGGCAATCTACGAATCTTCCTGTTTCTCTAAACTCATTAAATGCAGAATCTATACGAGACTTTGGAACTTTTACCAAAACTTGGCCATCTTCCCCAACTTGTTCGGTAAAATTATCATCATTATCTGTAAGACTCATTATCTCTTTTTTTTGATGCAAAAAAGTGACAAATTCTTCTTCCATTGATGAAAATCATTGGATTTTACTTAAGTATTGAATGAGTGTGTGCTACTTTCACAAAACCTTTTACATAACTTATATTCGAATTTTTTAGTGATTTCAAAAAATCAATTTTAATTTTTGGCTCTTTTTTTCGATGAGCAATGTTATATCCAATTTTTATGCATGTTCAATGAAATTTCCGCCTCTCGGTATAATAATTAGACCTGTCAAATATTTCATAACTTGAATTTGGTTCATTTTCCCGTAAATATCATGGCCTAGTTTTACGTCGATTTTTTCGAAATAATGTAGCTTATAATTATATATAATAAAGCACTGTTTATTAAAATATTTGGAAATATAACATTTATTGATAAAAGCAGACTCCTTTTAACAACAGCCCGTTTTCTTTTCTTGCTTCTCTTTGAGTGTAACTCCTTCTTGCTCTGTTTCGACAGATGAATCGATCATAAGTTTTGTGAGTTCGTAGAATGCCTCTTCGATATTGATTCCGTCTTTAGCAGATCCCATAAAACTCATTGTTTCATGCCTTTCAGCATAAGATATTGCTTCTTCTTCGGAAACACATTGGTTGTCTACTAAATCGCTCTTATTACCGAAAATGACGAAAGGAACTCCAAGAGTGTTAGATTGAATTAAATCAATCCAATCCTCGAGTTTGTTGAATGTTTCTCTTGATGTAAGATCATATACCAGGAAGATTCCTTTTGCGTTCCTGAAGTAGGAAACGGAGATACTTCTGTACGCCTCTTGACCAGCTGTATCCCATACTTGTAAGCGATATGTCTCATCGTTCACTTTAATTTCACGAGAAGAAAAATCTACGTTGATTGTGGAAGCAGTATTTTGCTCGTATTTTTGTGTAGTGAATCTCTTAATAATGGATGTCTTACCAACAGATGAATCACCACAGAAAACTATTTTATAAGATTTATCCATTGAAGTGAATGGTCTTTTCTGAAAATTTTCAAAAGATATCGTAGATTCACTTTTTTATGAAATGATCAGAGATTATTGAAATTTTTATATGCAAATCATTTTTGTTATTTATATGTTTTTTATTTGCCATTTTTTTATTTACGAAAATTATCTCAAAATGATAAATAACACCATCTTCAATTAGTAATACAAAAGTTATTTATAATTTAGCATTGAACTCCCAATTTAAGAGAAACGATTTTTTAATCTTTCCGAATTTGATGGTAAATCAGCCTAACATCCCTTATGATTGCACAGAACAGATAAGTTAAAAACTTTTATTTATCTTTTCAATCATTTCTTTATATTCGTTTACGTTCATATTCTTCAATATTCATTAAAGATGTTTTTAACTGTTCATAGCCAAAGTTTATATAATTCGATTTAGGTACATTCATGTTCTCATGTCGGTTTTCCTTTGGTAGCATATCATTTATAAAATAGCTATACCTTTGCATTAGACTATATTTATATTCGAGCCATTGAATCTAGTTTAAGATTTTAGGGCATTGATATTGAATTATTGGTTCAAAATAGAGAATCAATTCGATTTGATTAAATTATAGCATTTAAGTAAAAGACATAATAACGATTCAAGTATAATAAGTGAGTGAAAGAAAAAACGCAAAGATTCTATGCATAATTGCATTGAAATAAAATGAATGATTTAAATTTTGGAGTTAAAGAACACAAAGATTCATTGTATAAGGAGACACATCGATAAAAATAAAAAATATATTGATAGTTTCATACATTTATTAATATAAATATTACATTGGTTGACATCCATTTCCTGGAGCAGTTTCTTCATCACTGCTTTCCTGATAAGCTTCACGCCTATCATTTCTTTGTTGTCTGCGTTTTTCTGTAGTGTTAAATGCCTTCATTGATGATTGAAAAATTGAAGGTTTGAAAACATTTGGATCTTTTTCATCAACATCCGGCTGGTCAGGAGGCATGTACCTCTTCATTGCATCGAGAAGAGGAGGTGGTATATCGCTGACTTTAGGGAATTTGATAGAAAATTGGACAAATAAGTCACCTTTTTCTAAACCAGATGATGTCTTTGGCATACCTTCATTTTTGACAACAATAACATCGCCAAAGTTGGTTGATGCGTTCTGGCGCTCTATAACAAGTGTTCTACCGTCTAATGTTGGTATCGTAAATTTAAATCCTAATAATGCTTCGGTAAACGATAATCTCTTCTTGTATAATAAGTTTTCACCTTTCCTTTGGAACAAATCATGTCTCTGCTCATCAATTACTATATACAAATCGCCGGTTTCGCATCCAGGATAATCATCAGATTCTCCGGCCATCATTATGTATTCACCGTCTTGCATACCAGGGGTAATGTGTACAGTCAACTGCTTGTTCTCGCGAACAACTTTGTCGCCTTTGCAGTTAGGACAAACGTCGCTCTTTGCAATGTAAAGTCCAGTACCGTGGCAAACAGGACAATCACTGGAGGTTTGGAAGTAAGTATTTCCACGACGATAAGATTCAAGAACAACACCAGATCCGTGGCATTTATTGCATTTTTGTGGTGGGTTTCCATCTTTTGTTCCATTTCCGTGGCATTTCGAGCAGATTTTATTCCTTTGTATGTGTACTTTCTTGTCTGTGCCGTTATAAAGCTCTTCAAGAGTACATTGTACGTGCTGTTCTGTATCGCGAGTTCTTTGCGGTCTGGATGATCGTCTGCTGCCATATGTTCTTCCAAAACCACCACCAAATCCGAAAAGATGTGAGAAAATGTCATCATCCATATCATCTTCTTGTCCATTATGCAAGGAGTCAGGTCCGTAGTTATCATAGTTAGCACGTTTCTCAGGGTCCTTTAAAATTTCGTATGCTTCGTTCACTGCTTGAAATTTTTCTGTTGCTTGAGGGTCATCACGATTTTTATCGGGATGAAGCTCTTTTGCTTTGATCATAAAGGCTTTCTTGATCTCCCTATCAGTAGCTGTTGGAGAAACACCAAGCAGATCGTATAGTTTGGTGTCGACAACCATTGTGATAAAAAAGTGTCTTAATAAATGGCCGAACACTTACAAATTAAATTTATTTTGAATTGAAATAAAATCTTCTGAACAATATACTGAGATATAACTCTACACTTTATAGAAATGAAGAAATACCAACCAATTTCATTAAATTGCTTGAGTGTTACTTAGATGAATGAGGATAAAGCATTTATAGATATTTTCCTTTAATAATGTCTGATCATATGCGAATCTCAGAAACTATATGAGTTTTCTTAGCAAAATATTCGGAGATATGTCCCGAAAGGAAAATTGATAAAAAAGGGAGAGTAATAAAAGTGACATAAATTAACAAATCATTTTAAATTTAATTACTGTCTTTCTTAAATAATAGTGTACCTAGATTAGAGAAGAAAGCTTATTATATTAAACCATATTGGTATAAAGTTGATCATGGCTCAAAATGGCTATTATTAAGCCATCATAATTCAACAAATTTCAATTTTTTCTCGAGAGCTAGCTCCTGCTATTCTACAAGTGATTTTTCTAAATATTCAATTGTGAGTGAATTTGACTATAATTCTATTTTAAGTCGACAAAGATATATTAAATTACTTTTAGAATATGATCAAATCCCATCATATCAAATTTGGAAACAAAACATTTCATTACTTTCTAATGATCCATCTTATTATCAGTTTATTAAAGGCCAGGATTGGTATCATTTTCATGGATTGATGTATTCAGGCAACAGCGGTTGCCTTGATTATGATGGGAATCAATCTACTTATTGGCATTATAGTATTGGAATAATTAGTAGTAATTATAAAGAGCATTTTCCAGGACCTATATTTAATAATGTTGCCTATTTTGTTTTATTTGTTGATTTGTGGATAGAAATATCATCATTTATTAATTCGTGTAACATTAATATATATAATCCCAGATATTTTTCAATTCATCTTTTTATTATAATTTTGCTAGAATAATAGTAAAGAGTTATCGTATAATAGATCTTTTTACACTCACATTCAGTTAATTCCAATACATTTCTATTATAATCTATAAAGTCAATCGTTTTTTGCTAAAAATTTATCCTTTTCCTATGTCAGAAAAGTGAGAAAAACAAAAAATCTCTGATATTGGGAATATTTAAAATGGAATTAATCATTCAAAAATAATTTCGCCGATTTGATTTTTTACATATCCTTACTGATATAAAGAGTCGAGAAATTGATAAAAAAGGGGAACAATAAAAAGTGACATAAATTAAAAAATCAATTTAATTACTGACTTTCTTAAATAATAGTGTACCTAGATTAGAGGATAAAGCTTATTATATCAAACCATATTGGTACAAAGTTGATCATGGCTCAACATGGCTATTATTAAGCCATCATAATTCAACTAATTTCAAATTTTTCACAAACAATAATTTCTGCTATTCTACCAGCGATACTTCTATATATTCGATAGTGAGTGAATTTGACTATGCTTCTATTTTAAGTCGACATAGATATATTAAATTACTTTTAGAATATGATCAAATCCCATCATATCAAATTTGGAAACAAAATATTTCATTAATGTCAAATGATCCCTTCGAATATAAATATATAAAGGGCCAGTTTTGGGATCAATTCCATGGTTTGATGTATTCTGGAACATCTGGTTGCCTAGATTACAACGGCAATTCATCAACAACATGGCACTATAGCATTGGAACATTTAATAAAGGTTATGATGAACATTTTCCAGGACCTATATTTGATCAGGTTATTTATTTTGTTAAATTTGTTGATTTTTGGATAGAAATATCATTCTTTCATTCATGTAATATTAATGTATATGATCCAAGATATTTTCAAAATCTTATTTTTATTGTTATTTTACTTGAATGATAAAGAATAATTAAGGAGGATGTTTTATTGTCGTCTGGAAAAAGTGACAAAATTATTATTGTCGTCTAAAAAGGTGACAAATTATTATTGTCGTCTGGAAAAGTGACAAAATTATCATTGTCGTCTAAAAAATAGATTTTTCAAGCATGTTTCGGTACCTAAATAAAGGAAGAACATCAATTCCATCTATGTATATAGTATGCAAACACGCATGATATATGGAGTAGCTCTTTATCTGGCTAAAAATCCTATTATTTGAAAATTCGCATTGTCGTCTAAAACCGCCGGACGACAATAATAATACCCCATAATTAAGTATACTAAAACTACTAAAATTTTAATATATCATTTTTTATAATAATTCTTAAGGGTGCACTTACGCCCATATGACAGGGCATTCAATTCAGATATTTAAGGTTAAATTTCAATGGCGCTTCACGCCAGTTGTCAAAATTTTGAATTAAAGTCAGATGGGGGTAAGTGCAGCCTTAATATTTAAAAAAATTTATTCTAAAATGAAAATACTATTAATCTAAATCATATATATGTGCTATATTTTCCTTTTTAGCAATTTTTGTTGGCATCATGAAAGTAAATTTCTTATGTATGAGATTAGATTCAATATTGCAGCAAAAATCTTATCATTTAATAAAATTCCAATATAACATATGTTCAATTTCAATAGGTGATTTATAAATGATAACATATGGAAGTCCAAAAATACATAGAAAGGTCGAATTTGATTCATTTATTCTTCAAATTCTGATTGAAGCGAAATGCATATTTTTAACTTGCATCTAAGTAGTTCGGCAGTTTTATATGGCATTATGTGGATTAAATTGAAACATGTATGAGCAAATGGAAGCGAGAACTGATTTTCATCTTGAAGGCTTGTTGATTTATCATCTAACTTCAAACAAAAGTCCTTTGTATCCTTTGGAGTTTCATTGCCAGTTATATATCCCATCAATTTAGAAAGCTCTTGTGAAGTAAATGTAGATATCGCTTGTACGAAAACAGGCCACACTCGGGCATTTCTTGATGGTGGATTGAAGTAGGCCAAGAATGAATTAATATCAAGCTCTTTCTTGGAGCCGCATGCTAATCTCTCAATGAATCGTCCTGAGAAGTTATGAACTTTGTCAAGAGGAATGACTTTCCAGAAGCCTGATCGCATGAAATTAACAATCTTTTTGAGATTGTTGAAATAGTTTTGATCATCGCAGTCAACAAAATGCGAAATATCAAGGTCTGTAACAAAACTCTCCCATATAAAACGTGGAAGATTCCACGCTTTGTGAGGATTTTGTGTTGCAATGGCACTAGCAATAAGAGATCCAATTGTGCTTGCAATTCTGACTGGCAAGTTTAGAGCAGGAACTAATCTATCCCTTTCGCAGTGAAGAGTTCTTGGCGGCTTGGTAAAATATTTGATATTGACATCCATCAGCTCGTTAACCATATGGAAATAAGAATCTCTGAACAAACCACCAACATCTTGACCAGTTGAGCCTTCATATTCTGTGTAATACATAAGTCTTTTTTCTTTAACTCTGAATGCAATGATTTTTGATGGAAAATGAGCTTCCTCTTTGGCAAGATAATCAATAATCTTGATGAGTTCAGGAGAATCATAGTCAATCCCATGAGAATGTGTCTTAGTAATATCAATCTTTAAATGTCCTATTTGTCCTGTTTCTGCCCAATCCCTGAAATCGTTCAGCCATCCAACTTTAATGTTTTTGTCATCGTTAAAATAATCATATAATGCTATTAGATCTGGATTGGTATAATCTATATCTTCGTTCATTATGGATTTGACAATAATTTTATAAAAAAAAAGTCGAACTCAAAAAATACGACTTTTGATTTCTGTTTTATACGACTATAATATGCAATAACAATTTTCGATATCGACATCACTATAATTCCAGTAACATTCAAATCATTCAAAACAATATTTGTGGTGAGCTGTCCTTAGATTTCTTTCACATTTTTATTGTAAATAAGACACAGTTAAGGCTTCACTAACATGACAAAAAATATTCAAAATTTTAAAAAAGATGAAAAATATGCTCTACAATATATATCAATACTAGTCTATCATTCTCAGAAAAAGTACGTTATAACTCATGTTAGTGGAAGAAGGCTTTTTTTGGGTGGGTCAATAAAAATTAAAAATAATGAAAAATATAGCATTGATATACATCATAGAATATATATCTCAAGGGACTTTAATTTTTGTCATGTTAGTGAAGCCTTTATATCGAAAAAAGCTTCTTTATATTTTTGACAAATATCTTGCATAAATATGGATGTGCAATAAGAATAAAAAGATTAAGTCATTGGTTATTAAGTGTTAACCAAAATGAATTTTCTATAATTTGTAAATTCTATATAACGTGGGTGATTTTTCACCCAGCCGTAAGGGGCTCAACTTTTGAGAGTTTTACATGGCATTTGCCGGCAAATGCCATGTAATTTATTCTCAATTATTTCCCAGGGGTTGCCGGTGCATTTACCCTAAAATATTTGAGACAACTTTACATAACATTTGCCGGCAAATGCCATGTAAAACTCTCAAAAGTGTGATCCTTATGGCTGGGTGAAAAATCACCCACGTTAAACATTTATTAATAACAAACAAAAATAATAAAAATTATTTCCCAGATTTCCCTGTTTTATTGGATTTTCCAGACTTATTAGATTTATTTGATCTTTTTGTTTCAATTTTTTCTTTTTTGCTTTCTTCTCCGATTTGATCAACAAGGAAGAATGGAGAATTCTCCTTAACCATATATTCTTCAGGAACTTCATAAGTTTGGAGTTTTTCTGGGTCTTTCAACACATCATACATTTCTTGCGTCAATTTTCCGATTTTTTCTAATTCCTCTTTGATTTTTTCTATCTCTTGACGTTCAGCATCATTCTCTTTTATGTTAGCGTTGTCTTTTTCTTGAAGATTTTCTTCTAATTTCACATTTTCAGCGGCTAACATTTCTGTTTTCAGCAAAGTATCCTTATATTGTACTTGGTAACCTATTTTTGCCTTCTCCCAGTCGCTGTTCATTGTCTCCATTCCCTTCTGATCTTCGACAATTAACTCATGAGTAGCGTTAATTGACTTATTCAGTTGATTGATCTTATTTTCGAAGTCAGAATTCGTTTTGAATGTTGTTTGGTCGAGTTCAAAGTTCTTTTCTTCAAGTTCTGACTTTGCATCTTTTAATGTTTTGAGTTTTGCTTCAGCTTCAGGCATTTTAGTACGCTGAATGGAAAGCTGGATCAATTGTTGCTTGAGAGGAGCATATTTTACATCACGTTTCCTTCTGATGTTTCGATTACATAAATCTTGGATTGCAGAGATTACAAAGTGGTCAACTTGAGATGAAGACAAATTAATATTAGTCAAAGTATTATTCTTTGATAGGCATTCAAGAATTTTATAACCGTATTCTTTGGTAATAAAATTATCTTGAAGATTTATGATAACTAACTCTTGATTTGTAGAAAGAGCTTGACAGACTTCAAGTGTTCCTTCATCTGATATATGGCATGATGCAATTGAAAGAGAAGTCAAAGAGATATTTTGAGAAATTGATTCTGCAACGGCATGAGCACCTGGATCTGTTATATGATTGGTTGATATATCTAAAATAGTCAAAATCTGATTGTTTGTAATCAAATTCTTTATCATTGGTGCACAAATTTGATTACAATTTGTATTTGATGCATAAAATTCAGTAATTGTGATAGAGTTCTCTACTGCTTCGAATATTTGACTCATTCCTTCATTGCCTATTGGATTATTATTAATGTTCAAAATAATAATATTCACTCCTTTATTAATTGAACTTGCAAGGAAGGCACCTGCTTTTCCATCCAAATTGCAATTACTTATGTCAAGAAATGTTAACGATTTCAGAAGATGAAGGTGATTCATAAAAGCAGAACCTGTAAATTCATCAAATGGACATTTTGATATGGCAAGATACTGAAGAGATGAATTTTTAAGGAATCCGTTTGTAACTAAATCAGCCATATCAACAGTATTAAAATCACATCCAGAGATATTTAAGGTTTTAATGATATCATCGTTTTCGAGGAAGTAAGCTAGGTTTCCTGCAATCGAATATCGCTTTGGTCCCTTTCTTGCACTTAGTTTTAGACCACTTAAGCCTAAACATTTAATTCTTTTTGCAATTCGAATTCTATTTAGTAATTCTGCTAAGAATTCAGGTGGAAACTTATTGGAGTAGAATACGACGTTGTGATTTCCTAATTGTAAACTATCAATACCGGTTTCTCTAACCATATCATACAAAAGTTGCTGAGATTGATGCGAAAGATTACACGATCCTAAATCTATAGCGGTAATGTTATGATTTGCTGTAAGATTTTGATATACTGTTAATAATCCGTGATCACATACGTTATTTCCGTAGAGATTTAAACAATGAAAATCCTTGAACTGGCGTAATAGTTTCGTAAGCTGGGTCAATAATGTCATTCCAGATTGCTGATTTTCTAAATTTAATATTCCATATTTGAAACCATTCTTAACTTGCTTGAAAAAAATCTCTTTTTCTTCATCAGTTGAAACTCCCATATTATCTTTAACTTTTGCTGAATAAAGATATCGAATAGCTTCTAGAAAATTAGGTGGAACTTTCTTCGACATTTTTTTTTGAAAAAAATTTCAAAAGAATTCAGTTGAGTTTAGAAAATGATCATGATGAATATGATAACAAAGACATGTTGATAAAACCATTCCTTATCCAATCGATTTTCAGCTGGTATAGTGACAATTACTCATAAACTCTAGAGTTTAAACTTATTTCATAATGAGTTATTAGTTCGCATTGAATCATTCTGCGACGTGAGTTAAACATATAAAAACAGTTTTAACTGGCACAACACGATTCTATAACATTAGTGAACTAGCTTCAATCTCCATTTTGACTGAGAAGAATTCCAGAATGATTTAATTTAAGAATCAATTTAAATAAACTTGTAATATTTATTCCGTAATTAGACAAAATACAAATAGAATAATATAAGATGTCAGATGTATAGATCATCAGTTTGATTGAAATTGAGATACGATGAACTTTGATTATTCTGGACATACATTTGATTCGAATCTGAAGAAATCGATTCGCTTGTGTTAGATTGATTCTGTTGATATTGGGAATCAATATTTAATGTAATCTGATTTGAATGAATATCTGTTGTTTCTGAATATGATGTGTTCTGATAATTTTGATAGTATAATGCATTTGAATTCGAATAACTTGGATCATTGCGTGCGATAGATTGCGAACAAATACTATCAAATATTGTTCGTGTGTTTTTGATAACTTTTGATGTGTTGATCGAAATGAATGAACAATCTTCTGATATAAGCAATTTCATAAATTCAAATGAGATATCAAAGTTATGAATATTTAATGCATCATTAGATTCTTTAATGAGATTAGAATGATAATCGAATAATCTTTTGTATATTTTCGATGAATCTTCATTACTTATATTATGAGTGTGAATCATGAATGGTAAAACAGAACAAAGACGAATTGCATTTTCAATATTCATCATTTGATCGAAATCATAATTGAAATCGTCATTCGTTGAAAAATCCCCAAACTCACATGAAAACTGATCTATTGCATTGAATGTTATATCATTTGAGTTAAGAATTGATATCTCATTCCTTGAAAATTTGATGACGTCATTTTCGTTACGATCAATCTTATTGATTTTAATCAATGCCGGATTAAAAGGTCTAAACAAGGTTTGATGAGCTGCTTTGAACTTTTGGGCTCCCATTGGATATCTCAATTGATATTTTGTCTTTTTCAGTATTTTTACGCAAACAATAAAAACTTCTTTAATTGCTTTTGTATAGGATGAAATGGGATATAATGGTAATTTATATTCGCGAATGAACTTAAAGAACTTATCATTGAATTCTGTGATTGTACTTCTATCCATTTTGCGCAGTATATCATCAATATAATTAACATTTTCATGGATAGGCAACCATGTATATTTCCATTTTTCATTGTTATCATTCTCAGGGTTAAAATCATAATCACACAATCTTGAACAAATCTTAATCATTGAATACGGATTAAAATCTTCTTTTCGAATGATTTTAATATTCTTGTTGTTTTCTAACACTAGAAAACAATAGTTTGTAACATTCGGATGATAAATGATATCATTATTGTAGCTAACACTGGTTTCAATATTAGGCTCATCATATGAAACATAAGCATAATTAAATAATCCAACAACAATAAACTTATATTCTGGTTTCTTAATGAATTGATTTGCAACAATTGGCTTGAAAATATTTTCATCAATATCATAATGAAGGCATGGAGTTGGATTCAATTCTTCATAATTCCATTTATACGTTGCAAATTCATTTTGTGTTTCTAAAACAATTGTTGCGTTAACGACTTCAAATTTAATTGTTTTCTCTTGATTAGCGTTACAGAACTTGAATTCAATCCATTCAATGCCTTCTGGTAATCTCTTGAATGAAACATTGATATCAAAAATATTTCCATTAATTTCAAGCTCGGAAGTTTCAATTAATTCACTTTTAGCTATTTCTACCTTCATATTTGATAAATTGAATCCTGGAACATAAAAATGTTGCTTTAAATCTAATAATCCTGAAAAGATTTTATCAGATTTTATGAATTCATTTTTTCCTGGATGAAAATAAAACATTTCAACATTCATTTCTGCATTGCTGAAAAAGAATTGAACTCCTGTGAAAAACTCTTTGTATTCCTGTTTAGATGTATGAATAACAATTCCGAAATTAATTGGAGTTGGAATACTCATGATAGATTTCGTTTTTTCGTCATTTTGTTCAATAGAAACATTGCCGTATATATCAATGAGATGAGGAATTGGATTGTAATTGCTATCGAATGCTTCAATGACGAATTTATCATACGGTGATATATCATTGATGATCGTTGTTGGCCTGTTCGTTGTTTGATCGACATAGAAATCGAATCCAGGAATCTCTATATAACATGTTGTATCAATTATATTGAAATCAAAAATGAAAGGGAATACAAAGTTGTTGATCGTTATCATCCCTTTGTATTGATAATTTCCTAGCATATAATTATTAAAATGAACGAAGATTGTAACATTTGATGTATTCGTTGAAATTGTGATACAATTCATGAGTTCATTACTAATATTTAATATTGGAATCGAATTATCATCACTCATATATCGAATTGATATTTCGAATGGATAATTATTAATATCATTGATATCTTTCACTTTGATTTCAATCTTCGAAAAATTTGCAACATATCTATTTTGAAATTTCTTGACAAATAAATAATCAATTCCTCTATAACTGAGAATTAACTCACGTTTGCTTTTGCTCTGCTCACTATTATCGTTATTGGGTGAGAAATTAGTGCCAGATACATTTACACCCAATCGAGACATTTCCTCTTTAACTATAGTTTGATATTGCTGTATAGTTTTACTACTTGCTTCTTTCTTATCAGACTTCATTGATTGGGGGGCATCTTTTTCAAATCCATTTTTTAGATTCGATTCTCCTCTTTTATCCAAACTTAAAGCTTGTTCATTGGTATTCTTTGAAGATTTGATCCTCTTTTCTGCAAATTCTGACGGGTTTTGATATAATTTGGAAACATCAGTAGTATTAAGGATTAGAAAATCAACATTATCGGCAAGAAACAATCCAAATGAATCTCTTTTTATGTTTTTAGCTTTCTTCAACAACTTTTTAACGTTTTGAACAAAATTGGTAATTGATTCATTTGAATTAGTATCTGCGAGTATTTGAATTATATTCTTTTTTTCTTCTTCTGAAATGTATCTGATTTCATTAAATAGATCATATACTTTTTTCGTTGTTTTGCTATTTATTGTTTCATTAATGAAAGAATCAATTGCTGATAAAGGAATTCCATCACCTGTTTCAAATTTACCTTTGATATACTTTTTGAGGTCAAAATTATCATTATTTGGGGATTTTAGAACTAAATTTCGTGGAAATCTATCCCATAAATAATAGAAACGTTCATACAGTTTTCGAGAAATTATCTGCTTTTGAAAAATTGCCGATGCAACATTATTCAAATCTTTAAAAGAATCAGGTACTCTACTTTCAAACTGTTCCGTTACACCTTTTTTAATAATTGGTATCATTTCTTGATCAAATTGGATTATCCTGGATGCATAATCCATGTGAGCGTCAAAAATATAAAAGATACTAAGAACAGAATCCATATCACATTGCTCAAATTTTTTCAAAGTTTCATCAAGTAATGAATATTTTACAAATTCAGTCAAATAATCGAAACTTGAATCATCGTTTGATAAAAAATAATTATTGTCAGGAAGTGTACAAATTGATCTGCGTGTATAGCTTTCAATTCTGGTTTTTAAATCCTTTGATTTATCGAAAAATATTAAGAGTTTGCAATAAATTTTCTCATAATCTATCTCTCGCATCAATTCAATATACATAGAATTTTCAGGCGAACGGAAGAATTCAGATAAAGCCAAATACACATTTCTGAGTTTCATTTTTTGAGTAATGTTACACACAATGACAAGGAAATCAATTACTTTTTCAGCATCTTTTGGATTCTTCAAATTTTGAATATTGTCTACAACTTGAAAAACAAATTCTTTGGTACTAGAGTATTCATCAAATGGAAGAATTGCATTTCTATCGTAATAATGCCATCCAACTACATTATAAAGAGCACAGTTGAAAGTTAAAGGTTCTTTATAATCCATATCTTCAAAAAATTGATGGTAGTCATAGATCAATTGACTACCAACAAGAATGTATTGCTGAGATTTATCTAATGAGAAATAAAAGATAAATCCATACGCAGGGATAAATGTATTTTTTCTGATTCGTTGACATTCTGGGGGAGAAGAAAACTGTCTTGAGGTGGTGAGTATTTTATGACATATTCGAAACATACTTGAATTTGGATGGAAAATAGCATACCTTTCATAAGCTCTTGTATCAATAAGCCAAATAATAAAAGTTACAAAATCAAGTTTCTCTTGCACGAGTTTCACATTCTTTATTGTAGTTTGAAAATGCTGAACCTGAAAAGAATATCCAATATTGATAAATTTTTTAAGTAAAATAAAATCCATGGCAATGCTCTTAACACCAGAATTAAGGATGTCAGAGATAATGAAGTAAGGAATAACATTATCCAATGAGGATTTTGTATTCTCATCAATATATTTCTCAAATTCATAATGCGAAATATTGGTAATGGATTTAAATTCATCTATCGTTGTATCTCTATTGCTTACAAACTTTTCTAACACATAACGCTGCTCTTTTGAAATAGATTTAGGCATTTTTTTTTTCTTCAAAAATCAATAAAAAAATAAATAAGACAGCTTCAGAAAATATGTATTTCAAAACAAAATTCTTTTATTCAAAACAAGCACAAGCATATTGTATAATATGATTACTCATTGTTGAGTTCTATGAAACCTTTCAATTTTGAGAGAACTCAAAATAAATTTTTAACAAATTTATGAATGCTTGGATTCTCTTCGTTTTATTAGCGGCATCTTTTTTTCATATTTTTTCTATCAGGAATTTTGTAAGGGAATCTCCTCTAGGATTAAATTTTACTATTACACCTTTACAATTTCTTGATTCTTTATCAATTGAAATCGAAGATAATACTTTATTGGAACCACATACTAGATATGAGCTTAAAATAAGAGAAAGGTTAGATAGCGGTTCAGCTCCTTTATATGCAGTATCTTATCAAAAAAAGGAAAAATCAATCGAGTATAATATTAATGGAAGAAGTCTTAATGTTTCATATATAGTTTTATATGATATATATTTTAGCTCCTGTGGTGGCCTGTCATTAGAAACCTGGACATATGTGAATTACGGTGAACCTAATTCTTGGGTTTATTTTGGAAGAAACAAGTTAATGAATGGACCTGTAAGCGGACATTATCAGGATCTCATTTGTTTAGGCTGGGAACAAAGCAAAGCTAATTTCGGACACACAATTTTTGATTTTTTGAGTCCATTGATGCTGATACCTGAAGATATTAGAAAAACAACACCTATAGTAATGAATGGGATATATAAATTCGTTAATGAAGTTTTTGATTTGATGGAAATTCCAAATAATAATAGAGTTGTCATAAAAGAAAATACATGGGTTCATGTTGATAGATGCTACACATTTTTGAAGCCCATGGTTTGTTTGTCAGTAGCAGGAAGAGCTACAATCGATTTAAGTAAATTATTACGTGAAAAATTTGATTTGGATAAGATTGAACCAACACGTTTCTATTATTCAAATAGAGAAAAGCTCAAACCTCGCTATATTACAAATATGGAAGATTTAGTAGAAAGTATCAAAATTAACTTTCCAAATATTCCATTTACGATCCTTAGAGATAATTATAGGACACTAAGAGAAACAGCACTTAAATGGGCGAAAGCAAAACTTGTAGTTGCTCCAATTGGATCAAATTGTCTCAAATTAATATTTATGAAAAAAGAAACCGTTGTTATTGCTGCTCAAACATATGAAAGAGAAGAGATATATTGCCCTCTTTTACCTTCAGCTCTTAGCATATTCTTTTTACAGTATTCCGCCCTTGATTGCTCACAATTCTTTAATACTGGAGGCCCAATCAATATCTCATTAACAATTAAGATGATTGAAATTGGCTTGCGATGTGTTAATGATAAAAAGTGGCCTTCAGATGTATTTTAATTTCGTATTATTAGATAATAATAATTTTTGTATGCATTTATAAAAGTGATTGAAGTTTTCTGTTCTTGCAAAAATTCTGCAAAGAACAGCTCAAGATTTTTTTTTCAAAAGTTCTATTTAAATTTAATTCAAGAAAACGTTACATCAAACATACTTCTATGAAGTATAATGATACAGCAGTATAAACATGCATAATTTGGTAATAACAATCGATATTTTTATAAAATGATGTACAAATATATATAAATAAACAATAGATTATTGATGAGTAGTCTTATTTGCTCTATATCTAGCAAATCTAAGCTCTACTAAGCGTTGGATTGTGTTATTCCTTTCGTTATCTGTTAAAACATGGGGAATGGAGCCAATAAGAATATTAAATTTCTTTGAAAGTTGCTCTGCTGTTTTGTAGATTTGAGAGAAGCTTTTGTTGTAAAGTTCAGCATTTTTCCAAATCAAATTCATATCGCGGACAAATTCGTTCGGCGTTTTGTATTCATGATTATCGAGTTTTGTCTGAATTTTATAGAAGCTCATCGGTTCTGTAACATATTGGAAATAATCTGGAGCACCATCAGCTTCTGGATCAACAGGCTTGAAGAAGAAATAGGCGTTCTCTTGAGCCATCAATTGTTGGATGATTTCTCTGCATGCATGATAGAAAGGCTCTTGCTTTGTTGGCTGCATATGTAAAAAGTGTCAATTTCAATTCATTTTTGTTTCCGAATGGCGCCCTTTTGATTTAAACATTTTTAGTATGAGATTTAATATACATTGGAGTTAGCTTTTTTACAATGCATCTTTTGTAATCTAAATCGATGTCTCAAAAAATAATTTCCTATAATTTATAACAATATTGTAACAAAATCATAGCCCACCTGTAATTAGCATTATATACATGCATGATTGATTGATTTCTGAACCCATAAATTCCGTAATTAATGGAAATTGAATACATAAGGGGAGATTTGATTACTTTTACAATATCGCTGTGAAGTTTGAGAGAAAGCAAGAAGAGTTCTAAGAGCATTAGTTATTTGAACAATAATTGAAAATAATTAATTTATTATAACAGAAATAACAATAAAATACAAAAACAAGATAATTGCAATGATAAGAGATAAAGAATATAACTCTTTTTTCTATTATTAAATTTAATTTTTTTGAGCAGAGAATTTTGGGATTCGAAGCATTATAAAGTTATGCCCACATTTCATCATCATCAGGGCGGGACTGCTTTTTAGTAGTATCAATTTTTGTGTTTGAAATTACAGCTTTTCTTACATCTTCATTAAATTCTTTAAGTCTTTGAGGAAATTGCTTGTCACTAATAGCAATTGTAGTGATTTTAAGACGTTTATAAAAGCGTTCCAGATCAGATGATTTTGCAAATCCGGTTTCTTTAGGAATATTTCCTCCTTCTGCACGTATTGTCTTCAGTGTTTCTTCCATTTTGTATCGTCGAAGAAATGCAACACAAAAATTCAAAGCTTTATTCCATGCAAGAGTATCTCTTTGTTTTGGATATGACATTAAACTAAACAATCGTGGGTTATTATCTTTATGAACTAATTTTGCAATTTCTTTTAAGAATCTGCTTTGAACAATATTTGGACAACCTTTTTCTTGGTATTGAATGATGACTGCAGTGTCAAGTTTATGCTGCTGCTTTTTACGCCTTTTTTCTTCATTTAATTCTGGATTCTCATTCATTCCTTTCTCCATAATTTTTTTATAACGCTTTTTTTGACAATATCAAATTAGCAACCAAGCTTCATTAATATTCTAAAGACTCAATTATTAAACAAAGGGCTATTTTATACAGATTTTGGGAAGAAAACAGTGATATTTATGCATAAAATTGGGAAAAATTTGCAAAAATCTAATATAAGTAAAAATTCATGATAAATTAGGCACAAATGATTGCTGATATTCGTTAGAATAAGAAATATTGAAATTCTTATTGGTATACTTATTCAAAAGATTTATTTCAGCAAAAATTATGAATGGTTAGTTCCAAAAGAACATGATATGAAATTTTTATGGGATATGATAGAATCTTATCAAAAATCATGTGCCATATTTTGACATATCTGAAATTTAAAGAAAAGCTGTTTAAAAATATAACGTGTAATATACCAAACAGTTTGAAGCTTTTTTTATTTTATTTTTTATATTTTTCAGAAAATAAATGTCCCATTATAATATCCTTATGGACTTATATGGGGATATAGTTGACACTACTAGAGCATTATACAGAATAAATTCTTTCAATGAAGAAGTAATAACACGAATATATAAGGATATCGAAAATAAATTTATTGAAACAATGAAGTTTCCAGCATTTCGGATTTTTGAATTAATTCAAACAGCATCAATATATAATGCTAGATATTTTAAATCATTCTTGTCCATTTTTAAAATGTTTTATGAAAAGTTTCCATTGGTACCATCAAGTAATATATCGCCCATATTTCAATACTTTCTAAGAAAAGAATTTAACATTAATATTGGTGATCAAAATTACCCAAAGCTCAAAATTTACGAAGTTGAAAATTATTTTATTGAAGTTCACTTAGAAAACACAATTTACAGGGCAATTATGGATAACAACAAAGAATCATTTATAGTTTTTATAGAAAATGAAAGATTTGATAAAAATCAAAAACTTAAAAGTGATTTTTATCCTGAATCAGATGAAGGATATACATTACTTGAATTATGTTGTTATCATGGAGCTGTTGATTGTTTCAAACTATTAAGATCAAAATTCAAATCAGAAATCACCCCAAAATGCCTTGAATTTTCATTTTTAGGAGGAAATCCTGAAATTATGACGGAATGTTTGAAAGAACAAGAACCAAATAAAGAATGCATGAAGTATGCAATTGCATCGCACAACATTGATTTTGTTACTTTTTTAGTGAATGAATATGATTTAGAAATAGATTGTGATAAATGTTCAGATTTTTATAACCTTCAAGCATTTTTTGCATATTTTGATCAAACAAATCGTATTAACAAATGCTTTATTCTATCTCCGTTATTTAATATTACATCACTTTGTGAATATTTTCTTGGACTCGGGGCTGATATCAATGCAAAATCTAGGTATGGCGCCACTGCACTTCACGCAGCAGCTGTAAAAAACAGCAAGGAAATGGTTCAATATTTAATTTCACTTGGCGCAGATGTAACATTAAAAGATAAGGATGGAAGCACTCCGCTTCATTTTGCTGTCGCATTTAATACTATTGATGTTGTAAGACAACTCATTTCATGTGGAGCAGACATAAATGCAAAAGATAATGACGGACAATCAGTTCTTTTTTTCCGCCGTAGATAATAATGATATCGAAGTCTTTAAACTTATTTATTCATATGGCTTTAATATCAATGAAAGAAATTTCAAAGGATTACTATTTTTGATTATGCATCGAATAATGTTCGCAAAGAATTAATTGAATTTCTCATTACCAATGGAGTGGATGTTAACACAAAAGACAAGGAAGGGAAAACTCCACTCCATCGGGCTGCATTTTGTAATCGAAAAGATATAATGGAATTATTAATCGCACATGGTGCTGATTTAAATGCAACTGATAGTGTCGGAGCGACAATTCTTCATTATTGCGCAAGTCTTTTTAATAACAAAGCAGAAATTGCAGAAATACTAATTGCATTAGGTGCAAATATCAATGCGAAGGATATAAATGGATTCACTCCATTATGCTATGCGGTGCGATTCAATTGTAAAACAATTGCAGAGTTTCTTATTTTACATGGTGCTGAGATTGATTCCAGAGATCAATTTTTGCAAACACCTCTACATTTTGCCGCATGCAAAAATGCAACTGAATTAGCATCAGTCCTTATTTCTCACGGGGCGGACATAAATGCCAAAGAAGAAAATGGAAGGGGCACCTCTTTTATATGCAGTATCATGGAATCATCAAGAAATGGTAGAATTACTTATTTCAAATGGTGCAAATCCAAATTGTAAAGAAGAAACAGCGAAATTTTCTGCTCTTCATATTTCAGTCCAGAATAATCAAAAAGAAATTTCACGAATACTTCTTTTTAATGGTGCAGATATTAATGCAAGAGATATATATGGAAAGACTGTTATGCATTATTCAGTAATCAGAAATTATCCAGATATGACAGAGTTCATTATTATTAACGGCGGGGATGTTAATATCAGAGATAAAGAAGGAAAATCTGCTCTTCATATGGCATTAGCAGAAAATCGCAGTGACATTGCAGCACTTCTTATCTCACATGGTGCAGATGTCAATGCCAAAGATAATGATGATAAATCTATCCTTCATTATTCAGTTGGTAAGAAAAACAAAGATATAACAATGTTACTTCTTTCACATGGAGCAAATATCAATTCAATCGATTCTTATATGAAAACACCACTTCATTATGCAGCATTTCTGAACTACAAAGAATTAGCAGAGATCCTCATTTCATATGGCGCTGATATCAATGCAAGGGATTATGATAGAAAAACTCCTCTTCAGTATTCAATAATCCAAAAAGCTAACGAAACGGCAAGGCTACTTATTTCGAAAGGAGCTGATATTAATGCAAAATCGAATTTAGAAATCACTGCCCTTCATATTGCTCTTCAAATGAATAACAAAGAAATAGCGGAAATGCTTATAAACTGTGGGGCTGATATCAATGCAAAAGAAGATCAAGGACTCGCTATAATTCATTATGCTATAATGTCGCAAAATCAAGATCTAGTGGAAATTGTCCTTTCACATGGGGCAGATATCAATGAAAAAAGCAATGCTGGATATACTCCTCTTCATGGTGCTGCGGAAAAAAATTCCATAAAAATAGCAGAATATCTCATTTTGCATGGAGCAGATATTAAGGCAATCGATAAAAGAGATCGAACTGCTTTTGGTATCGCCATTGCATTTAATAGTATAGAAACAGCAAAACTTCTTTTTTCATATGGCTCAGATATTAATTCAAAAGATATTTATGGATATACTTCTCTTCATTATGCGATACTCAAAAATAATATCGAATTGATACATTTTTTGATTTCCAATGGAATAAATATAAATGCAAAATCTAACAAAGAACAAACAGCACTTCATTTTGCATCAATATCAAACAATAAAGAATTAATAGAGCTTCTTATCTCAAATGGAGCAGATATAAATTCAAAAGACAATGAAGGCAACACACCTTCAACATATGCCCAAAAATATCGTGGTAAAATTGTAGTCGTGGATTTAAATTAGTATAACTTCTCATTTCTCATGAGACTAATGATAATTAATTAATCAAATTTCAAAATTAAAATATTTTTCTAAACCAATGAAGTTTTTTTTATTGAATCTGTTCACCTATGTAACTTCATTTTATATGAATGTATACTAAGAATCATATGACATACCATTCAATTCTGTTATTTAAGGTTGATTTTCAATGACTCTTCTCATCAGTTGTCAGATGAGTGTAAGTATCACTTAAGGGTGCATTTACCACTTTCTGACATTCTCTCAATTTTTTTGACACACAAGCTTTATATCCCAATATTCTAAGGTCAAAAGTTAATATTTTTGATCAGGAGAAAGTAAATATAAATTACTATATAGTACCTAACATTGCTGCTACACTTTTATGCTATTAAAATAGAGATATATTGATTTTTTATAGCATGTCAGAAAATGGTAAGTGCACCCTTAAAAATATTCATAATATATGTTTCACACTTTTTCTGAGAATCTCAAAGCCGATAAAAAGTATCAAACCTATACTATTATGTATAAAAGTATTATAAATACTACATTGTTAAACAGAGTTATTCTTTTCTTTGGTATTGAAATCATATAGAAAAAATATTATCACATTTTTTTTGTAATACAAATAGAAAATATATCTTGATTTTTACAATATAAACAAAAATAATATAAACTATATATCATAAACATACTGTTACATACTAGCAGCATCTGGAGAAAAGATAAATCTTGTGAACACAGACACATCAGTATCAGATTGCATCAAAATTCTTAAAATATGAGGTGGCAATGATGAAGTTCTCTGAGGAAAGTTCGGTTTTGCGGAAAGCCAAGATAATCTTGACAATTGTCTAACAAATCTACTGAAATTATTGAATCCTGGATTATTAAGAGAACAAACTTGATAAGTTTGCATTCTTTGTGTTACAACAAATGCACATTTATTTGGATTATACATTTCTTTTCCTGGATTCATTATTTCAGGGTAATTTGTCTCAATAATCATATCAGCAGTATCTCTAATCATAGACAAATCAGATTGGATAGAAATCTGAACAAAAGGAGAAGGATAAACAGTATAAACAGAAATAACTGATTCTAAGTTTTTGGTATTATTCCTAATCTCTTCCATCAAACTACTAAATGTGTCTTCAGTGACATACTCATATACATAAATGATGTTGAAATCAACGTCAATTCCTCGATTCTCACATAAATCCCATATACTACTTATCGCGTGGATAATTGCGGAATTGTTTGGAACATACCACCTAGTCATAGCTGATCCGATGTCATCAACCCAAACAGAGTCAAACGTTCTCTGATTATAAGCAATGTGAATTGATAAATGTTGGTTTTCTCGGTTCAAAACAAAAGGTGGTTGATATCTGAATCCAAACAAAAAATCAGGTGGTTCCATTTGGAAATTTTGCATTCTGCCAAATGGTGAATCTTGCATTCCCCGGAGAGTTGCATATAGTTCAAATGCACGCATCTTAATGTCACTGTCCGTGGAGTTTTGAATGTCATTTTCAGTAAAATTGACATAACCGAAATTTCCGTCAATTTTTGACATTTCGTAAGATTTCGTCACCAAATAAACGAAAACGTGGTGTTCTCTGTGGAAAACAAGCTCATTCCTCTTGTAGAACTCTGCGGCGGCAACAAATGTTTGGCCAGAACTCACTTCATTCAATCCCGGTTGTTGAGAAAAAAGTGTCATTTTGCCAAAACCGAAATGAGAATAATGATGAGTTAATTGGTCGAAGAATGTAATTATTGCGTTCTTACTTATACAAGTTTCATAGAATATGATGAAAGAACCATCCTTCTGACCGTAAACAGGTGAACATTTTTTGTCTTCCCATGTGTTTATTAATGTTGACGCGGTTTCAGAATAATTTCCTCCATCTCGACTGATAATTGTCGAAGGAGTGTCTATTTGCTGGATATGAGCATCGGAGAGTGATGCTTGGATGTCTGATGGGGCATAGGAATTGCAGAAAATGTGAGGATTGAAATTTAACGAATAAACAATTTTTCCTTGGTATTGTAAATTCGTTTCTTCAATGGACATAGGTATTTCGTAACATCTGTTGAATGACTGCTTGATATGGGATAGTTCTTCATCATTTGAGGCAATTTCGTTCAAAATTGTTTCAAATGTATTTTTAATTTGGGTTGGTTTAGAGTTTTCTTTACTTTCTTGTTTGATCTTCGAATAGAATTCTTCTATAACGCTCTCATCTGTCTTTGGAGGTTGAAAAACCCTTGTTGAAGTCTTAATTGGCTCATTTTCTTCTGGAGAAAAGAAAAGTTGTAAGGAACGTGGAGGATTTGCTACGAGAACAAACTTTGTAATTGTAATATCGATTGTTCTGTAGTCATCTTTGATGGGAGAAATTAATTTTAATTTTGTACCGTAAGTTGATATGATTTTGTATGGTTGTTCGTTAGGTGGTACAAGAATGAAGCTATTTATTGGTGGTACTTGTGGAAATTCGACACATAACGAAGGAATTAGTTCGCATGTAATTCTAATGTAAATTCTATGGGCTCTGAATAGTGGATATATCCTATATAGTGATGGTATGGGCCAATTTTTCGATTTCGGAACGAGAATGTAAGATGAAAAATAAAGACAGTCTTGATCGATTTTTTCGTAATATAATTTTAATGTCAATGCTCTCTGTAATAAAATCCACAATTTTGGCTCCAAATCATGTTCGATAATCCAATCAATTGTTGTAACTTTTGACCAGTTTGGAATTCCAATGCCTTTTTTATAAAAATCAAATACTAAAACACCCGGTACATTCCTTTGAGCCATATCAGGTGGAGGATTGTCAACATAAATTGCAGGAAATCCATTATGAGCAAATTGATGCGAAAGAATTAAAAGTTTAATATTAGCTTCATCTGAACGCTCGAAATCTTGATTATAAACAAAGTGAACAAGCATAGTATCTATATATTCATCACGAAAATTCCACTGCACAAAACTCGACATTGTCACTTTTATTTAGATTGATTAAAAATCAATACGTCATTTTCTCAAAATTGAAAAAGGAAAATAAAAAATACGGGCAATATTTTAAACAAGAAAAAAAAACATGAAAAGTAAATACATGCAAACATTTTATTAAGATAGTATAAATAAATCAAAGATTCTAATCCAATGCAAATTGATCAGATAAATAACGAATTTTTTGATGGAAAATTTAATTCTCGTACTGTGAATATAACATTTGTATTGATACATCGGGTCCTTCAACTGTAACATTTACATTATCTTTGGCACTAATCTTGAAATCAGCTGTTGATTCGTAATCTTTTCCTAAAATTAAAGAAGCAATGGAAATTTTTACGTGAAGGTCTTTCCCTGATCTTGCGACTGTGTCTAGTGTTGCATATACAATTACGCGCTGTCCTTGAAAATCTGGATAATCATCAATTAAAGAAAATCGATGCAAATCTACATATCCTTGAGTTGGACCATGAAACGGTGTATCTTTAGTCAGTTTGAATGTCAGTTGCGTTGAATATGTTTCATCAAACATTATTTTTTTAGAAAAAGTGACAAAATTAATTTTTTTGAAAATTTCTCATATTTTTAATAAATTAATACTTTACATCAATTGTATACAAATTTTATTTGCTTATTTTGCTATTTATCAAATAATTTTGAATAAAATATCAGAAATATGAGCTTTACCTAGAAAATTTACAAATAAATGTTTTTAATTTTACATTACAATAATATACTCTATACAGATTTAGTTAAGTAATGGACAATTTGGTGTTGTCCAGACAGGATGAACACATTTACAAGTGGAGACATCCATTTCGTATGAATCATCTGGGAATTTGCAGTTACACTCTTTATGGATGATTGTTCCGTCAGGGTTGATTAAATCAGCGGGAGAAACAACACCACAAGTGCATCCAAAAAGTGGATGACAACAAGGACAAGAGAAGTTCGCTCCAATACCGCTACAACAGCAGGAATGTTTTTTAGAGGAGGATTCATCATGGTTACAAGTACATTCGCTTGTACCGCAATGTCCACAGCAACCTTCTTTCTCTTTATGCCTTACAGTCCATTTTTTAGCGGTAAGTGGCTGGCTTTTAAGAAGAGGAATGAATTTAAATAATTTTTGATTTGTTGAAATGAATTTTTGCTCATTTTCGAAACCCATGCTCTTGAAGCTGTTATTAATCATTGATTTCGATACGCCAAATAATGCTTTCAATTGATTTGTATTAATTGCAATATTACTATCGTCTAACCAACAAATTCCACATACGAGATATCTTTTTTCGTCAGCCTCTGTATTTTTGACACAGAAAAATTTGATAACTTCGAGTAAATCAGTGAATAATTTTACACTTACGTTTCTTTTATGTCTAAGTGAGGAACTACTGAGTTTTTCTCGCAATTTAGAGTATTCAATTTGATCTGATGCGGATAGTGTGTCATAAAATAAAGGTGGATCTATCATTTAGTAATTATCAAAATTTTTGTCACTTTTATGATTGATTCAGCAAATATTCTTGATTTTCATGAATGATATACGTCTTTCCAGTTAGATCCACATAATTTCTTAAAAAATCTTTAAAATCTGAATATAGGTTTTTAAATCTGATCTGTTACAAGGTTTTTAACATTTTACCATATAAAATATTAAACAAAATATGGAACTATTATAAATATGAACAAAGGAATCCAATGTAATTACTAATAAAATATTTTTTTTAATTTTTACACATACATCCTCTTTTTACACTAGAATTGAGTGAAACAGAGTTAATAGGCTCTATTTTCTTCTCATAGACAGTTCTTTCAATCTTTGATTTGAGATTTTCAATGTTAGTACCATCTTTTGCACTTGTTTCATAAAATGGAATATCTAAACTATCTGCAAGATCACATCCTTCTTGATATTCAACTTCTCTTTCTGTTAAATCCATTTTGTTTCCAACCAATATAAATGTTATATCTTTTTCATAAGATTGAGCTGTATTTATGTATTTATTGATCATTCCAAACGAAGCTTTATCAGTAATTGAATAAACCAAAATTGCAATTTGAGAGCCTCTGATATACATCGGAAGAAGGCTATTAAGAGAATCTTGACCACATGTATCGCAATAAAGATAATCAAACGTTTGTCCATTCATTTGCCCTTGGACCTGAAATACACCCATTACAGATGTCGGCTTATGAGCGATATTTCTTATTCCTCTTAGAGAAGAGAGCAGACTAGTCTTTCCTACAAACGACGTTCCTAGAAATATGACTTTAGGTAGGTTCTTCGACATTTTTTCCAGAATATAAATTTGAATTCTTCTCAAATTTTTCTGAAGATTTCATTTTGATGGAAATTTTATGTGAAATTTGTGATATAAAAATTCACATGCAAAAGATTTGATTGTTTACTCTAATACCGTTCGATGATATCGTGTATCTTAAAGTCGAAAAAGTAGTTGTTTATTATTATTATTTTTTTTTTCAGTGTAAAAATTTACTATTAATTAGAAATGTAATAATAGTGTATACCGAAAGTGACATCACATTTAAAATGTTGGACCCACAAATAAATGAATCTAACCTTGATTACATTAACAACATTTAAAAGCCTTTATAGATGAATTGTTAATGGCACCTCGTGAAAGAAGAAGTTCATATATTTCTTTACATTGATATTCTTTTGCAACATCAAGAAGTGTGTCTCCGTTTCCATCTTTAGCATTTACATTTACGCCATGTGAAAGAAGAAGTTCAACTATTTCTATATGATCGGATGATATTGCCATATCAATAGAAGTAATTCCATCGTCATTTTCTACATTGATATCTACACCAAGTGAAAGGAAATATTCGCAAAGTGATGGAATATTAAACAACGGTGAATAAATAAAACATTTGTCAATATCATTGGTTTGATCGAAATAAACTAAAAATGATTCAAGATTATTATACTCTGCACAATATGTTAAATTGATCTCCATATTGTACTCATTCATCAAGAATGTAACAAAATCAATATTGTGCGAAATAATTGCATATTTCATGCAATTGTTATCTGGGACGTGATATTTCAAACATTCACTCATGATCTCTTGATTTCCACCTAAAAATGAAAATTGTAGGCATGCTTTAGTGATCTCTGAGTTAAACTTCGATCTTAATAACTTGAAACAATCAACTGCTCTGTAGTAACAACATAATTCAAGTAATGAATGTTCGTTGTAATCTGGAAATAAACTGCTATAAAACGTTTGATTTTTATCAAATCCATCTACCTCCGTGAAGAAGATTAATTTTTCTTTGTTATTATCCATAATAGCTCTGGTAATCGTATTTTCTGCATTAAGATCAATATTTTTAATTCTAATTTTTACCATGTTTTTATCTTCACTTAAGCTAATTCCATACTCATTATAAAACAGGCAGTTAGAAATATGTGAAATATCTGTGACCTTTGTAACATTGTAATCACCATATACGAATTTCGCAAGTTGCAAGTATGACTTTAGATAGCGGTTATTATACGGAATAATATTTAAAATTGATATTATAATGTGTTGTGGTTGATATTTCTTTGAATCAATCAAATTTGTTTTAATTAATTCGTAAATCGATGCTAATTCTTCGACATTTTCCGTTTTCAACTGATATAGCGCAATATGTGAATCGATGTAGTATTTGTAGATACTTCTCAATTTATCATATTTATTTGTATCAATGTCTTGATCAGACATGAAAAAATTTAAATGTCGACACAAAACAGATAAATGATATTGATTAGTTTCGACACTAATATCTAATGCATAAAGATAGTACAACGCTAGGAATATTGTGTTATCTTGATTTATAATTTCCAATTTTATTACAAACAATTATGATGTAATATCTTGCTAACTGGATGGGATCATGGACTACTAGGAAGCGATCCGAAATAAAGTTTTCTTTTAATATTTTGATAGAAAAAGACTTAATTTAAGAATCGTAATTCGGTTTCAAATCGCACATACATATAAACCAAGATTTTAGAAGTGAATTGCTAGAATGTGTTATGTTGGGGAATGATTTTGATAAATAAGAATTATTTATTTGCAAAAACACAATATTTCATATAGAATAGCACAATACTAACTATGCTTAATGAAATTACATTGATTACTATCAAATCAAAAATCAAAAGTTTACAAAAAATTAAGGTGATTTCATTTTAAATCTACAAACTACACTTATTAAATTTTTAAAGTGACAATTTGATTTGTATCGAAAGATTCTTTTTTTGAGAGATGAATATTTTTTGAGGCCTTTTTGATCGCATTACAAAATCTTTTTATTTATGAAGTCACCTCTTTTCGATCCCAACGCAATTAAAACCGATTATACAACGCCAAAAATGACGAGGAGCCTCTCGAAAGAACAACTTCGCTATGAGGCTCATTCTCCCTTTATGACTCTCTTAGAAATGAGTGTCGGGCCTTTAATTTATATGCTTGGCATTGCAATACATGATGCCATTGATTTGCTTTTAATCTCAAAAGCTTTTACCGAAACTGAAGTAACTATTGTAGGCTTTGCAACAACAATTAGATATCTTTGCATGTCTGTTGCTATATATTTCAGCCAAGCATGTGTCGCCAAAACAAGCGCACTTATAGGAGCAGATAGATTTTCGTTTGCAGCCCAAGTTACAGCTGATCTTTATCGTCTTGCGTTTGTATCTTCAATAATTATTCCAGTCATCTTTTACTTTATATCAGATCCTTTACTACGATTCATGGGATGCACACCTGCAATGTCCAAAGAAGCTTGCAGTTACTTAATCCCTATTTTATGTTTAATGCCACTAATTTCGACATTTCAACTTTCATGTGGAACACTACAATCAGAAGGTCGTTCAATACTCTCTGGGCTGATGCAACTTACTGCATTTGCTCTTAATTGCGGAGTTTTTGGCCCTGCTTTACTCTTTGGGCTTAAAATTCCGTTTAAATACGCCGGATTTTCATTTGCAATATCTCAAGCATTACCAGGAATTGTTCTTTCGTTACTTATTTTCAGCGGAAAATTAAATGATTATATTAAATGGGGAAATTTAGTCAAAAAACCAATTAAAGAAACATACGATAGTCTTAAAATAGCTTCTCCATACATTCTAAACGTTATTGCTGGCGTTTTTCCTCCTCTTATTCTTATCAATTTGATGATGAACGCTGCATCCAAACAAGGAATCACACAATACTGCGGACCAGTCTACTCAATCTTTCTCAAGCTACAACCACTCGTAAATTGCTTCTCAATCTCCTTTGGACAAGGAATGTTGGGAACAGGAAGCTACGCGCACGGATCAGGCAATGATAATCGATTATTACATATATATTATAGCACATTTGGCCTTACTTTGATATTCCAGCTTGTTTTGTTACCAATTATTGTATTTTTCCCCAGATATGTGGCAAAAATTTGGTTGAGGGACTCGAAGTCACTTGATTTGAGTGTAAAAATGCTTCCAATTCCGTTTTATACTAATTGGACAACAGCAATTAACGAATCTGTAACAGCACTTTTACAATGCTTGAGTTACTCGAAAACCGCCATATCTCCAAGTTTAACAAGAGGTGCTTTTTATATTATATACTCTTTTGCTATTTATTACTTGACAAACAAAGATGACTGCGTTAAAATGATGTATGTTTACTGCGCAAATGATTTAACAATCTTATTGTTAGATCTCATCATTTGGATCAAACCAATCAGGAAATTAACTCGCAAAAAGCCAAATACTGATTCAATGGCAAGTGTTTGAAAGATACTTTTTTATGTATTTTTATTTGTTATGTATATATAAATCTTTATTTGTATTATAGTTGTTAAATCCAAAGAATTTACTTTTCAATAGAGTGCTATAGACAACGAAAAAAAGCGTTGGTATGAGACATTATTATGTTTTTAATCATTTAGCATTGACAAATCTTCTATCTGCAACTTATTTCAGGTACTTAAAAATTGATATTCAGATCAAGGAAGAAAATTGGATCATGTCGAAGGCAGAATTGAGTTTAAGAACTTTGTTTTCAAGTACGCAGCACTGAAAAACCAGCATTGAACGGCTTAGACTTTGTTGTGGAGCCGAATACAACTGTTGCCATTGTTGGAGAAAGTGGTTGTGGTAAATCAACTAATTTACAGCTTATTGAGAGTTTTATCACTAATTTAAAAGTTAAAAGTTAATTTTGGAGTGAAATAAAAAAAGCATTGAATTTTATTTTTCAATAATACAATTAAATATTTTTTTTATTCATAGTATATATTATCATTCATCTTTCTTTTTGAGAGATTCAATCTTTGTAGCATCCAAGAAAATCTTGTCATTTGCGTGTTTTGCAGCGAACAAAAGCGAAATCAAGTGCTCAACTCTTTCAGTGACTTCCGGAGTGAATCCTTTTCCGTCACTCAGCGGAATACGAATTGGATCAAAACTGTCAAACAGTTTTTCATCGTTTTCTATCGCTCTTTGTTCGTTATCCATTATCACTTCACTTTTGACAGAAGCAATTTCTTGTTTTAGCAAATCTCTTTTCTCAGACAATTTACTGATATCTTCCTTGACGATTATCTTTGTCATTCCGCTCTGAGACTTCGACAAACCTCTGACTTCATTTAATTGTTTTCTCAACGAATTATTTTCATCCATCAAATTCGTCAGTTGTTGAGACATTTCTACAACAGCAGGATCAGCAATTTTTACTCTTTCATCTCCATTTTGTTCTTTCTTGTCATTTTCTCCTTGTACTGTTTCACTTTCGCTCAAAGATTTCAAGTATCTTTCCTTCATTTTTTCGTATTCTTTCTTTGTTTGTCTCATCCTTTCCGTTTCTGCCTCGCAAGATTTGATTTTGTCAAGTACTAAATCTCTTGAATCAGTAACAGATTTCAATCTCGTGAACGCGGATTCCAGTTGATCAATTTCTTTCTGTTTTGCCGAATTTTCTTTTTGAGACAATTGTTGTAATTTCGCCATTAATTGGCTCAATTCTTGTCTCATCGATTTCTCTTCTTCCATCATTGATTTAGTTCTCTCTGTTACATCTTTAACATCGTTGTTGTCTCCCAATGCTGAGTTTTCAAGACAAATTTCAAAGACTTTGTTCACTTCACCTGAAATTTCTGTCAAAATATTTTTGACTTCATCATTTCCCTGTGAAAACTCAAACAATTTATTGAGTTTTGATTTGATTTGCGGGTAATCCTGAAGGAAAGGAGATATAGGAGGGAATTCTTCTGGTTCATGTTCGAGTTCGTCGGAAGGAATCGTTGGAGACATCGAAATTTCCGGAACAAACAATCTCATTGAACAAGCAACTCTTACCAAGAACAAATCGACCATGAAAGCAAATCTTTGTGCGTTGAATATCATTGATACTGTTTCTAATACGTATTCAAGCTCTTTAAGGCAATCAACGATTCTGTCATCGCCTTTGAAAATTGAATGTAAAAGAATTAACGAGTTTTTGATATCGTAACACAAAGATTCTTGTTGCCAACGGTCTTCTTTGCTCTTTATCGCGTGTAACTTTGCTGTTATTGTTTTCAGTATCTCAGCTGTGTCCTTGGAAATTCCGCATTTGGAATCTGCAATGACAGCTGCGATTTTTGAGACTAAACTTGGGCCACAGCTTTCAATTGGTCCTGTAGGAGAGAGGAAGAGCTGTTCTCTAAGTGTGAAATAGAACTTCTTAAGGTATTCGAAGCCACGATCAGGTAAATCTTCAAAAGCACTAGTTCTGGAGTTCGCAATAATTCGAAGAGTGTTTTCATAGTCGGCGTAGCTTTCTTCGCTTACTATTCCACGCTCTACGAGTCCTTGCGCTGCGATGGAGAAGCTGAGATACATATTCAGCTGGAAACAATTATGTAATTTTGAAATTTGTCTTTCCCGGGTCACAGTTTGAATCGGAAGGTCATCACTGAGTGCATGCTCCATGGCATTGGCTAAATTACATACTGCGGTGATGTGGGAGGCAAAGAAAGTTACATCCGACCAAATATCTCGGAAAATTATTCCCATTTCGTGATCTATTGAGTCTGCGTGAACAAGAAAAACTTCTGATTCGTTCTTGAACTCAGAAACGTTTCCGGAAACAAAAGATGCGATAATTGGAGTTGATGCGATGTTGTAGAGCATCAGAAGGTCCATAACATTGGCCAATAGCTTTTGATTAGCAGATTCCTTCGATAGAAGATAGATAAAGATCTTTGGAATGTTCGTAATCGCGGAATAAGTTATTTCGCTGAAATCTAGATGGGGAATCAATGGAACAATTGACATAATTTCGCTTTTAACACGTGGCATGTCTCCGCAAAACATTGAAGCGAAAAAGTCCAAGATATGTTTTAATAAGTTCAAATTAAGGATTGTTTTGATTGTTGGTGAGCCAAGAATATGCAGCATTGGTGTAATGAAGTCTACCGACACGTTGAAGGCATAACTATCAATAGTTGTGAAAGAATAATTATTTGGAAATTGACTTCCACATTTTGCGCTGAAATTATCATAGAAATACTCATATAAGTTAATAAACTTAAACATGTAAACGACATCTTCAATTTGCATGTTCAATTTCCTTATATCGTATAATGAAACTTCAGCAAGTCTTGTAGCCTCTGTAACGTTCTTGTCGTCAACAGAAGGTATCGGTAATTGGCAAAGATCAACTGTTGTCTCGTTCGTCAAAACAAAATCTCCCAAAATTTTGGAAATTTGCTTGGAAAGGGCCGAAACAGAAGCGTTGAGGTTTATTGACTCTCTTACAATGGAAGGAGGTGGGAAATATGACAACATTAAGGTTACTCCTTCAACTATCGCTTGTTTTTCCGCATTCTTCAAAATTACGGAACAAAACTGGAAGAACAAATGCAGTAATTTGATAAACTGCGATTTCGTGGTCGAATTTGAGAAATCGTAGTTCCATTTACTGATTATGTGAATTAATTTGTCAATTGCCATCTTCTGCTTAGTAATAGCGTATCTGAATGACTCCTGGAATGGTGACTTATTGATTTCGCGTATAGATTCTTCAATAAGAGGCGCTACATCGTGGAGATGCTGAACCAACGCATTAATTACCAAATTTTTGTGAATGTAGTCGTACAACATGTTGTTTACGTCTTTAAATGCCTGGAGATTTGGATCGCAGATGTTGGATTGGAACAGAAAGAGCGACCAAAATTTTTGATAAGCTGTTTCTGAGGAAACAATCCTTTTATCCCTGGCCCTCTTGAAGTTCTCGAGATGGGAACGAGCAATGATGATGGATTGTGGCTGGTCTCGGCCTTGTAAGTAAGTATTTAATGCTCTTTCACAGTATTGTATGATTTGCCTCTCAGAAGCGTCGGAAGAAGGATCGTATTCGACAATAGACCTTATAAAGTCCTTCAATGAGTCGTTATCAAGTGTTCCCGTGCGTAATGATTCTGAAACTTGTTTGGAAAGTTGAATTAGATGCGTTGCATTGGCTTTTACGCCAGCAGAAATTAAAGATTTGACTTCAACGGATATGAAATCCATTGCTTGCTGTACAACAGTCGTTAATAATCCAGGTTGTTCGAATATCTCGTTGTAAAAGACAAATCCTGGAGATTGTATGATGTTTTCGATATGTGTGGCTGATTCTATTAATTCGAATGCTGAAATTGCTGAGTTAATAATAACACGAAGCTGATTATTGATTTGAGCTTTCTGATTGATGTCATTTGGACGTAAATTGCGGGTTTGATTTAATACGTATTCTTTGAGCTGGTCGAATTCGTAAATATAATGAGTTAAAACGAATTTTGTATCTTTCAAAATTGAAATTGTTGGTTCTGAAACAGAATTTAAGAACAAAAGTTGGCGCTTAAGAGCCTCGAGCGCTTCACCAGTATCTTCTGCTAGTGGCGCTGCTCTTTGATCATTTTGAACGTAAAAGTAAAGAATTCGATATAATTCATCAAATTGAGGTGGGTAACAGCCGAAGTCAATTTCGCGGATAATACCTTTCATGTTTAGGAATAATTGGTTAAGAGCGGACCATGTTGATAAGAAAAATTCTTTATCTATTGGAATTTCCGGATTTTTAACCATCCTAAAGTACATTAAATGAAGATTGGCAAGTGCGATGATATGTGGATTAAGCTGATTAATTGGAAATGCTCCGATCGAGAATAAAGTCAGAGTTTGATCAATAAAACGATGGAAAAGAGAAGAGAATTGATCTGATTTTTCAGATTTATGCAAACTTTCTGAATTTTCTCCGGTTTCTTGGACTTTTAGAAAAGCTTGCATTGTTTCTATGGATTCGCGTATTGATTCGAATGTAGGCATATGTAATTTCTTGATCTGATCTTGTGTTATGAAAATATTTGGATTTAAAGAGAGAGGCAGCAATTTATCATGAGCATCTTGAATATTGCGAACAATTTTTTCAATTTGCTTGTTCACAATATACATAGACCTACTGCTGCTTGATTGATATGGTGCTTCTTGATCAACATCCGCTGATAATTTCAATTCCTCCATAGTTCAATGTCAAGCCGTAAAAAATTCACAAAATTATTTTCTTCATAGAATCATATGACAAACAATAAAGCATAAACAATTAGTTGTAAAAAGTGACAATAATTTGAAAAGAAAAATGTTTGTAGAAGAAAACTTTAATTAGAGTTATTATGAATTAAAATGTTGCTCACTAGCATTGCATCAAACACCAAAATCTAAAGCAAAGATATTTTTATTCCATTGTAAGATATAGCACCTGAAAACAATTTTAAAATAAATTTTATTAGATCTTAAAATTAAAGGAATTACTAAAATGTAAATCCGATATCGTTCAGCGGTTAGGATATGTGGTTTTCATCCACAGGATCGGGGTTCGACTCCCCGTATCGGAAAACTTTTTGATTTTTATCATCAATATTTATAAATTTTTTGAATCTATGATTAGTGAGAAAGAAATAAAGAGATCTTTTCTTATACCGAATGTTTAATCATAAAATTTGAATTTTGGAAAACAAAAAAATTAAATAAGTTGAAATTATCGAACAAGTAAATAAATCTAGTGAATAATCTGACTCACAATGTCAAGTATTGCTCCTGAAAAGAAGGAGAGTCATTCACTCTTTCTTTTCTTCTTCTTCTTCATTTGGAACTTGAGGAACAATAGTAATTGAGGGTCTTTGTGCCTTAATTTCATCATATTTGAAGTTAGGAATACTCTCAAGTGCTTGTTTTCGTCCTTCTTCATAGAATTCGGCAACATAAGTTTGGAAAGCTTCGAAAATTGCTGTGTATTTAGAAGGAGCTGCCGAGAGATACTCGTTTGCTGCTTGCTTGAAGTCATTATCACTTTTTGTATACTTCGCTTGATGAGTTGCAACTATTTCTTGTAAACGGCTCAGACGTTTGATTTTTCCTTTCGCCTTTGCCTTTTCTAGATCCTTTTGAGAATTTGCAAGTAATATATGATCTTTTCTCCTTTGATCAGCAATGTCATTTATTTTTTGAAGCTGCTCTTGAAGAGGAACAATTTCTTTGACGAGTTGGTCATTTAGTAATTCTGCAAATGATTCAGATAAACTCTTTCCGTTCAAATAAAGGGACTCTTGGGCTTTATATGTAGCTTGTGAACTTTCATAGTCTTTATCTCCACTTTTGAACAGTTTAGAAATTCGAAAAGAGATGCCGTACTGAGCATTTGAATAACCCTCAATAGATTTTGTAAACTCGGAAACGCATTTTTGAATTTCATTGAGTTTTTCACCTGCATCATTTATTTGATTTATCAAGTTTAAGTATGATTCATCTTCTTGAATTGAGGATGGTCCAACTTTTTCTTGGACAGCATTAATTCCAAGTGTAACTTTTTGCTTTATCTTTTCCCATCTCCGTTGCATTCAAACTAATGAAAATTAACACAAGAACCTTCGGAAAATAATTAATATTATTTAATACCATCAAACAAGAACCATAAGCGTCAGATTAATCAATTCAATATTGATTCAATTTTACCTCAGAATTTTCAGCTTGAAAAACGATGTAAAATTTTATATATTCGTTATTGAACTCATATATTTTTCTAATCGTATTGCAAATATCATTTTAAAGGGAAAAAATATCAGAAATAGAAATGTAAGGTTAGCTGAAAGGTTTGAAGCAACGGTCTTTTTTAGAATTTTTAAAACTATGAATGATTTTTCATAGTTTTATAATCATTAAATGTAGTGCATCTTAAATGCAGATTATTAAAATGAAATTTCATTTTCGAGGTTTTGAAATCTGCGCACTCATAAGCTATTTTATAAACTGTAAAGACTTATAAGCATGGTATTTTATTATAACTTAAACAAAACAACATAATATTTTAATGTCTAACTTGGTGCGCTCTCGCTAGACTGTGAAATTCATAAAAAATTGCATCTACTGAACAGTTTTTCTTTTCTAATATTTGAGGTCTTGGACCAGAGTTATTGGATGAATCACTGCAAGAGCAGTTAGTACTTTCCATAATGCATTTGATTCCTCCATAACTATCTGCCGAATATTGTTTTTGGACTATAATAGGATTGTCATTATTTCATATCTTTTGTAATGCTTTTTTGGTTTGTTCAGAGCAATAATCACTTTGGCCGTTATAGTAAACTTTGCAAGAATTCAATTCTCCAAATGTAATCTCATACATTGTGACATAATCGTTAAAAACAATAGTTTTAATGTTGGGACAGTTACTAAATGCATTTGACATTATTCGACTATAGTCAAGGAATTCGACTTTTTGGAGATTTGCACAATTATCAAATGCATTGCTCATAACAGTTTGGCTATAACTTATTTTCACGTATTCTAAACCAGTCGATGCAAAGGAATATGATGGAATTGGACTTATCTGAGCTGATAAATGAATGAACTTTAGATTCAGGCAGTTTCGAAATGAATTTTCTCCTATTCTTTTGATTTGTGGGGGAATGTTGATGTATTTCAAGTTTGTACAATTCTCAAAACAGCTTTTCCCGATAGATATAGCTTGAAAAAAGACTACTTCTACTAACGAGTTACAATTGAAAAACCCATATTCACCGATAGACTCGAGATTTGGAGAAAACTCAATACGATTTAAACTAATGCATCCTTCAAAGCATCCATTTCCTATTGACTCGACATTAGAAAAGATTACATTTTTAAGACTTTTGCAATTTTTGAACGCATCATTACCAATTGCTTTAATCATTGGTGAAAAAATCACTTCTTTGATGCATTCTTTGTCTTTGAAAGCTTCATTTTCAATAGAAGTGACAACTTTTCCTCGGATTCTTTCTTCGAATTCTACTATTTCAAGACATTTTTCTTCATGAAATCCAAATACAGTGCTATCTTTATAGGCATCATCATATCTATATACAATGTAGTTATTAATCTCGTATGGAGTTATTCTAGCATATCCAGATCCTGAATGGCCAACAGAATAAGTTCCGTCTGGTTCCCTAATTGATTCATTGCCTCCTATTGTTGCTGCATCTGTTAAGTAAACGCCATTGGATATATCAAGGCTTTCATATTTCTCTTTTGTTAAAACATAACCGCTTCCACCACAACCTGGATATCCTTCTTCTAATTCTTGATAACTATGGCCTTGCATATCATCTGTATCGGATCCTATATTAGACGTTCTTGTGGATTCCCAACATTGACTGCCTTTGTAAGCACCCCCTCCGTAATACCCTCCTCCACCTGAACCACCAGGTATCCATATCGAGCCACCGTATCTTTGCTGTCCTCCCCCATCTTTGTGCGAAGAATTTTGAGTACCTCCATAATCTAAACCGCCAGCAGAACCGCCAATTTCCCCACCTCCGAATCCACCATTTCGCCCTTTACTTCCTGCACCACCACCACCACCTGCTTCTATCAATGTTAATTCACCCAAAACTATAAATGATGAACTTCCTCCTATATAATAATTCTTATTTGCCCTCAGGGATGGGCATAGATGTCCACCATTACTATATCCATAATTAGGATATTCTGAAGAGGAATTCATCACATATCCTTGTCGTCCACAATAAATATATAATTCGGTTTTAGTAGAAATGTTCAAATAGCCAACCGAATAACCACCTTTACCTCCAGCACCACAGTCGTTGCAGTTGAAATTATTTGAACCCGCGCCTTCCCCTCCCCAAACTTCCAATTTATAATTCCATGGATTTAGTTTAATAGTTTCACGCCATTTATCAGTAATATTAAAGTTATAGATTTTACATGAATTCAAATTTAAAAAGCAAAAAAACAACATGAAAAATGAACATGAATGTCAAAAAATGCCATTATTTCGATTCATGTGACTATTTTCAGAAAATGTCAGGAAGTAGTAAGTGCACTCTTAAATTGTGAAAGAGACACTTGAAATAAATCAATTTGCTCTGAAAAATATACGTTTAGTAATAAAAATAAAATAAAATCTAACTGGTTATTTCAAAACCAGTTAAGCATTAACACAATAAATCAATTTTATATAAGAATCATGTAATTAAGACGATCGGTATGAAAAAATAATTATATTTACAAACATTTGTTTTGGAAATACAAATTAATTAATATCATTAGTTACCTTCGTTCGTTGCCTTTTCGCTTGCATCCATTTTTGCCTTTGCCGCCTCAATTATGTGGAGTTGTTTGTTTTCGACCCAGAGAGGGCATCGATCTGGAGGACACGGCCCTGCCTCGCGCCAGAAGTGGTCGTATCCAACGTTTTTAGGTATAACCTGCCTGCACCAGTAGCAAATCCACGTTTGACAGCGGGGACAGACCATTTTGTTGCATCCCTCGTCCTTCATGAATGGCGTATGGCACTTTGGACACACTCTGATGATGGCGTCGTTCATTTTCTCTTCGACAATTTTATCTGGATCGACAGCTTTGGCTTCCTCGCACGTTTTACCTGGATGTGCGAGTAGCCCGCACTTGCTACATGTCTCTTTCTGGCATTGCGGGCATCTCATGTTGCTAGATCCGAGAAATTCTACGATAAAACCGCAATTAGCGCATTTTACGAGGTTTGGAAGGCCACTCTTGATGACATCGTTCATGGCCTCGGTCTGGAATAATCTCTGAAGTGTCTTTTCTGGAATTGCCCGCTCTAGTTGGGACATCGGGATATCTAATCCACAACCATCCATTGCAGGGCATTTTACTGAGCTGCGGCCTTCTGATATTGTTGTTTCTATCATTTTCATCACACAGTTTTTGCAGAAAACGTGACCTTCCGGACATTGAAGGCATCTGTCGAAAGGAACTTCACAGAAACAACAACTGCACTCTATAAGGGATCCATTGGCTCTTGCTTCTTCTATTTCTTGCAATTCCTTGGCTTCTGCGTCTTCTTTCGCTTTTTTCTCTAATTCTCGCTTTTCGAACAGCATAATGTCATATGCAACGAAGCAGTCTGTAATAACCATCGATCCTTTCTTCGCTCGTAATGATCTCATGACTTGTAGTGGATGACTCGTTAGTTGTTCGATAGTATTAAAAATTCTTTTCTTGTTTTGAGTAAAAGCGCTTCGGAGAGAAGTCTGTGATACATTATTGAAGTAATTAAATAGTACATTAAGGGATTCGCTTTGAAATTGTGCAGATATTCCTTGTCTAGGGTCATTTGCAGATAAAACAAGGCGATCGACTATATCGTCTGGATATTTGTTAGTTTGTATGACTAAATTTAGAAAAGCGGAAGCTTTAGCGAAATCCATTTCAGGAGCTAATTTTAATGCGTTTTCTATTAGTTTTACTGCTTGCTCAGGTATTATAGGGATGGTAAATTCCATTCCTAGCGCACTACAAGTCCTCTTGGGAAGTGGTGGAGCTGGTTTTGGTGGTTTTGGTGGTTCTGGTGTTTGCATCATTCTAATAGGGTTTTCGAACTGCCTGAAAGCTTGAAATCGAGGTAACAAAAAATCTGGAATAAAATTAGCGAAAGCGAAAAGACCTCGATCAACATTTTGTTCTTCTTCGTCATCAGACGATGATTCTATATAGATAGGTTCGTTATGGTATACTCGATTTTGTTGGCGGTAATTTCTTGCCTGCTGTTGCTGGTTTTGTCTTGCCGGAGCTGGATTATTATTTGCGCGAGTATGGAAGGCAGGAGGCTGCTGATTAGCTGGCATCCATTGATGTTTAGGCGGTACTTCTTGTCTTTGAGGTGGAGCGGCTTGTAAAACTTGTTGATTCAAATGGCTGTTGATTATGTTCCTGATTCGTTGCCTGTGCTTCTCGTATTCATGCAGGACTCTTAAATCAGGGTTTGGAAGATTTGGAACAAAATCATTGAAGTCTTTCATTGAGAATTATTATAATAACTTTACAAAACCTAAAAAAAATTATTATTTGGTATTTTTCTCTTTTTCCGGTATATTTTGTATTTTGGAATATATTGATATTAATCCGTCTTTCACGCTAAATCTGTTGTAAACCATTCAATTTTTAATAAGTCTAAATTGTTCGTTATTTTATAATTGACGATGCGGATTGGTTATCTATTAAATAATTATTTTCTAATTCGATATTTGAAATTAATGAAGTTTAGAAAAATTTCCATCATATTGGAAAATTTAACATCGGTAATTGGGATTTCAACGGCTTGCTGAGAATCATTTGTATTCGATGTCTTAATAAAGATTGTTATTGGTAAGTTTGAATATATGAAAATTTTGAACTATAAAAGATAATTCAAAGTTGTAGATCGAGGGTAAGTTGGCGTAGTAATGTGTTTCTTATCAGTAAAATAATGATAACAAAATTGTAAGAAAAACGTTTCTTGAAAAAATTGAAAATAACATTATTACTTAGACTTTGCCTCATCTGGTCTTGTTAAATTTTGTATTGAAGCTTCGATATCTCTTAATTCTGTTTCCATATATTGTCTCACGCTTTGAATTTTTGCATGTAAACCAGCAATCCTTTCATTTAATGTTTCCAGGGATCCGGTAGTACTCGCTTCTAAGTTTGTCGACATCGAATTCGAAATTGTTCCAAATAAGCTGTCAACATATGTTTTATTCGCTTTTTCGTTGAGAGTTTTCTTTGTTGCTTTCTCATCGAGAAGACGCTGAACAACTCGAACCAAAGAATAGACTGCTTCTTCTTGTTGACCTTTCTGAACAAACTGAATCACTTGATCCCAATGAGGTGCATGACCCGTTTCACTTGTAACTACTTGTGATTTTTGCGCATGTGGTTTTTGTTCGGCTCTGTTTTGTCCTTTATGCTGTTTGAGGTTTGCAAACTCGGCTTCTAATTTAGAAAGATTTACCTCGATTGAGGATTGCATCTTTTTAAGGTACTGTAATGCATCTTGGTCGACTGGATTTGAGTCGTGGAAGGCACTCATTGTTTTTTATTAATTTTTTGAGATAGTTTTATCGGCTCGATTCAAATGTGATTTCTTTCTTTAAAGCTGTTATATGCAAAATTTAATTATTTCATTTGAAAAACGTACTATCAAAAATTTCTATCAAAATGAGATAGATAACGGACGGCTTACAAAATTTTTGCTCATTTCCATTAACAAAAGGTGTAATTTAGTTAATATATGAGGAGTTTAGGATTGTAAGATATCAAATTACCGAATCATCTTTATAAAAAGTTTCAACGAAATCTATGTCCCTTGCATTTGAACAAAGTTTTGCATTGATTTCAATTCCATGAGAGACTAATTTCACATCTAAAGATTTGATCATTTAAGAGAAGTAGTTCCATCTGAGTAAGAGAAAATATATAATGTCAAGTGATTGAGAACTTTAATATAAGATTCTATTGACTGGTAATTGCATTGGAAAAGATTCTAATTATCACATTTGTATTCAATTTATATTTTGAAACTACAAATTGTTATTGAATATAGAAAGAAATTTGATGTAATCGAACACACTACATTTTGTGGGGGTGAACTATAGTGTTGCTTCACCACCACAAGTTGTTACCTGTTGCATTTTCTTTCGTTTAACACAAAATTCAAATGGAACTTGTTTATTTTAAAGATAAATAAAATTTTATTATTTTTGAATATATTATCATTACCTATAATTATTCTCGATTCGGTTTTGCCTTCCAAAAAGTATTTTTTAACAGAAATACTTGCGAAACAAAGAGCAGTCTTTCCACATTTATCCTTTGTTTATTAATTAGCTCCTACAGAGATAAGATATTCAACAACTTCACGATGACCTTCTTTTGATGCATAAATGAATGGAGTATATCCATTATTATCCTTATCTTCTTTATTAGCTCCAAAAGAAATAAGATATTCAACAACTTCACGATGACCTTCTTTTGATGCATAAATGAATGGAGTATATCCATTATTATCCTTATCTTCTTTATTAGCTCCAAAAGAAATAAGATATTCAACAACTTCACGATGACCTTCTTTTGATGCATAAATGAATGGAGTATATCCATTATTATCCTTATCTTCTTTATTAGCTCCAAAAGAAATAAGATATTCAACAACTTCACGATGACCTTCTTTTGATGCATAAATGAATGGAGTATATCCATTATTATCCTTATCTTCTTTATCAACTCCAATAGAGATAAGATATTTAACAATTTCTAATATCCAATTTTTATCCAGATTCAAATGATGCTTATTCTTTTCTTGAATTATGCTGTTATTATGGGTCAGTTGATTGTTTTAAGTTCTTTATCACAATGTTCCACTCTGAAATCACACAAAAATGGGCAAATTTGTCCCGTACTCGATTAATCCACAGTATAATATAACTCAACTTGATATATGCTAATAGTTTAAAAACGATTAAAAATTGCAATCCAATATGATCAAAATTAGGTCACAAAAATATGAAATTTAGATAGCTAATTTGATTTAATTAAAGATGACGAAAAAAATTAATTTTATAGAGCGTTGCTACGCGCCGATAGATTCTGAAAAAAAATGTAATTTTTCAGAATGAGTAAAATTATAACAAATATTTCGGATTTTAATTTACAATCATATTCGGATTACGACCAATCACATCCATTTGGGAATTTTCCAACTGAAACTAACATTCAGCTTGCTCGTTGCCCACAATGTGGAGTATTAGTTACAGATTCTTCTTTAGAAATTCATTTAAAAACGCATACAAAGTTATTAAACGAAAGTAAAGTCCAAGTAAATTATAGATTCCCTACAACTTCTCCATTTCATCTCCCATTTCACTGTGCATATGAAGAAAAATGGAACTACGTAGCAAGCCATTTAGAAGAATAGAATATCCATGGTATGCTATTTTATTCCTTACATAGCTTTCAATCTTTACAACAAAAAATCGATTTTTTAATTCATTTGTTTTAGAAACTATAAAGTTTTACCATGCTTTGTTATTTGTATTTTTAAATTTTACATGCTTTCGATAAACACTGTTTTATTTATCAAATGAAAAAAAATTATATTTTTATTCGATCTCTTACGTTCTTTTTTGATTAATATGACTTCAACTGCTTCGAAATTTTCATGTTTGTGATTAAAGCCTTGTTTTTCGAAATATATAATCTTTTATAACAAATTAAATAATTGTTTATTGAAAATTTGATTTAAACTGCTCCTTTCGAAACAAGAAATGATATTGTTGCTTTGGTAGACTTCTTTAATGCATAATAAAATGGTGTATGTCCATTGTTATCTTTTGCATTAATATCTGTTCCTAAATCTAGAAGAGAATCTATCAGGCCCATTCTATTATTCTCCGCTGCAATATGAATAATTTTCCGGCCTTCATTATCTGCGGCTTCGATATCTGCTCCATGATGAATAAGAACATCTACAATTTCTTTCCTGCATTTGATTGCAGCATAATGAAGAGGAGTTTGTCCGTCATTATCCTTAATATTGATGTCAGCTCTAAAAGATTTAAGCATTGCGATTGTTGCTTTGCTATTCCTTTCCACTGCAAAATGCATGGCAGTTCTTCCTTTATTATCTTGTGAATTAACATTGGCACCATGATACATCAGCAGATTTACAATATTTTTAAAGTTATTTTGAACTGCAAAATGAAGAGCGTTTTGACCATTAATATCTGTTGCATTGATGTCAGCTTTATGTTCCATAAGAATACTTATCATATCCTTATTGTTATTAATGACTGCGAAATGAAGAGGCGACTTTTGATCATTATCACGGACATTGATATCATCACTCAATTCAATAAGAACATTTAATATTGGAAGTGAATTATTTATTGCAGCAAAATGAAGCGCAGTTTGTCCTTGATTATCTTTGACATTAATTTTCGCATTGTGTGAAATAAGGCATTGCGCAGCATCATAGTGTCGAGTTTTAATTGCAATAAGTAGGGGGGTTGATCCTGTTTTATCATTTGCTTCAATATCAGCACCATTTGAAATAAGAATTTCAGTTGTGGTTTGATTTTGATTTGTCGCTGAATAGTGAAGAGGAGTAAGGCCATCATTATCTTGTGCTTTGACATTTGCACCATGTGAAATAAGAATTTTCGCAATTTCAGCACGATTTTTTTGTGACGCAAAATGAAGTGGAGTCATTCCTTTTTCATCTTTTGCTTTCACATTTGCTTTATTCGAAATGAGAAGTTCTACAATTTTGCTGTTGTTTCCGATTGCTGCTAAGTGAAGTGGTGTGGTTCCATTTTCATCCTTTGCTTTCACGTTTGCTTTATTCGCAATGAGGAATTCTAAAATTTTGTCATTGCCTTTTTCAACAGCTATATGAAGTGGAGTGATTCCTTTTTCATTTTTTGCATTGACATTTGCCCCGTGTGAAATAAGAAGTTCTGCAATTTTGGTGTTGTTCTTTTGAACTGCTAAATGAAGAGCGGTTTTTCCTTCATCAACTTTTTCATTGATATAGGGTGTCCAAAGGTGTGTTTAGCACAAACCTGAATACTGCGAATAGAAATAAACAAGTTACATATATATAAAGTTTATTTAAATATAATCACCATTGGATTCAATCACGCGTTCGCAGCGATCGATCCAGGCTTGAAAGACACGCTTTAAATCATCATGAGAAAATTGCTCAAATTGCTCTCTTACAAAATTTTCAAGATCATCTGGACTCGCGAATTCGCGTCCTTCAGCTCTCTTTTTAGCGTGCCGAATAAATAAAAGTCAGAGGGTGCAATATCAGGTGAATAAATTGGGTTTGGAACAACTTTGACATTGTTTTCCACCAAGTAATTCATTACCTTATGACTTTTGTGAACTCTTGAATTATCAAAATGAATTGCAAACTTTTGTTTTTTGTTTGGATTTCTCAAACTCATCAGAATTGATAATTTGAGTAAGAACATTGTCAATTAGATACTGAGCATTCATCGTATTAGGTTTTTGAAGAATATCAATTGCGATGATGCCATTCACGCCCCAAAAAACCGACAACATCATCATTAGTGTGTCAATTTTTTTCTTCGGGAATGTTTGCGGATTTTCATCCTTCGGGATCCACATGATTTTGGCTTCTGTTGCATATTGAAACCAAGACTCGTCCCCTGTTACTAAAAAGCGAAACTTCTTGGATTGATACGCACCCAATATAGAGAGGAGCTCTTTCGAAGATTGGACTCTAGATTTTTTTTGAACTGAATTAAGGTTGTGCGGAACCCAACGTGTATACGCTAGTTTGTAGTTCAAATAATTGTGCAGATAATAACTGACTGTTGTACGTGGTATCTTTGTCATCTCCTCTATCCTTCTGAGTGATGCTCTTGGGTCTTCATCTAGCGCTTGAAGAATTGCTTTGATTTTTCTTTGATCCGGCGATTTTTTGTCAATTTTTATGATGGGCGCCTTTTTGTTCATGAAGTGATACATCCTAACATGATACGTTACAGTGGAATAGCTAGGAGCATCCATACCGAAGCATTTTACCAATGTCTCGTAGATTTTTTTACAGTCTTTGCATTTTTTGCAAGAGCGAGGATGTTTTCTTTATGATTCATTAAAAAAATGAAAAAAATCCCGCCAAAATTTCCCGCGAAACCGCCTCTTGTCTCAAAATTCATTTTATATCCCGGCATGGCGCCAAAATACAACATACTCATCATATACATATATTCATATTTTTTATTATATATTTATAATCAGCATATATCTCCTTTAATAGTCTCATATAGAGCGCTGTGCTAAACGCACCTTTGGACACCCTATATTAGCATCATGTAAAATGAGAAGTTCTGAAATTTCGCTGTTATTTGCATTAATAGCTAAGCAAAGTGGAACGGATCCAGAATTATCTTTAATATTCACATCTGCTCCATTCAAAATGAGAAGTTTGGCAATTTCGTTGTTATGACTTCGTGCTGCTATATGAAGTGCGGTTGCCCCTGTAAAATCTATAGCTGAAATTTCTGTTCCATGAGAGATAAGAAGTTTCACTAACTCAATAAAGTTGTAGCGTGTTGCAAAATAGAGAGGAGTCCTTTGTTCCTGATCTCTTGCATTTACGTCCGCACCATTTGATATAAGAAACTCGGCTATTTTTATACTTTCATGATGCTGTGATGAAATATGAAGTGGTGTATTGTGGCGCTCATCTTTTACATTAACATCTGCTCCATGAGAAACAAGAAGCTCTATTAACATTTCTACGGCTTGATGAAGAGCTGCCATGTCATCCGGTCCAAATTTTGCATTGATTTTGGCACCATTTGAAATAAGAACTTCAATCATATCATGAAGACTATTGTAAACTGCATATTGGAGAGGATTTCTTTCGGGGAACGATATTGCATCTGGACTTGCTCCATTAGAAATAAGAAGCTCAATCATCTCTTTGTTTTTATTCTTAACTGCATAGTGAACAGGCGTCATTTTACTGCGATCTAATGAGCTTAAATAATCACTATCAAGAACTTTCAAATTCAATATGAATTTGCATAGTTCAATACTGTTGCTTTTAGTTGCAAAATGCATAATGTTTCGCTCTTTGTAAGATATCGAATCCCAACATAAATCTGGTTCCTTGAGAATATCTATAGATTGTGGAAATGCAGCACACCATGGAATGACTGAGTTCTTCTCTTTCTCGAACATAAGGAAAACTGCCTTCAAGTTTTGAGATTTTACAATTTTTCTCGGTTTTAATTCATAAAGATTGCAGAGATCCCTCATTATAATATGTTCCAAGAATTGATTGTTATGAGACATAACAATAAGGTCCAACATACTTGAATTTAATTTAGTATTTTTCATGCATTCATTGATAATATCAGTATTTCTGCCCATAAGTGCAAATTCAAGACAATTATAATTAGGGTTTATGTCCTCTCGAGAATTTGAAATGAGAAAATAAAAAATGTTAACAGATCCAAAATAACAGCATGCTTCAATAGGAGATACATAATAATATGTTGGAATATTGAATGTTTCGTTTTCCAATGAGTTATTGGTAATATATTCTTTGAATTTATCGATTTGATCATGCATTATTATGTATAAAATTTCATTTTCTTTTGGATAATTTTGATTGTTATATCTGACTTGATTTGAATTTTCAGAACTGCACGGATATATATTTAATCGATGACACATTGAGAATAAATCGTTACGAGCTAATATTTTTATGATGTCTTTAGAAAATTTAGCTGAAATTTGATTTAGAATTTGAACATAAAGATCAATGGAACGGTAGTTGTACTGAATTGCACGGAAAATATTCATAATGAGTTTGTTAAATGATGTATTATACTTGGTGATTAAAACTGATGAGATCAAATCAGTCATGTTTTCAGCAGAATCGCTTGAATTCAAGCAAAAAAGCTTCTCATACGCATCTATGAAATCATCATATTTGCGTAAATACTCGGAGCCCATGTTGAAAAAGTTTAGACAGATAAAAAAAGTGTCATAAAATACAAGACATTAATGAATGTCCAGTTTTCACTAAAATAATTGCAATCATAAATACATATATGGATATTCCTAGATGAGATATTTCGATGCTTTGTTTCTAAAAAAAATGATATGATCTTTAAAAAAGATAATAATTAACCAGCAATGACTATGTCAAATATAAATTTACTAAATAGATCATTATTACTTTATATTTTAAATTGAAATATCTTTTGAGAAAGGGACAGACTAGCCCATTGTCACTTTTTAATTTAGCAAATGAACGCTTATGGAGTGGAGTTTTTGGGTAAATCTGATTTGCTTATAAATGAAATAAAATCAAAAGAAACCATATTGGCATTATATTATGCAAAAATAAATGATCTTACTTAGTACTTTTAAAGTTAATTTCAGAAAAAATTTGACACAATGGTATCCGGCACATACAAGTGGTGTACAACCAAAATATAAGTTAGTTTAAACATATATTGCTATATCTCATGATCTTACTTAGTACTTTTAAAGTTAATTTCAGAAAAAATTTGACACAATGGTATCCGGCACATACAAGTGGTGTACAACCAAAATATAAGTTAGTTTAAACATATATTGCTATATCTCATGATCTTACTTAGTACTTTTAAAGTTAATTTCAGAAAAAATTTGACACAATGGTATCCGGCACATACAAGTGGTGTACAACCAAAATATAAGTTAGTTTAAACATATATTGCTATATCTCATGATCTTACTTAGTACTTTTAAAGTTAATTTCAGAAAAAATTTGACACAATGGTATCCGGCACATACAAGTGGTGTACAACCAAATCTTCGACTCGATGAACTTGTCATCGAGTTATATTCCAGTGTTGTTCCTTCATTCCTGATTAAGTTGCAAATTAAAGGTCTGGATTCAGAGAGAAGTGTTAAAGTTATCAAAAAAGTCACAAGAGATTTCGAAGAAATGACACAATTTAAAAAAGTCGAATGCATCAGTATGCTTGAAGCTGTTCAGAAAGGTCTGAAAAAATATACACTTGATCCCAACATTGTTTACTCAACATTAAAAATATTATTGCAAAGAAAACATTTGATTTAATAAACATTTAATTTATTATAATTAATTTTTTATTACAGTATAGTAAAAAATGCTATAAATAAATTATTATATTTTATTAAAATGTGACTTTTAATAGTAAGTGAATAAAATAAATCAGGAATTGGGAAAGAAATAAGGTTAATTAAAAATAATGAAAATTACAAGTTTAAGGTTAATGAAAAGTGACAATGGGCGAGTTTGTCCCCCACTCAATATCTTTTTCACATTTAGAAAGAAAATCAATCTGGTAGTAAAACGTGTTATTTTGTAAATATAATATTAAATAGTTTGATGTCCTCAACTGATCTTTATTTGAAAATTGAAAATTTTAAAATTATTGAACAAAACTTAAATAATCAGGAAATTTTATTTTCTGGGTATATAATACTTTCATTTGCCCATATGAGGAGCAAATATATACATTGTTCCATAGACATTTTAAATGAAAAACAAATGATTTGAAAGAAAAGAAACAAGTATGAAAAAAAAAAAAAAAAAAAAAGGTAGTGGGGCTTCCAGGCACTTCGTGCCCTCTAGCCCTGAAGATGTTTAGTATAACTTTGTCCGGACAAGTAAGGGTCTATCGTCGCTACAGGAAAAGTTACAGGCGTTCCACGGAAGTATACTTTGAGAAGCCTTTTCTCCCTTTTAAAACAAGATAGGACGGTTATTTTACAAAACTGACAACACTTTGACCGAGTAGTTTTTTGTGCTGAACAAAAAGTGCCATATAAACATCTGTCAAAAACCGCTTTTTAACTTCACTTAAAATGCCACGTAAGCTACGTAAGAATATACGTAAGAGGAAGAGAGCATTGAAACATCCAATAGTAAAACTGACACCACAACAACAGTTGCAACAACAAATGCTGAATGACCCCACTATGTTGCAACAAATGTCAAGCAATCCTATGCTTTTAAACCGAGTTTTGGGTGCACAGAGTGGAGGTTTAAGAGCGGCACTTTTAGCGAAAATGGCAGGCTATGGTGGAGCTGCAGACGGAACAGCTTATAACCCTCAAAGTCAAATGAATTTGAGTTCACTCAAAAATCAAATATCAGATGTCAAAAAGTCAAACATAGACATACAGAAGCAAATAGGTGAAAACGAAAAGAAACTAGAATATGACAGACACACAAAGAAACTCAATGAGTTAAACGTAGAGAAAAAGAAGAAAGAAGAACAACTGAAAGAACTAAGTACAGAGGAATATGCGAAAAAAGTGTCAGAAAAAGCAGCAGAAGTAGCAAAAATGGAACAAGATGTTGTAAATTTGAAAAACCATACTACTCAATATAAAGTACTGAAAGATGAAGAGATAAAACAAAAAGCCCTGAAGACATATATGGATAGCGATGAGTATAAAAAGAAGTTGAAGCAAATGTAAAGGCAGAAAAACTTTTACAGTTGCAAAACCAAACCGTACAGTATGAAAACTTAGCACAAGAAAGTAAAAATAACGACGCAGCCATGCAAAAGGCAATGAAAAGCGCAGAATATATAAAAGCTAACAATGACTGGTTAGATGCCCAAGCCAACGCCAAAGCAGCCCAACTTATAGGGTCAATAAGGACAAAAATACAAGCGGATGAAGACAGTTCAAATGAAGCTTTAACAAATGCTGACTTTAAGAACGCCTTCGAAGCTCTTCATAGTAAGGTGAAACTAGTGAACGACTTCTCATCTGGAAAGAAACTGAAGTCTGAAGGTTTCGACAAAGAGTTAAGAGAAGTAGCACAAAATATGACGAAAATAACAGATGCAGCAACGAGACAGGCAGTTCAAAGTGCCTATGACGCCGTTAGAGCAACTGTTGTGGAAAGTCAAGAAAAAGAGTTACAACAGACCAAAACAGACCTAGTAAATGCTTTCTTAAAAACGAAAAGTCAGGTAGGACACTATGCTGCAGATGGAACATATGTGCCAGCTGGTGGAACTTATATACCAGCTGGTGGAACTTATATACTAGCTAGTGGAACTTATATACCACCAAACCCTCCAAGAGAAGCACCTGCACCAGGACTACCTAAAACATTTACATCGTCACATGGACACAGACACAGGCATGCACCAAAACCAACACAACAACCAACAGTTCAAAATCCAGCACCACAACAACAACCAAAACCAACAGTTCAAAACCCTGCACAACAACCAACAGTTCAAAACCCTGCACAACAACCAACAGTTCAAAACCCTGCACAGCAACAACAACCAGCACAGCAACCAACAGTTCAAAACCCAGCACAACAACAACAACAAACAGAGCAAGGACATAAAAGAAGTAGAGAACAAGGAAACCAAGATTTCTTAAAAATGCTTAAAGAAGACTATGGTTACCCAGCTACTCTTGACTTTAGTGACAGATATAAAGAAGCTATTAGAAAGTTCAAGGAAGGAAATACTGACCCGAACCTATTTAGCTTTATGGCTCAGCACCAAATGGGATATAATTTCAAACCTGGAAAATACAAGCTCGCTAAGGGATATGATTTAATAGCATATCATCCAAATGACATGAACGAATTTACTCCGAGATATTTGGTGTCAGAGCTAAATGACAATTCAACTCTCTTCATGAAACGCGTAAAAAATAGAGACGGAACGAAAGAAGAAAGGTTTATGAGTCCGGATGACTTAGATAGGGAACTTGTTAAAAACGGTCTCGGAATATATGAAATGCCAGCAGATGAGGTACAAGAAACTCCACAGGAAGAAGTTCAGATACAACCAGACATGGAAGAAATAGTTCAGCAACAACAGCTAGAAGAGCCTGAAGGAAACGAACAAGTTCCTCCTTTGGAAACTAACTTCACAGAACTAGATGAAGATTTGGAACAGCCGAAAAATCTTGACCCTCAACAAGACTATGAGGTGAATATGGAATCTTTCCAAGAGTCTAAGAAAAATTCGGCTGACATGGTAGAAGAATATCGAAAAATGTTTGCCGACATACAAAAGACTCCAACACCAGATGAAAATATTCAGCATAGAATGGAAGTACTGAAAGAAAATGTACGCAAATACAATAACCCTTTTTACTTACGACCATATAACGTTCAATCTTTGGCTGAACTCGGTGAAAATAAAAGGTTAAATTTCACCAAAACATATAGAAATGAAACATTGTTTAAAGTTCATTCAGAACCTAACCAATATGGAAACAAACCTACTTTTGTTTCTGCAGACTATGGAACTACAATGAGATGGGGTCATAAAGCTAACCCGGATAGGTGGTTCATAAACTTACAACCACAATTCCAAGAAGTTGTAGACGCAATGGAAGTGAATGGTGAACCAGATTTAGCTGGTATTTTCAGCGCGGCTTTAATGCCATTGAAAGATATGAAACATGCAGATATTTTGGACCAGTATGAAATGAACATGGCTGATGGAAATATAACACCTGACGTTCTAGAACATTTATCTCAAAGAACTACACAGAACCATAAAGATGGTATATTTGGTGAAGAGTTTAGAAAGAAAGTTAGGGAGAGAGAAGGAAGAGAACCTATTGTACATGACCTTGCAAACGAAAGTTTACAAAATGTCATAAAAACTTACTTTGCAGACAATGAACCGAGAAGGGATGAGTATTTAAGAAAACTCAAATGGACAGTACCAAATGAAATGTTAGTATTGAAAAACATGTTCCTTGACAAAATAAAACCAACTACAGAAATAAATGACGCAAGACTGAAACATTGGGTAAAAGCTTTCCCATTCACAAAATATTGTTGGTAACATGGAAAGAAAACCAGAATGGCTACAAAAACATATATTTGGAAACGAGCTTATTCCATATGGACAAGCTCTGTTTGAAGAGCTTGAACCGGAAACTCAGGAAAGAGTCATGCAAACAATACGCGAAGACTCAAATACAAACTATGACAAAATCTTTCTAGGATATAGGTTACCTGAGATGGGCGACCAGAGCCCAAAGGCAAAAAGGACATGGGAAATTTACAACATACTAGGTGAACATGAGGCAAAGATGCAACAACTTGAAGCAGAGGGCAAGTTACCAAAAGCGACACCAAAGAAGAAGAGAAGAGTAGAACAAAGTGAAAGTAGTGAAGAAGTAACTTCATCTAGTGAAAGTAGTGGCAATGAAGGAAAAAGAAGAGTTAAAAAATCAGCCAGGAAGAAAGTAAAGCTTGGTCCACGTGGGTTCTATTATGACACATAAATCCAACTATTCTATATTTTTTACCCATATGAAATGTACGCCGCTCAGATATAACGCCAACAGTTTTGGATGCCATGAATGGAAATGTTTCCGAATGGTATAACGAATGCGACAATGCCATTAGAAGGTCAGAAATAGTTCCTGGAACTTACGAATATACAACTGCTGTTTCTTATGGAAATGTAGGTGAGTTTGGAGAAGGTTCTTCAACAACAGTAGATATTGCTTGCGACAGGTTTCACATTATTTCTATTGACAACTCATTCTTATACGTGGAACAAGACATTGAAATAAAACCTTCTGCCAAGTTGTCTGACAAGAAAGGTTGCAATGGAATTTTCTATGTCGGATACCAATATGCTCCAGAAGTTTTCATGGGATATAAGATATATTCTAACTCTGACTTAGTTCAAACAGTAACATGGGCAAACTATGAATGGTTCGCTTTGAGAAACTCAGTACAACCACAAGCTAGAGAACAAACAGACCAGTATGCAACTATTGAGAAAATAAGAAGACTTGACCCTAACGTTCCAGGAGTTTATGTTAACCTTTCTGGTTCAGATGGAAATGCTGCCACTAAAGTAAAACTGAAACTTAGAGTTCCTTTGTCATCTTTCCTCATCTTCAGGTTTTTAAGATATAGGGTGTCCAAAGGTGCGTTTAGCACAGCGCTCTATATGAGACTATTAAAGGAGATATATGCTGATTATAAATATATAATAAAAAATATGAATATATGTATATGATGAGTATGTTGTATTTTGGCGCCATGCCGGGATATAAAATGAATTTTGAGACAAGAGGCGGTTTCGCGGGAAATTTTGGCGGGATTTTTTTCATTTTTTTAATGAATCATAAAGAAAACATCCGCGCTCTTGCAAAAAAATGCAAAGACTGTAAAAAATCTACGAGACATTGGTAAAATGCTTCGGTATGGATGCTCCTAGCTATTCCACTGTAACGTATCATGTTAGGATGTATCACTTCATGAACAAAAAGGCGCCCATCATAAAAATTGACAAAAAATCGCCGGATCAAAGAAAAATCAAAGCAATTCTTCAAGCGCTAGATGAAGACCCAAGAGCATCACTCAGAAGGATAGAGGAGATGACAAAGATACCACGTACAACAGTCAGTTATTATCTGCACAATTATTTGAACTACAAACTAGCGTATACACGTTGGGTTCCGCACAACCTTAATTCAGTTCAAAAAAAATCTAGAGTCCAATCTTCGAAAGAGCTCCTCTCTATATTGGGTGCGTATCAATCCAAGAAGTTTCGCTTTTTAGTAACAGGGGACGAGTCTTGGTTTCAATATGCAACAGAAGCCAAAATCATGTGGATCCCGAAGGATGAAAATCCGCAAACATTCCCGAAGAAAAAAATTGACACACTAATGATGATGTTGTCGGTTTTTTGGGGCGTGAATGGCATCATCGCAATTGATATTCTTCAAAAACCTAATACGATGAATGCTCAGTATCTAATTGACAATGTTCTTACTCAAATTATCAATTCTGATGAGTTTGAGAAATCCAAACAACAAAAACAAAAGTTTGCAATTCATTTTGATAATTCAAGAGTTCACAAAAGTCATAAGGTAATGAATTACTTGGTGGAAAACAATGTCAAAGTTGTTCCAAACCCAATTTATTCACCTGATATTGCACCCTCTGACTTTTATTTATTCGGCACGCTAAAAAAGAGAGCTGAAGGACGCGAATTCGCGAGTCCAGATGATCTTGAAAATTTTGTAAGAGAGCAATTTGAGCAATTTTCTCATGATGATTTAAAGCGTGTCTTTCAAGCCTGGATCGATCGCTGCGAACGCGTGATTGAATCCAATGGTGATTATATTTAAATAAACTTTATATATATGTAACTTGTTTATTTCTATTCGCAGTATTCAGGTTTGTGCTAAACACACCTTTGGACACCCTATACTTACCAAACTGGGCAGGAAAAATTTCTATCGAACTTACTCCAAGCAAAAATAACTTAGTCATTGCACCAACACAAGACCCATTCACTCTTACAGAAGTAGTGGGAACAAATAAAACGTCATTCGCCGACTTTTGCAAAGACAAAGTTGACTTAGACTTTGGTTTCTCAAACCTCAACACTGAAGTAAACTATTATTTCAATGCTGCTGGAACTGCTTGGGACCCAGTTAAGTTCACATGCGAAAAGTTTGAATGCAAGAGAATAGAAAGCAGACTTGCAGTTTATATGTTGGACCCAGATATTTCAAATGCTTTAGCTGCCAAATATATTGCAGTTCACTTATGTTCCCTATACACCAAATATCTGTCAAAGACTTTGCAGGTGAAGTTGGAAACCAAAGTGCTGACCCAGGTGCAAGAACAGATATTGCCTTAACAACTGCAATGAAACATGCAGATACTATGTTTGTACTGTTCAGACGAACTATAATGACTATTCTTGTTTCTACAACCCCGGTATTAAATATCATATAAACATAGATGCAAATATTATCCAAGAGAAGAATATTCTACACAGTTGAGGATATGAGGTCATACAACTTGACATTAGATGCTATGAACTTTAACAACAACTTCACAACAACCATTAACCCTGAAATGCAAAGTTCTATTATGCCATATGTGAAAGTATGGACCCATACAGGAAGTCAAAAAACTCAATATAAATGGAGACCGTTCAACTTTTGGCTTGGCATTCCATTTGCTGACTCAGAAGACTTTATGGGTGGTATTTCAACTGTTGGTACTGTACAAATACAATATACTGGTGACAGAGACGGTCCAGATGAACTGAGAGCAAAGAAGTTTACAAACCAATAGCACTTTTCACGGAAGATGCTCTTTTGAAGATTCGTTCGATGAAACCTGCTGGGGCTCCTCAGATTGGCATAACGACAGCTTCCATCGAGCAGATTTTGGCAGCAGGTCAGTAAGTTGTTCTTGAACTGACTTCTCTCCGTCAAATATTGACAGTACGCCAGTTTTGACATAATATTGTATTATAAACTTACCTTTAGAAATATCTGTAAGTTTTGAAGTTATATTTATGTCTGCTTCAAGAACTTTCACCATTTCAGTTATACCAACTTTCTTTGCTTTATGAAAATATTTTGGTTCAGCAAAGACTGCTATTCTATAACATTTTCCATTGTTTGTGTAAAGAACTATTCTGTCAATGTATTTGTATTGTTTGTGTGTGTAAACTTTGTTCTGCTTCAATTCGAAGAGATACTCAAATACGTCCATCTTTTTATTCTAAGTAAAATGTCATTTCCGAAAAATAGAAGCGTAAGTGTTTCAAAAGGTTTAATGGCGGTGGCAGATGTGAAGTTAAATTCACCAACTCAAACAAACAGTCAAAGTGTATTGTCAATGTCAAAGACAGAGAGTTGTAAATGGGGAAACCATACGAAGACAAAGATGGTATAACAATAGTTCCTGTAAAAGAACAACCAACATACCCTGAAGTTAGCAAGACTTAAGTTCTGTTGCAGATATTCGAAACGACTACCAACAACTGAAAGACAAACTTCAAACTCAGGAGAAGATTTGTCAAGCTTTAAGTATAATGTTAAACTTGTCGAACACAACCCTGTAAAAGTGAACTCATATGTCATCGCACCTCATGAAGTTTTGAAAGAACTATTGAAAACTTTTGACAGAGGCAGACGATATAAAACATCAAAGAAATAGAACCCGACGTTAGTTGCTGTGGTGTTTCATATAATGTCATTGACAAGATATACGTTATGAAAGGAGGTGAAACGTTGAACTTAAAATATAGTTTCCCAGACGTTATAAAAATATTTGACGACCACAACATTTCATTAAAATTTATTTGCTAAGTAAAAATGTCAAAACTTCTTGAAAGA